TTTTCCTAATTTGATAAAATACAAAGAAAAAAAGCTTTCTCATCTTTTTATAGACGACGGTATCTTATTATAACGTCGTGGTATGAACATTCACACGGCGTCAATAATAAGATACCGTCGTCTATATAAGATACCAAACCCTACTTTCTTTGTCTCTGTATTTTATCATATTAGGAAAAACGAAAACCATGGTTCAGAGAAATCAAACCTGCAACTAAACAAGCAAATAAAAAATTGAATGTCATTTTAAAAACAACTTAGATCAATTTTAAGACGACGCTAGGACGACTGACGAACCGTCGTGGTCTACGTATTTAACCACGTAAATAAAAAGCTACCGTCGTCTTATTTAGTTGAGTTAGTTATGTTCAAAGTTCAATCTTTCCCTCTCTGTCTGTGTATTTTATCAAACTTGGAAACAAAAAAATGATTTTCGCCAGAAAAAAGGTAAAAAGATTTTCAAAACAAAAACAGTATGAGCATGCAATATAGCAACAAAAATAGTGAGAAATGAAAGCTTACCTTTTGCGTGCAATGAAAGCTTTCTCTCGGATTTTGGTGTTTAAGTTCAGAGGCGACGATGAAGACAAGAGGAAGACGATGAGATACTCTGACAGTGCTCTGACAAGGAAAAAAGACGAAAAGTTTTCTCTGGGAGATTGAAATGTTTTCTCGGGTTTGGAAACAGTGCATGTGTAAGTCAGGTAGACGAAAAGTTGTATATGTATACAAACCGTTTCATAGTAATAAGACGGCGGTTTACATAGAACGACGACGTATTAATAGACAAACTACGACGCTAATTTGAACTTATGACGTGGTACATAAATACGACCGTAGTGTTGTAGGTACCGCCGTAGTAAACTCCTAAATAAAAGTCGATAACTCAATATCTCGCGTCATGGTAGAAATATTTAACACGACGGTTGTTTTAAAGTTACGACGTTTATTTTTATAATATACGTCGTTTTATTGTAATATATCGACGTGGATAACACTAAACTAAAACGACGTATTATTTTTCCGACGACGTGGATTCGTTTTTAAACGTCGTTATGTGTAATATAACCGACGTGGATTTTATTTTTTTTATTATAAATATAATTCTTTTCCCCTTTTTCTTATAGTGTATTTTTCAAAAACAGTGCCTTATAGATATAGTTTTTTTTCCCGAGGAAATTAATGTTCTAGAATTTGTAAAGTTTCTTTTCTAGGTGACTGATTTAAATCAAATAAAAATATAAAACAACGACTGTTTTTGTTATACCGTCGTCGTTTCTTGTCGTTTTAAGTAAGAATAAAACGACGTAATATATTTGTTACCGACGAGAATTGTTTTTTTTAAACGTCGTTATGTGTAATATAACCGACGTGGATTTGGTTTTTTAATTATAAATAGGGTTTTTTTCCACGGGTTCTTTCAGTTTTAGTATTCGATTAGGGTTTCAACTTCTTCTTGCCCCTTTCTCTGTCTCACCTCATCTCTTGGGAAGTTTTAGGAGTCAATTGTTTGGATGTGAATGTGTGTGTGCGTTTGTGTAGATACACAAACGCACATACATCATTCACTTCCAAAAAATTGTCTCTCTGATTGCAAATCTGTGGCTGCCGTCATGAAATTTTAGGAGGCAATTGTTTGGATGTGAATGTGTGTGTGCGTTTGTGTAGATACACAAACGCACACACATCATTCACTTCCAAAAAATTGTCTCTCTGATTGCAAATCTGTGGCTGCCGTCGTGAAATTTTAGGAGGCAATTGTTTGGATGTTGATGTGTGCGTGCGTTTGTGTAGATACACAAACGCACACATATCATCAACTTCCAAAAAATTGTCTCTCTGATTGCAAATCTGAGGCTGCCGTCGTCAAATTTCAGAGGCAATTTTTTGGATGTTAATGTGTATGTGCGTTTGTGTATCTCAAAGACACAAATACACATACATCATTAACCTCTAAAATATTGTCTTTCTGGTAAGATTATAATGAGCAACAGATCTGGAGTTCCATCTTGTAAGATTTCCTAACCCTTGTGATCTCAGAATAATCTGATTATGTCGGCGGTTTTCTATATAAACCGTCGTGGTTATTTCAATTCTTGTCGTTAGGTAGATCTACCGACGTAGGATAACAAAATCGAAGAAATAAATTTTTTAAAAAAATTCTTATTCAGACGACGGTTTAAATATAATTTATGACGTATAAAGTGGACAAATACGACGTTAAATTCTATAATACGTCGTTATATGAAAACCCCAACTTGGTAAGATTGAAAGATGTCGTCGTAGAAATACGAGAAAGACGTCGTTATATTTACCTTTGCCGTAGTTGTACATTAATTTAATACGGCGGTATTTTGTATTTTACCGCCGTGGATTTATTTGTAATTTTACGTCGCCTTATACGAAAACTTGGTCGTGTTAATTTCTGGGTAAAAACGACGGCTTTTTTTGAAACCGTCGTCTTTACTTTCTACGTCGGTCGGTTCATAACTTCCGCCGTTATTTGTTGGCTATGATTTTACCTCATGAAAATCCTATTTCAATAAGACGTCGGTTTTTAAATTAAGTACGTCGTGTTTTTGGAACAGCCATTTGAAACTCCATTTTTTAGTTGTCTAATGTGTTATTACACGGCGGTTTTATAAAACCGTCGTCTTTTAAAAAACAACGACGGTTTTCACGTAGACCGTCGTGTTTTTGTGGTCGTCTTTTTCACTTTTTGTAGTAGTGGTGGTCCTTTTACTCCGATTTGTTTTGCAGAGAGAAAGAGAAGCGGAGAAGACGAAGGAATCTTTGACGAATATTCTCGTGGGGAAAATCATTCCCTCCAGTACTGTTTAGTGGCCCAGCAATTCTAACAGCACTAGGGTTTTTGCCACTAAGGATGTCATGGAAGAAAAAGTGGAGGTGGCTCGTTTTTTTCAGTTTGCTGGGATTTGATGATTTTCCTAACCTCAATTCCATCCATGGAATAGAAAATGGTAGAGTAGAGGGTGAAGAGAGTGAAATACTGAAATGAAGACATTTTAGTCTCTCTAGGGTATCCGTGTTCACTGTTCTGTGTGTGTATTGGTGGTTTTATAGATTTTTCAGGCCATTCTAAAGGAGTTCGGGCAAGGGCAAAAATGGTAAATATAAAAGCAGATGTTACCTTTACTCTAAGTGTGAGCTGGTTGATGCATATTCAAGCAATTAACTGCATTGTGTAGGCCTTCTTCGACATTTTCTATTCAAGAGATGGCTAGCTAGTGGGAATGAGGGGTGTTGGGCTAAGAGCTAGTGTTGGCCTTTTTTGCTTTTCTTTTTTGAATACGTAAAAGGCCTTTGCTTTTCAACAACATGAAAGCTTTCGTCCTCTTCAAGTAAGGGATGAGAGTAACCAATGTCAAACTTGGACTGTGCATCTGCCTTTTAGATTTAGTCTTCTATTGGAACACATGGGTAAACACTTGCATGCTCCACATTAATAGTTCTGAGGTGTTGGTTCATCACACTACAGCAAAAGGATATTATATATTAAGCTAGAATGTATCAAACAGAAACGATAGTTTGAAAAATAAGTTTTGGACAGAGACGATAAGCTTGGTGCTTTGATATATAAGGTTACTTACATATTGATGGTCCCAACTGCAACAATGATAACAATAACACTGACCGCCCTCCGGATTCCTTCAATTTGTTTTGGTAGTTTAGTGGATTTCTTTCAATATTACTGCATCTATTGTTGAAGAATGTAAAGTCTTACCCCGGAAACTTGACAAAATAAAATATCGTATATAATGAGTGGTTTCACTACTAATAGCACCGAAGCCTTTTGTGATAAGACCCCACACCTATTAAGCATTGGAATAGAAATATCACTTTCTTTTTTTATTTTCTGCTGAATTCATTTAATTTCAAAGAAACATGCATTATAGGCACGAACAGAGCCACCTTCAGGCCTGAGGTGGCCCAGGGCCCTCCAATGTTTTCTAAGTTTCCACCAATCAAGGGAATGTTCGAAGTTAATGGCCCCCCCAATAAATTCATTTTCGGTATTAATGTGAAGTTATATTGGCTTTTCTTTGCTTATTTTTCATATATTTCCCTCTAGGGCCTTAGTAAATATTGATTTCTCTTTAGTATAAAAATTAAAAAGACTTGATAAAAATAATTAAAATGGCTACAGAGCTGAACGTATTTCAAAATAAGTTTGAATTTTTGTTTTCAGTATAACTATTACGAATTAGTTTTTAACTTATACCTTTTTTTTTTTTTTTTTTTTTTTTTTTTTTTTTTTTTTTTTTTTTCTGCAATGTATATTTTTCTTCTTCTTGCTCTAGGTGTTTTTAGTATTAGCAGATGTACATCAATTTTTGCACCCATCAGAGAAGTTTAATCTGACTTGGATTTGATTGCAGTATTGCATAGTTGTTAAGTCCATATAAATTCAGTTCAATGAAAATTCTATGTGATATAAAATATATGTTGTGTGATTGTTGCTCCAGAACCTTTAACTGCCAATGTGATGGGAAAAAGAATCCCTCAGAGCCTGTGTTTGATTGTAGGGGATGTGATTTTGCTTGTGGTTAAAAGATTCATAGCCATTAAATTCCACATCATTTTGAATACAGAATCGAAAGTTTTCTCTGTTTAGGCAGTACTGAGACATAAAAATCCATGTACTCCTATCCCCTGATATCCATCATAAGAGAAAATAAATTTCAATATCCATTTCTTCTAGCCACAGGATTGAGGTAGCCAATTCTAGAAAACCGCCATGAATCCGATTTTATTTCTGGCTAAATGATTCATATGAATTAAATTCCACATCAATGTGAATACAGACTCTGAAAAATCTTCTCTGCTTAGGCAGTACTGGAACATAACAGAAACCCCGTCATAACAGAAAATAAAATTGCAGTGTCCAATTCTTCTAGCTAGATGATTGTTGTATCCATGGCCTAAGAACAATACATGACTCCATAGGAAACATTAAAAATAAAAAATAAGGAGAAATTTCATGATTGTGACACATAAACATTGTACTCAACAGTGGCATCTCCTGTATTAGCATCAAACCAAACAGTATGAGCTAAGACATAACCGCGAGCGAACCTGAACTGCCCCGTGCCGCCAACAATCGGCATCTCTCTCACATCGTTGAGAACTGGATTCCTCCCAAGAATGCTAATTGTACTCCCCTTATACTTGCCGTCCTCAAAAACAAGAGTCATGACCATAAGTAATGCAATATCATTTTGTGCAGCCATGGAGTAAAATCCTTGTGCTCTTCCAATGATCTTCGATTTGGGGTCTTGCTCTTCAGTCAGTGCATTATCAATCATCATAGTACTGCCAAATCCGGCACTCGAGCCGTTAGGGGGCCCAATAATTCTAACAGAGGTGGGGTTTTTGCCACTGAGGATGTCATGGAAGAAAAAGTGGAGATGGCTCACGTTTTCCGTTTTATCGGATCTGCCAAATTGCCTAATTAGAACTCCGCCAGTGGAATGGAAAAGGGTAGAGCAGAAGACGAAGAGAGAGCAATAGAGAAATAATGAAGACATATTAGTGTCTCAAGTGGTTTCACAGTGTGTTTATGGCAGTGGTAGATTTGTGGTCATTTTAAAAGATTGGGCAGGGGAGCAAACATTACTCCGAAGTGTTGAAATAATGTTTGCTCTGGTGGTTGGATTTTCAAGCAACCACTGCTTTCTGTTGGATTGGTCTAAGAATGATGGTTTCAGCTTACATTCTTTTAAAGCAAGGATGATTGAAAGCAATGCTTGGGAAACAAATTTCTCTTGCAATTTGCATTTCCGCTTTTAGTCTCTGTTATAATGTTATATATTCAGTGTGGTTAAGCTAGCACGTCAGCCGACCAAAAAGAAACCTACCATATGTCATGTACGCTAACATGAAACTTTGAAATGTAATTTCATGACAGACATGAGTTTGGTGGATTGTTATAAGGTTATGCGAGCCTTAAGTTATGTCACTTATAGAATGATGACAACGGAAACAATTAATGATAACAACAATTTACTTTTCCCTTTATCCAAAATTAAACTTCAAGTTTGGATAAAAGTCGGAATTTTTAAATTGTCCCATCACTGACATGATCATCGCCGCCTTCACGCTGCCGCTACCATTAACAGATTACCAACTACCACTACATCTTGACTGAGGAGTGGAAATTGGGATTCTTTGGCTTGGTATGAAGTTCCAAACTTGTCCTTGATTGAAGGTCCAAGAAGTATGCCAGTCTAGAATTCACATCAAATCACCACAAAATCTTATATTCTTATTCCAACAGAGTCTCATAAAAAATTATAACACAGATTATTTCTAGTTTATCCCATCAAACACTCATTAAACAAACAAAAGCATAGAAATTTTTTAGTTTCATGAATTTACATTCACATCCATAATTTCTGATATTGCGCTACTTGTCGTCTTCAAAGTTCAAAACAAAAGGTTGTACGAAGGCAATGTGAAGGTGGGAGGTGAATCGGTTTTCAGTTCTAACAGTAAGTGTTGTAGGCTATTTGTGTTTGATCACCAAATTTAGTAGCCATCGTGTTAATTTGTGACACATCTTGTTCTCCTGCTGTCATTTGAGTTACAGCTCATCCTATATATAATTTTACAATTCTGTTCCAAACAAAAAATAATATTCGCAATTCTGTTTTTATTTCACAATTCTGGAAAAGAAAATTTTGGCCCTTTATTTGGGTCAATTGTTGTTCAGTCAAAAGTGATTTTATTTGGTTTAACTACTATTGACACTTTATTTCACCAGAACAGTAAAACCTCTTTTTTTTCCTACCAAAATGCAAACTCGTAGATATTGTTTCTTTTCATTTAACACAAAAAATTTCATAGAAATTCTCAGTTACTAAGAGCCCGTTTGGTATCCTATTTGGATCTTTTTTTTCAAACTCAAAATAATTTTTGGATTCATTTTATCTCTTCTCTTTTTTCTTTTTTTTTCTTTTGCCAAGCGATATAAATATCATTGCTATATGACGAAAGGCTCAATTACAACAGTCACAAAGGCAATCAATCACTTGAACCCATATTCAAACCCAAACAAGGACCCAATACAAGTTTCAATGGGAGTACAAAAGATAATCACAGCTACGGTACACCCCCTGTCAATGGAGTACAAAAAATAAGCACAAATACTCCCCTAATAATAACCATAAGGAATCGAATCTATCAGCAAACCAATGTCACATGACTTTACTCTAGCGACTTTTTCCCGAAAAATTGAAAAACGCCCCAAGACACAGCTTGAGTCACATCTCATTTAGCCGTTGCAACTACACCATCACAATTGGTTTTGTTTTTTGTTTTTTTTTCAAACCATCACAATTGCTGCCACATTATAACCATGGAATATTGTATCAAAATTCACTTTTTATTTTTATTTAATATCTAAAATCACAATTATGGAAAGGAAAACTTTTGGTGTTTATTTGGGTAAAATTGTTGTTTGGTTGAAAATTATAATTTTTTGTTTTTTTTTACCCTCATAATAGAACGGCAAAACGTCATTTCTAATCTTTGTAGTTTGCCGGTTTTACCACTTGAGAACTTATAGTTTCAATTTTTGCAATTTTATCCTTATAGTTTTCAATTTTATCAATTTTATCCTTGTAGTTTTCAAGTCAAAGCAATTCAAAGACGCATTTCAATTTCTATCATTATTCCTCTCAATTCTATTAAGTTATGATCACGTATCACTCACATAGAGGGGTATTTTGGTCAACTCGAGCCAAATTCCTCCAAAACTCCTTCCAATTTGCCCAAATTTCAACCTAGATAAGTAAATTTGTTAGACACACTAAGGCCCAAAATTGCGCTAAAGTGAATGGGAAGAGCTCTAGGTTGTGTTTTATTGTTAGATGGCTCGAGTGAACCTCAATGTGAGGGGCACATAAAGAAATTTGGAGGAATTTGATAAAAATTGAAATTACAAGGATAAAATTAACAAAATTAAAACTTTAGAGACCAAAATAGTACAATCCACAAACTACAGGACCGAAAGTAAACTTTTGCCAAATCTAACAACGCTATGCTCGTTTGAAATCTCGGCCGATCAAAAGCAACTTCTTCCATGAAAAAGTGAGACAGTCGAGAAATTATTATTGACGGCGTCGCCACCCCACCTTCGCCCCTCAACCACCGCCAACCACAACCCACACATACTCTCTCTCTCTCTCTCTCTCTCTCTCTCTCTCTCTCCAGGTGAGCTCTTACATCTTCCTCCTCACCTTTCTCTTTTCGATGGAATTTTCTGTTTACAGGCTGTGCTTTTGATTTGGGGGTCTTTCGAGGTTGGTTTTTGGTTACTAATTTTCGGTTTCAGGGTTTTTGGATTTTTATTTTGGTTACTAATTAGATAGGACTGTGCTAAATTGAAACTGAAGCCCATGTTTGGTTAGAAAGGGGACTAATTTAAATGGGATTGTAGAATCCAATAGTAACAAAAACCCCTCACTCGTTCTCCTTATACAGAGAAATAAGCGCTTCGCTATATTGAACACGCGACTCCGCCTCTCTCTCTGGTTCGCGACTTCGCCCTCTCTCTCATTCGCGACTCCACCTCTTCTTCGTTCAACATCGACTCCTCTTCTTCGAATCTTGACCCAGGCAAGTTTTTCTGGTCTTTCCCTTTGGATACCTCTCTTTTCCTTATTCCACCTCTTTGATTTTTGCAATTGTCCTCAACAATTTTGACTGTGTGCTCTGAATCTCTCCTTCCTTATCTCTGTTTTTTGCTTCCTCTCTTCTCTAATTTTTGTAGAATCCATATCTACTGTAGCGACATATATATGGGTACTGGCTTATTGTTGGATGTGTGTTTGTATCCATCTTCTAATAATGAACTCTGTTTCGACTTCTACTTCAGTTCTTCTCCTTTTTTTGTTTTTTGTTTTTGTGGAATGGGAGGATGCTGAGGGAAGCTGAGCTTTTCAGTTATGGCTACTATTTCCGTGGGTATTTGCTGCTGGGTTTTGTAGTTTGATTTCGGCTGCTGCTTCTTTTTGTTTGTGTGCCGTGCATTTCGATACCAGTCCCACCACGTTTGCATTCTATTATTCCACATTTTAAATTTTTTGTATGTTTCTTGTTCTGTTTGGCTTTAATGTTTTTGGTGCTTGCTTCCATAATTTATAAGATGGTATAATTCTGCATAAGAGAATCCTTAGTTACAGGGCATGACATAATATTAATAGGTTGAACGTGTAGTGTTTTGAAAATTTTCCTAATCTACAATGATCGTACCAATGAACACATTCCTTTTCCTATATTTCTATACTTTTTTTTAACACATTCCTTTTCTTTATTTTTTTGTACTTTTTTGTTTTGGCTAAAATTTGTTTCTAGAACACCTGAATATTCTTCAGCATTTGCCCCAGTTGTAATTATGGTTTTGGTTGTTTCCTTTATAAACACACAGATGGAGGGCCGTTTTGCTGATGAGCTCTACTCAGAAAGTTTACAGCTATCAAAACTACAATTGGATCCTACATCCAATGCGAACAGTGAACAAAGTAATTTACATGGTATTTATATGGTTAAAAGCACTTTGTTTTTCCGTATAACAGTGATCAATAGATGATATTTGGTTTGCCTCGTTTTTTTCTTCTTGTTATTGCCAGCCTTAGGTAGGTAAATGCATAGTGTTAACTGGTGAACCCACTTAGTTTTTAAAAAAAATAAAAAAAATAAAAAAATTGTTTATTAGAGCCTAAACAACATTGTGTAATTTGAGCCTCTGCTATAGATTCCTTCTTTCTTTGCTACAATAAGGATACTTGGTGAGCTACATAAATCTTTGTTTTCCTTAAAGCTTATCACATTCAAGACACTCTGGATAAGAGAGTATTCTTATATTTGCATCTATTACATTTACCCTGTAACAATGTAGTAAATGTACATCAAAGAACTCCTTTTAATCAAAACACATCTATGCACTGTGAAGTGGACACATTGTAGTAAATTTACATGCATATGCGCTCTGTGATACTAGTTGACTGAGGAAGTTAATACTCACAACAAAGTTAACTGCTGTAGTCTTGCTGTTTTCTGTACTAAGAAATCTATTGTTTAATGTTTTGCAGACCTTGATAGGGTTGAGTTGTGTCATGGAGATGGTTCTTGTGATGGTTTTTCTGATGAATTAGATGACACATCTGAGGTGACAGGGGAATGGATGAAGATAGAGGAGAAAACAAGATATAACCAACACCATACGGTTGTTTGACAGTTCGGATTTAATTTCATTATTACTTGTGTTTAGTTGTTTTACCTGCATAATTCAAGTGGTTTTCTTAAATATATTCTAACTACTTATAAATATGTAGGTGGGTTACCGTGAGGGTGTTATAGCAGGAAAAGAAGCTTCTTCGCAAGAGGGATTCAATATCGGCTTTAAGCAATCGGTCCTTGTTGGGTACAACTGGGGTCTTGTCAGAGGTGTTACAAGGTAGAAAAATAATGTAAAGAAAAGAATTTTGTTACAGTAATTTCTCTCTTGCAGAAGTATTATTTGGAATTTATGTATATCTTATTTAACTATGTTTTCATTACCCATGCTGGTGTATCTTCAACCTACATGAAGTGCTTTGGCTAACCTTCCAGATGGTTTAAGGGAGAAGTTGATTGGAACAGAAGACCAAATAACTGGATTGCAGGGATTGTGTGAATCTGTGCATTCTCTTTCAACAACAGACGCCCTTAGATTATTTAATGATGAAATCATGGACAAAAAAGCTAGAGAACATAGTGAGAATGCTGACACCAGTTCCCTTGAAGCTGGTTTGCCAGAGCAAATACCAGACCGTAGTGTTCTAAGAAATCACTTTGCAGAACTACGTTCACTTCTACTTGAATCTCCTGCAATTAAAGTACATCTAGATAGGTAGGAAATTAGTGTTCTAATATTTATTTGATATTTGTAATTAAAAGTCTGAAAATTTTTGCTCCGCCACTAGCCTCCGGTCATATTCTGTCATAGGAATTATACATTTGAGAAACGTTGTCAATTTCTTGACCAAGAAAAGAAAAAAAGAAACGTTGTCAATTTGGTCTGTAATGTTATGTATGATCTTGTTGTGAATCTTATTATGAGGGACGATGATGTGAGGAATCCCATCATCATTTTTGCCCTATTTTTCTGTTACAATGTGATAGTAAAACAGGCCATTTCGATATAGAAGCAATGTACAATCTACTTTACAATAGTTGTAGCATGCATGAGTTGCTTTAAATATGTTTTCTCCGTCATTTTTGCTAACATGGGCATTGGAGATGAACATAGGAATCAGTTGACACTTCACATCAATACTAAACGATCATAGTAAATGTCTTTGGAGGTAAGTGCCCCCCACAGTGGCGAGCAAGGTATAGATCAAATAACATCTGATTGAAGCAACTCAACACGATACGTATTAAAACTGTCATTACAAATATTGCTAACGAAGGTACATTAGTAGTACATCCACTGAGCTTAGGAGAAACAGCATGACTGTGTCCACAGTTTAACCCCCATTCGAATCATCACTGCATGAAGCTGCTTCCTTTCTCTCCAGAAAACCAGACTGAAGCCGAGAAAAGGTCAGTTGTTCTGCTGGTCCAGTAGTTTCTCTTGTCCGGCTGGCTGTATCGATACCTCCTAATTCAGTGACTTATTATGCATATATTGCAGTCTTTTCACCTGCATAACAATATGATAATTAATTCCCTTTCTTATTAGAAACCAACAATATGAAGTCATGAATAGCTATAAGAATCAAATATCAGAAGGTATTGGAGTTTGTGATTATATATTAACCTCAGTAACTGCCATCAGCTACAAGCTTGCATAGGCCTTGCCTGACTGAAGGCTGCTGAAGTATGCCTGCGACTTGTTTCACATTTGGGCACTGGCATGACTGCTTCGAAAGCTGCAACAAGCAATGCCACTTTCTTCTTCCTCGCTGGAGCAAGTTTTGTTACGGCCTGTTGGAGTGCAAAGTCAAGCATCCATTCCTCTGCATTTTTCTTTTCGTCCATCATCTGATGCCTGAGGTCAACCTTTTCTGCTTCAGGATCAGGAACCACAGGCAGATAATTTGGTTCTCTTGGATTGTACTTCCTTTGTTCCTCCTCATCTATGCTAAGTCTCTTGAATTTGCTTCCTCTTCGGTAGTTGCAGGTGTCGGGAAGTTCTTGCTTGGCATTGCTTTCTCCACGGGAAAATTTTCTCTTCAGCCCAGGGCTAATGCTATTATTGGCCATGAAAGTTTCTGTTGCATCTGGCTCTGAATTGTTTTCCACTTCCATATTATGAGATTCTCCTGTGCTGTTTTCTGAGAGACCTGATCTGTTGTTCAGCCTTAAATCACCCTGATCCTCAGATTCAATGGAAGTTGAAATTTTTGGCTTCTTGTACTTCCTGCCTGACAGGTTGCCAACTTCAGCACTATCATTAAGCTGGAAGGGTTCAGTCTTCTTGCAGTTTTCATGATCTTCAATCTTGAAAACATCTTCATCAGAAAGCTGGATTTGTTCTGATGATTTGGAGTCATCAGCTTGCTCTGTCTCTTCCATTTGATTCCCAGCGACCATTTCAGTGAGTTCCTGTGACAAGACAGCGTTACTGGTTGCAACATTTTGATCTGTTTCCGTATTCTCTTTATCCAGGCTCCCGGTGCATCCTTCAATTGTTTCAGCCTTATCTGTTTCCCTCATATCCCTAGAGGCATTAGAAACTTGGTCTCCTGTTAATGTACTTGTTTCATCATCTTGAAATGTATTTTTGGGTTGGTTACCCGAAGTTTCATCAGTCTCCACACTGGTGCAGTTGCTTTCAACATCTTCAAGGCAAGAATTGATGTCATGATCCTCTGCTTTAACTCCACTCTGCTCTTGAATTTCCACATCAGTTTCTGTTAGCTCCTCAATCGACTCCTCTGCTGAAGATGAAGATAGCTCTATGCAATCTGTCTCTGATAGGTCACTGTCTTCTTCAAATGCATCATTGCCGTAAGAAAGTTGGTCATAACTCAATCTGTTATACCCTTGTTCAGATTCTTGAATCTCAAAATTCTGTTTAGTGTCATCCCGTTCAATGCCGCTACCATCATTGAGTTGTCCCTCAAAAGACTGGTTTTTCTCTTCCAAAAGTCCTTGCAGTACTTCATGATAATCCTCTATCATGTCATTGCAGTTACCAGATATTGCATCAGACTTGATCAGAGGTTCTTCATGCATATCAGCATCTCCAACTATTGATGAAAACCCAGCATTTGGACCAGACTCATTATCATCAAGCACTCCAGTGGACAATCGCCCTTCCTCCCACTCCATGTCAGTAGTTTCAGAACTGGCATAATGCACTTCGATGCTTGAAAGTTCTTCAAAGTCGCTCTCATTCGAACTGCTTCCCATGGCAGTTTCTTCTTGATCCAACAGAGCTTTGTAGTATTCATCTATATCTTCTTTTTGGTCTTCTTCAGCAAAGCCTTCAAAGCTTTCTGCCTCAGAGTCACTCTCAGACTGCAAATCCGACAGATTCTCCTCAACTAGGGTGTTCGCATTATTTTCTTCTGCTGCTTCACCACTTGCATCATTTGGTTCACCATTGGAATCATCTTGTTCTCCTACAAGATCAGCTCCAGCTTCCCTTCCAATTTCCTCAGCGTCATCTTCCTTGCGTGCAGCATAGATTTCAACAAAGAAATCCAACCCCACTTCATGTTTCATAGGATCAGCATTTTTGTCATTGTCATCAAACAACATCCTCTGCAAATCAATTTCTTTTACTCCATCATTAGATTGCTTTGTTCCACGTGGACTTAGAGCTTGCCGCTTCATCTTCTGGGTCTTCAACGAACGTCTTTTTGCGGACAAGAAACACTTCAATGGAGGCACAGGTGAATGATGATGACCATTGAGAGAACAGTAAGTATATGGGCAAACCTTCATGACTGAAGTCCCCTCAGCTTCAGTTCCCCCAGGATTAATCACCAGATAATCAGGAAACTTTGTATCCTTCAGTGTTGAAGAACAAGTTGCTCTCTGAACATTCATATCTGCACAAAGAGCAACCCTGGAAGATTTTTTGGCCGAACCTCTTGCTGGCTTAAAACTGGGGGACTTTATTAAAGTTCTCACCAGCTTCAAACTAGACGTCCTTGTTGAAGTTCTTTCTGGTTTATGATTAGAAGCAGAGCTAAGCTTTGAACTGCTCGAATTTCTTCGGTGCTCGTTCTTACTATCCAAATATATAGTCGGAGAATTTAGAACACTAACCTGGGATTGCTCCTTCCTTGCATCAGAACAGCTGGTGGGCTTCATATAGTTTGGTGAGCCATAAGTTGTTTTGTTCATGGGCTGCTTCTGAGGAAAAGCTGCAGTGTTTGGAACATTGAGAGATGGTGGTGGTGGCTTTCCTGGCTGGGATATGTTCTTTCTCAAAGGTGATGATCTCAAGCTCTCAATATCTGAAAGCTTGATTGATCTAGATTTCTTCATTTTTTTCTTCAAATCAGCTCCCCTGTGTTTGCCATCCTGGAACTGAGAAGATGTTTTCAGGTTCGCCAACCGCTTCTCGAATTTAACATGATCAGCTTGGATTCCAAGCTTGCTTGGTACCTTTCTTTGGACCATATTCAAAGGAAAACCACAAGCAAAGACAATAGGGAGGTGACAATCCAAGTTTGAGAATTCAAGGCTCACAAAGATAAGCAATTCCCTCTTTGTCCCATGTCTTGTTTTTTATGGAAAATTTCATTGGAAGGGAAAGGAAAGGAATTCTTGGAACCCAAAGAACCAGAGATTCCTTGGTGGTTCCTAGCTTTGGTTTTCTTTGGTCTCAAGTGGGTGACCTTTTTCTTGTTTATTTTTCAGCTTAGCAGATGACGAAATTTGAATAAGGCTGAGAGACAAGAGTCTGATGCGGACATGCACTAACAGGTGAGTTTTGGGCCCTATTATTCAGGCTTTATTTATTTTTCTTCATATTTTTGAGCTCTTTTTTGAATTGAATTATGAAGCTTGTGACATGAGAAGTCTACATATGGCACTGGCCGATTCATTATTTCCTAATGGGTTTGTATTATTAGTAGTTGTGGTCTTATATGACGAAAATACCCTCCATTATTTTAATTTCTTTAGATGATAAGCAGCAACAACTTCATTGCACATGCCCATTGTGTATGTTCAATCAAATTTTGCATAGGACTGGTACGTTGAATGATCAAACGAAGGAGGATTTGGTTGAGTTCATTGGTTGGTTCCAATACTTATGGTCTCCGCCCTTAATAATTTTTTTATTTTTTATTTATTTTTTATTAGATAGGGAGGGTATCCTCATGGTAATTCATACCAGTGAACAAAATCCAATCCAAATTGATTAAACTGACTTAACCATTTTCAACTTTAGGTGAATTTTGGATTGGATTGGATTGGATGCGACTTTCAGAAATCAACTTAGTTAGATTTGATTAGTTTTAGGGTGTTGGAAAAAGAAAAACCGAACCAATCTATGTACATTTTATTTCATAGATGCTTTCTGTTGGATCCAATCAATCCAATTCCATTATAGACTGGATTGAATTCGCATACTTAATCCGATCCCAATTGGATTTGAATATGGCAAATTCAATTGCAGTTAATGGGGTTTATAGCAATGTGGTAGAATTGCCACCTAACAAATTAACAATCTAACAGAAGGGATGGCAATTTTAATAGCATTTTTACTATAATATTATGTAGCATGTCGACCTAATATTATTAATTGATATAAATTATAACACGCGATGCGATAAGTTAGCATTATGTTGGAGTCCTTTTGATCACATGTAGATGTGAAAAAGAAAAATGGTAAGTTCCTTTTTCAGATGCATTGGAGATTCCCTAAAGATTGTCATATTTATCACTAAAATTTTGGGGAAGTTTTTCTTCTGTTTTGTGACACAAGAAACATGTTTGTAGCCATTGATGCTTTTAACAAAGACAAGCCATTTTGAAAAAGGGAGTGAGAAATGAGGATGGAAAAAAGGATAGCATCGTAATTTCACATGGAGGACTTTTTTTCCTGGGTTATACATATAGTATACACTATTGACCGGAAACGCCGAAAAAGTGGTTGGGCGGTCACTTTGCTAAAAAGATGGGGCAGTGGTCGGCGTGAATGGGCTGCTTGTGGGGCCTACTAGGAGCCTAATGCCCATTTACACAGACACAGAAGCAGACGCTCCTCTGTCTGAATTCCCAGTGAGAAAAGCGTTGTCACATAAAGGGATGGGTCCTCACTAATTGGGCACTTAACTAATAATTTTTGTTCATGTTTTCAGAGGGCCAATGAACGTGTCTCCTTTTTAAAAGGTCACTAATGAACAAGGCGATTTTACCATTTTACCATTTTATTTTTCATTTCTTTGAATGGCAATTCCGATATGTTATTGGTAAAACAAATATGGTTGATGATTCTTCGGCTGTGATTGAACACAAGAAGGATAATTTGTGTATTTGGTGTTGTAATTTCCTACAATAGTTGCTTTTATATTTTCATATGATGCTAAGAATATAGCAATCTTATCTCTTCGTAAGTTTTTTGTTGGGCAATCCTAACTTAACACGAGTAAACGCAAAACCCCAATGGACTTAAATCCGAATGACCTCGAACTTGAATTCCAATCAAAGAGCAAAATTATTATTTGCTTCTTTATCAAGGGGAAGGCTAAGCTATCTTCTCTATGAAGGAAGTTGAGGTTTTATCCCAAAACCAATTGGCAATGGGAGCAGTAGTCCAACTCTTTATAAGCCCATGCTCGGTCCCTTAACTTTTCAATGTGTGACATTTTCACCTTCACATTCTCACAATCTTTCCTATCGTGCATTTTGTGGGAGCAAATAAATCGACGTCCAATCAGGAGGTGCCACATGAAAAAGAAGCAAACCCTAATAATATATTATTTAAATCAATATTCTGATTTAATAAATATTCAATATGAGGGTTACCTATTTAGGTTGAGGGAATAAATTCCATAAATTCCCTCAATCTATTTATTTCCTTCCATAACTTCTCTCAACTCAATTAATCAGGATGAATAATTCTCAATTACTCCTTCCTCAATTGGAAAAGGAATATTACAAGAAAGGAAAATCTATTTAAGCTAAATGGAGAACAAAAATAAGGTAACTATGAAATTCCCTAAAATTACTCTCTCTCTCTCTCTCTCCAGCACTCTTATCTGCTGGCCAACCAGCCCTAGCTGCCACCACCTCTCTTACCTACTCGGCTTCCAAGCCACCTATCTCTCCCATAGAGAAACATCTCTGCACTTTTCAGAAATACCCTGTGTTATCACTGACTTAGGCACCAGAGAGCCATTTGCCACCACCACACCAATGGTTTTCCGATGATTTGTTTTGTCATGCTGGGAGTATAGAAGGAGGGACGAATGAGAGAGAAGAATCATCCCGGAATATTCAAATTTGCACAAACACATTTCCCTCCAATTAGTTGACATATTATGGAATCCATTTATACTTCTTTTTCTTTTTCTTTTTTATCAAAGAGAAACTTCATTAGATAAACTTCAACGGTACAATCAAAGACATCAACAAGACATCTAAAGAACTAATCCCAAAAGGGAAACAAATTAACATGCTAAAAGCAAAACTAACCCGGACAAAAGCCGCACTAAAACTACTAACCCACATCACCACAATTAACCATAAGTCCAAACAAAGCTCACAAACCCAACATAACCAAACCGTAAAACAACCCATGAGCCTAAACGAACCCTACCACCGCTACCTGAAGAAGCGCCATTGCGGCCACACCCACCACCGCATCTATAACAGATATGGAGAAAATATAATTTCCAATGATCTACCTGCACATAAGAGTTAACAAATAAATGAAAACAACAACCTTGCCAAAGAACAATTTGGTGATTTGCAGCAACCTTGGTCAAAGACGATGTAGAATCAAATTTAGAGAACATAAGCAACGTCAGGGAGCGGGTTTGGGGAGAATAATTTGATTGAGAACGTAGGAGTGATGGGGAACATCAATCTAAGAATGGCTTAGAATAAATCACCACAAGGGGCTTTTTATTTGAAACGCTCTAGTGGACTTATCCACTAACCTAAAAAGAAAAGACGATAAGAGATGAGGGGGAGGGGGGGGGCAATGATGCTTCTTCCTCCTCCCCCCTCTATAGAGTTTTCCTTTAGGACTCACAGAGGGAGAGAGCAGCTAGAGTTTCTGGAGTCACAAAATCCATTTACACTTGAATTTAGGAATTTCAATTTTTAATGTTTTAAAAGCGCAAAAGAAAAATGTAGTTATCCTTAAATTCAAGGTCATGTGTTTGAATCCTGCATTGTCGCTTATATCATGTTAATCCCATGCATGAAAATTGCAGCCTAGCTAATATTGGCACAATGGGAAAAATATAAAAATCAAACTTTTAAGTTCCTATTAACCACCCAAAAAAAATATTAAGTTTGTGTCAGACAAAAAAAAACACACACACACATAAAAAATTGATCCTTTGTGGGAAAGTCGTCACAAAATGGTACAAACTCAATATAACATGTACTTTCATTCTCTGCCCTAAAATTTACAACTTGACATCAAGAAAAGTTTAAAATCTACGGGGTCGTTTGTTACACAGGACTATCTTGGCATGAACTATGCTTAGGGTTTGTCTTGACTTGGCTTGGCTTGTTCTAAATTGGATAATACTTATCTTGTGTTTGGTGTATGCTTGGACTAGGACTAGGACTACATTTTTTTATTTTTCAATATATATATATATATATATATGTGTGTGTGTGTGTGTGTATGTGTGTATATTACATATATTATATTATATAATATATATCTGTGTATATACGTGGATATATGTATATTATAATATATAGAATATACATATATATATATATGTGTATACATATATTACATATATGTGTATATACGCATATATATGGATATTATAATATATAATATATATTGGTATATTATAATAATAATATACGTGTATATAAATATGTATATTATAATATATAATATATATATGGGTATACTATAATAATAATAATAATAATAATAATAATAATAATATGTGTATATACATATGTATATTATATATATTATATAATATGTGTGTATATACATGCGTATACATATATAATAATAAAATATATGTGTACATACATATTTATATTGTATGTGATAAAATATATAATATATGTAATATGTATAATATGAGTATATACGTGTATATATATGTATATTACAGTATATGTGTATATATGTATAATATAATAATAATAATAATATACTTGTATATGCATATGTATATTATATATATTATATAAAATATATGTCATAGATGTGTGTGTGTATATATATATATATATATTATAATATAAAATATATGGGTATATTATAATAATATATGTTATTATTATTACAATATAATATATAGATGTTATACATTGGTGAGCATATGACTAGTTAATCCTTTCCTTCCATATGGGTTTATTAGTCCCCTCCTAAGAAGGTGTTTTTAGTAGGCCCGGTATTAGCAATCCCATTTAAGACTAGGATTAGATGAAACAAACATGAGACTAAATTTAGTCCAAGCCAGTCCATGTCAATCCTGTGTAACAAACGACCCCTACATGTTGAAATTTCAAGTTCTCTCTATTGTCTAAATTTTAGGTTTTAAACTTGAGATTTAGAATCTAATTTTTGAACACGAAAAAGCGACTTTACACCATAAATAATCCATTATAGACATGATTGAGAAAAAAAGTTAAAGATATTAAATGTTATTCAAACAGTGTGGTATCTTGTGGAGCGGTTCAACTTACACAAAGTGGTATTAAATGTGGTATGCCTTGCATTGCTCATATGTATATTTAGTGAGATTCTATCTACATGACATCCATACGAATTAGACACACGTTGATTGACAATTAAACTATCTTAACTTTTTCTCTCAATCATGTCTATAATGGATATATACTCACTATTGATGCTCATAACCTCACATTTATTTATTATTTGTTTTGCAAATGAGCTATTAGATTTCTAAAGGGTTGAACAAGCGATGGGTGAGCTAATGTTTAACAAATTTTTTTTTAATACAAGCCATCATTATTAGAAAAAAAAGCATGATAGGAACCCCTTTATTAAAGACAGAAGTAAAAACAGTCTCTATAAAATGCTATTGCGGCACGGATAACTTAAAACCATGCGTAAAATCCCTCCACCATTTTCACTAAAGGCATGAATAACTTAGGGCCAGTTTGGGATTGCTATCACTTTTTAAAAAGGCTACTTCTACTGTGCTTTGAAAATAATGAACTGTAAAGTAAAGCAGTTCCATGTTTGGTAAACAATATTTTTAAAGTGCTGTTAGTATAAAAAACAGTGTCAAAATCGTTTGGTAAACTTTAATATAAAAATGTTGTAACTATGGATAATGACTAAAAGGGACATGATGTTGTTGATAAATTTTAATATAAAACTATTATAACTGTTGATAATGACTAAAACATACATGAAAGTGTTATGTACTAACTATGTGGTGGTGGTGGCAGTGATGGTAATGGAAGTGGTGGGCGTGGTATAGGTGGAGGTGGAGTTGGTGGTTGTGGTGGGTGGTGGAGGAGTTGGTGGTTGTGGCAATGGAGGTGGAGGTGGTGGGTGGTTGTGGTGGTGGAAGTGGTAGAGGTGGAGGTGAAGGTGGTGGTGGTGGTGGTGGAGGTGGCGACGGTAGTGGTGGTGGTGATGGAGGAGGAGGTGGGATTGGTAGTGATGGAGGTGGTGATCGATGATGTGATTTATAAAAATTAATGATGGTATTATGGGAATTGGAAAAATTCATTAAAGGCTATTATGTGCTTCTTGTGAAAGCAGCTTTCAAAAGCAACCTCTAAGTGAAATGAAGTTGTTCATACCGTAAACGGAGTGGTTGGAACATTGGAAAAAACAGCTTCTTGTGAAATAATTCTAAAGTTATTTATTATCTATTTAACATGTGAAATGAAGTTACTGAAAAAGACAACAATGTACAATGTATACATATTTTATGTGGAACTAGCCTCTGAACACCAAAAATAAAACTCAAAGTTATATACAACAAACCCCAACTCATAGGGAAGAAAATAGATTTATGGATGGAATCAAATATGCAGTATTTATAGACAAAAGTATTCGGTTATTGGGGAAAAATCAATATACTTCTAATGTCTTATCTATTATTATTTACAAATTACAAAACAATTAGACCATATGAATTGAGGTTGCTAATTGGGGTTACTTCATGTGCAATGTTGTCCTATATCCAAAAATACATGCAGGTAGTGGTGGCTCTATCCGTTTCCTAGTCAGCTACGATAACAGTTTCATGGGCCCCCTGTGGCCAATCACTGTGCCTGAGATATGTGGAGTGACACAATCAGAGCCTGCCAAGTGTAATACATTTGTTGGCATATTTTAGGTGACTAATTTGTCTACCCTACCTACCCACCACGCACGCAGCCACTATATATTTCTTATGATGTACAGGGGGCCGTCAAGCAGTAGTAGCTCGTAGTTAGGGTTTTCTTTTGTTTTGCTTTGTTCTTGAGAGAAAATGGTGGAGAACCAAGCCACCCTTCACTTAATAAATCAGAAGAAGAGAGTCAAATATAAACACTACTTTTCCGTTCAGGTCATGAGTCATGCAAATTTACATCGGATCGGTGATTTACCAGAAAATGTAGGTCTCTATCTCTGTCTCACAATCTCGAAACTCTCACTCTCCTTCTCTCTCTCGCTCTACCTCTCTTGATACTAACAACTTTATTGTGTGGATTCTTTTTTGTGCAGAAGGAGAGGCAGTTTGCAACAGACCGATGAGTTGAGTGCTACTCTAGCTAGAAGCCTCGAAATTAATGGTATTCCTGAGCTTAATTATTTGCTTAATTTATTCAGAATTATAAGAATATGTTCTATCAGTTTATTTTACTGATCTCTGCACATCTATAATCAAATTGAGATGCCGTTTTTGTATTTAATTTGAGGAGACTATTATGTTAATATGATGACTAAAAATTGTGGTTCTTATAATCTAAATTGAATTGTGTGTATTTTAGGACCTCCAAGCAAACTTTGTGTGGAGCTCTGGCATCCAGCATTTGGCTTCCAGCTTAACCTGTTGTGTTTCCACATAGGCAGCGATAGGTAGGACTTGGCTTTGCGATGGTCGGTTCATTTCCCTTCCCAGTACATAATTGGCAACCTTGGAAGGTGGCATCAGAGGCCAAATGCTTAATGTGGCATCAGATCGTCAAATGCTTAATATGGCATAGACTGGATGATGTTGTTTCTGGGATTACGCGCCTGTCAAACTGCTCTTCGATCTGCGATATGTTGTTATACATCATATGGTATAATTTTTCTCACCTAGCTACCCCGTGTAAATTAGCTGGTACAGAATTATGGACGTAATTGGCCTGACCCATACCCCCAGTTCAAGGAGGCCTGGGGTGTCGAATTAATGCAGGCTCTACTCTCCTCGTAGAGAAGTATGGACGTTCTTCAAAGCTAGTTGGGGCTTCTTTGTTTGATCTTGTTCTTGAGAATAAAATGGAGAAAATTCAAGTGTACTTTTCCTAAATGAAAAGATAGTCAAATACAAAGACCAGTATTCTTTCTTTCAGATCATGAATCATACTAATTTAATTACATCAAATTGGTGATTTAACAGAAAAATGTAAAACTCTTTCAGTGTCGTGGACAAATGAAGACCCTTGGATGGATTGTGTATGCAAGATTTCTTCAAATGCACCTGCAGCACTGCATAGGTTCACAATCCATCGTTATAACATCTTTGCATAATAAAATGTACTGATATATATATAGGCATCATATGTATATTATATATATAGGGTTTAGGGTTTACATATGTTCTTTGTATACAGAATCAAACTTCTACATATAAAGGAATGGAGCTATTAATACTTGTTCAAAAAATCGTTAGATTGTTAGTTGACTGTTGTGTATGAACGAATAGAGCACTACTACACGAGAAATTATAGAATACTATGGTATAGTATGGTCATGTGGTATATCTTGTACACGCTTTATAATATGGGTGGACGATAAGGTTTATTTTCCCTCTTTTAGGGAATAGTACCAATAAATATCCACTTATATTATAACACTTGTACAACATGTATACCACGTGACTATACTACCGTAGTATTCTATAATCACTCCTACTACACGTCCACGCTGCAAATTTACTTACAAGCCATTGGTCCTTAAACAATTGTAGATTATTACAGCATGCTCTCATATTTTCAAAAGAGTTTACATCACAATCAGGTAAGGAAGAGAGCCAGCCAAATTTGTGCTTCTTAATCCACACAAATAATCTAAGTAGATTTTACAGCAAAACAAGCGTAGAAATGAGCAACATTGTTCCAAATACGTGCCCTCCATAGACATGTCCATTGTTAATTTTAGATACAATTAATAGCCCCCCTTCTAACAATAGCCACAGCACATCTACATTTGGCATGACAATGTCCTTGGCATGGATAGTGCTCTAAAGAGACGATGATTCCCTTGTACAAAATATATAAAGAAAATATTGGTCCACTTCTCTATGCTGTAGGTAATATTACATGCTCTCGGGGAGTATACGAGTGAGAGTCATTTATCTGTTAGCTTCCACTCCTCCCTCTTCACCGCACCTCCATCACATGCACATATATATGTGAGTTTGAGCTTCTTCTAAAGAAAAGGATTCGACAGAAACTCAAGCAGAGAAGTAGATATGTCGTCCCGTAGAACGCATGGCCTGTGAGCAATTCCATTCCATTAACGAGAAGCAAATACGAAATACCATAATGCTCAGTACATTGAATGTGTGAATGAGGGAAATACCAATTTTGAAACTACCATACCATACTATCTTTAAAGAACGTACCAAGTTTTAGGTCGAGCAACTGCTTAAAAAATAAATAAATTCAGACAATTTCACATTTATAGAAAATTTACAAACATCTGGTAAATAATTGATTCGGCAATTTCAATCTGATTCTAATTAAGAATAAATAAATAAATTCAATTACACATTGTGAACTTTTAGCTAGCAAAATTACTATAATTACACATTGCGCAGTACTAAATGTGCAAGCACAAGTATTGACAACTCATATCTGCTTCAATTGAACAAATCCAAACTGCAAATTCCAGGACCAACATCTTTATGGAAGACTATTTGGGCGCCTGTATTGCCAATTGCTATTCCCTCACGATCATCCTCTTTACATTTACATCCAAAGGAGAAATATGGGGATTTTGCGGCATCATTGTACTTCCAAAGCATCAATAGTTCTCACTGATGAGCTCTTTCTAAAAGGCATCCCTTTCTTCATCTGGCACACCCTCTCATTGTCTGTATCAATTTATACAAAATTTTCATTATACAGCAAACAATTCTAAATTCACATATTCAGAATTCTTATAACATATGCTCAAATACGAAAACCAACGCATCTGAATAAGTAAAAACTAATTGTACCGTTAATTTCGAGGCCGATGATTATGGCATCCGCCACTGTATTGCAGAACGCCCTCCTCCTGTAGCAAGAATTAATCCTTCAGTCACATTATTCAACAGTATAGAATATATACATATAGAGAGAGGCTTACAGTTTCTGGTAAATCATTGATTCGATGTAAATTGACCTGATCCATGATCTCCACGGAAAAGTAGTCTTTGTATTTGACTTTCTTCTGATGTAAGAAGAGAAGGATGCTTTGATTTTCCTCCATTTTTTTTTCTCAAGAAGAAAGCCAAACAGAAGAAACCCTAACTAGCTTGGAAGAGCCGTTTTTCTCTATAAGAGGTACTGCGCTCATTTGACAACCACACCTACCTCATAACAAATTTATAGTGGGCGTTTAGGGCAGACAACCCCACCCAACCACATTGCCAACAACGAAGTATACATGGCAGCCTCTTATTTGTCACCTCCACGTATCTCAGACACACTGATTGGCCAGCATGTCATCAAACAATATCCCTAATGTTTATATTTTCAACTCTCTTTTTAAATGAGGATAACATAAAATAATTATAGAAAATAAACCACATATGTAATATCACATCTCTAATATACAGGTGACTCATATTTGTAAACCCTACCTCTATTAGAGATATGGTATAATAATGTAGTCTCGAGTTTTATTTGGAAGAATGAAAAAATATATTGGCATTCACTCGAGTGTGGGTCGAGATGCCAGCTATCCGATTATAAAAACAAATGCACCTAGTAGCCATGAGCGTAATGAAATGCCAAGTCGAAACATTTCACAAAAACTTTGTGCATGCATGTGTTAATTAGAATGCCGTGATTTTAACTATTGAGTTTGATAAACTTTATTAACCGTCTCGTTGAATTTTTGTATTTAATATCGGTGTATTTATACATTTTAAAAATTACAGTTTGCTACAATAACGTGAGTGATGCAGTTTTCTACAATTATAGTAATAACTTATCATTTCTCCAAGTTTAACAAAATTGGTTGGTTTTTTCAAGATATAAAAGGCAATAAAAATGGTAAATGGCAACAAAATAACCAACTTGCACATTATAGTATTTGGTACTATAATAAATTTATTGCCTATAATTCTTTAAAAAGAAATGTACCAAAATATATAATATCATGTACTGGGAGCGGATCTGTTGTCCTTAATTTGGTGTCACCTCTCTAATTATTCAACACGCAAAGGGTTAACTCTGTTAACTTTTTTATTTGGTATTTAAAAATATAAATAAAAAAAAACCAAAATGCCAAAGGGTGCTTACGAGTCCCCAATAACTTCTTTTATTTCCTGAATTCGACAATCATGAGTCTTCTCAAAACCCTCAATATTGCCCTCAATATTGCCTTCTTTTACTTTTGTCAAAATCCCAAGTTAATTTCCCTCATTCAAACATGTCGTACTTAATGCAGTGGTGTTTCAATTCCAAAATTGGAGGTTAGGAGTTTGATTCCTTTGTCTCCCAACATTTCAATATCAACATATTTTTTGAACCGATCAAATCGTATTGGTACATAGTTTCAACATTTGGGGTGTGGATCACCGATTCACACCCCACATGAGATATACCTTTGGATAAGTTGAAACTAACAAATTAATACACATAAGGTACAAACTAATGCAACTAGGAGGGTCCCTTTTTATTATTTATTTATTTATTTATTTATTTTAAATAGTATAGCCGTGCGGCTATACATGTTAAATATAATACAAATTTATAAATAAACCCAATCCTAGACATGTATTTATAAAAAAACCCAAACACTATTTAAACATAGAAACACACCCAAAATCAACCCCAAAATCAACAATTGTATATTTTTTGGGTGTGTTTATAAATGAGTTTTGAGTGTGTGTAATGATGGGTTTTGGGTGTGTTTATAAAGTATTTTGAGTGTTTGGTTTTTTTTATAATTTCAGCTTCCATTTTGGGTGTTTTAGTGAAACTCCCTAAATATAATGCATATAAATAGTCATGCCGGGCAACTATACTACGATTTTTAAATAAAAAAACCAATGTAGCCGGGTGGCTATTTTTGACACGTGGCACCTAATTGATAGAGGTCTTCTTTTTTATATAAAAAAAAAAAAATAGTACCGCCGCACGGCTATACTCCGTGTTTTTATTTTTTTTTAAAATATATATATGTTTACATTGTTGACATATTGGGCCTAAAACTAATAGGTGCCTGGGGGGGGTGGGGGGTTTTTTATACTAAAAATAGTATAGCCGCACGGTTATACTCATTTTTTTATTTTTAATAAAAACGCTATACCATATATGGAAGATTGTATTAAAATATCATATAGTGGACGATTAATATCTACTTTGGATATGTTGAAACTAGCAAATTAATACACATAAGGTACAAACTAATGCAACTAGGAGGGTTCTTTTTTTATTTTTTATTTATTTATTAAATAGTATAGCCGTGAGGCTATAACTTTTAAATATAATGTATTTAAATAGTATAGCCGGATGGCTACACGACGATTTTTTTAAAAATAGTATAGCCCGGCGGCTATACATTTTTTGACACGTAATGCCTAATCGATAGAGGGCACTCCAAAAAATAAAAGTGCTTGCTCTAATTGTTGCATTGTGTGCCTTTATATAGGAAAGCGGAAGGGGAAAAGAAGACCAAAGAAAAAGAAACATAGTTGAGCTAGCTATGAACAAACTGTATATTTGATGTCTTAAGCTTACTCTACTGTGTCTTCTTCTTTTTACACATGTTTTCCTTCCCCTAGGTAATCATAATGAATGAGGACAACTACAAGCAATTAGCCACAAGATTAAGACACTCTACAAAAGCTTAGCTTGGTACTGAAGGGTAACCATAATTAGGTGTGGATAAATTGCCAGCCACATTGAGATTTGCAGCTATAAATGAAGTCTTAGTCATCCTCTATTCCGTACTGGATGTTGAAAAACTATTGAACCACATCAATACTCAAAACACTATTGAGGACTCTGTTTTGATGTGCCATTGATAATGAATTTGCAGGACTTCTTCTATATTTCATATTGATCCATGAGCATGAGTTTAATCTTTCTATGGAGTTCTCCATTGTTGGTATTTCTCTTGAGCTCGGATTGTTCCAATTTATTTAGAATTTACTTTTCAAGATTGGTTATATACTACAGGGGCGCCAAAATGGAAGGACCCAGGAGGAAATGGAGGGAAATAGTTCTGAGGGTTGGGTTTGGTCGAATGGGTAGTGATTTTTTTAACGTTAGTTTTGATGTAAATTAATTGGAAGGACCATTTTGATGGGTAGATGATAACCCGAAGGACTATTAGTGTCACACAAAAAACCTGAAGGACGATTCGTGATAATTTTGTAAACCTAAAGGACCATTTGTGATAAAAAGCCTTTTTATAAAGTAATGCTACACTTACGACATTTTATCCCACATTTCTATACCACATGATGTGGCATGTACATATCATATGTCACATCAATTAAATGAATGAAGTTTATTTTAATAAATAAAATTAGAAAAATAGAAACTAGTATTTTACATGATGTGGTATGTACACATCAGCTGCCACATCATGTGGTATGAAATTGTGGTATAAAAATGTGGTAAGACTAGTATTATTCTTTTATAAAATAATAATAGAAAAACGTATGGCCGCACGGCTATACTCCGTGTTTTTAATGTTTTTCATTTAGACATGTGTTGACACGTGGCGCCTAATCGGTGGGGGTCCTCCTTTTTATATTTTAAAACAGTATAGCCGTGCGGCTATACTCGGTATTTTAATTTTTGATAAAAACGTATAGCCGCACGGCTATACTATTTTTTAAATGGGCGCCTAGGCACTGTGCGGCTGCTTTGCTTTTTTTTTAAAAAAGCAAATAGTATCGTTGCGCGGCTATACACAATTTTTTTAATTGTTTTTTAAAAATAGTATAGCCGTGCGGCTATACAGTTTGAATATAATGTATTTAAATAGTATATCCGGGCGGCTATACTACATTTAAAAAAATATATATATAGTATAGCCAATCGGAGATACTTTTGTTGACACATGGCGCCTAATTGATGGAGGGTCTCCTTTTTATTGAAAAAAATAGTAGTACAGCCGTGCGGCCATACTATTTAATCAATTAAAAGTTAAGCAAAAAGCACACTCCTTGTTGCATTAGTTTAGACTTTAGAGATATTAATTTGCTAGTTTCAACATATCCAAAGTAGATATTGATCACCCACTGTATAATATTTTAACATGTATTATTTTTATTTTTATTCAATATTATGTGAGAATTATTTTTATAATACGTGAATTTTGTGTGTCTTATTAAAAATTTTGTAAAAAATACGTGTATTAAACATGAAAAATACATGCGTAGATGTACAATACGAGTATTGTACATTTGCTTTTTTTTAAAACGTGAATTTAACCCAGTCTCTAAGACATGTACAAAACACAGATGTATTATTGAAAAATCCGTACGTGCATGTATCATAGAGTATTAAACGTGAAAGTACTCAATTGTTTGTACGGGTAATAATGGAAAAGAAAAAAAATTAAAGGGGGACAATAGAAGCTCGGGTAATGACCTAATAGTAATGGATAATATTATAAACTAGTCTTATCAATAAATGAAAATCGGGGAAAAAATTTAAAAGAAAGAAAGGATCCCAATATACACATTTATTAAAAGAAATTAAAACAAAAAACCCCAGTAAAGTCACCTAGCTATATTGTTTTTATAAAAAAAAAAATTTAAAAATCTGAGATTTATATATATATAAAATAAAATAAAAAAAATTTAAAAAAAAAAAAAAAAAAAAAAAGAGCTGCCGTACAGCACCTAGGTGCCATGTGTCAAAATAAGTATAGCCGTGCGGCTATACTATTTTTAAATAAAAATAAATCAATTTTTTGTCCATTCCTTTGTCTGTCGCTTCTCATTCTCTCTCCCCTATTCTCTGCTTTTTGTTTTTCCGTATTACAATACATCAAATGGTGAAACATTAAAACATTGAGAAAATATTTTTGATAAACTATAAAGTGCTAGAGATCACAATTATCATGAGGGTATAATGGTAAGAGAATTATCATTTAAAATTAACAAAATTTAAATCAAAACAAAAAAACACAAAACCCATGTACTCGATGTGGTTGTTACCCCCACCATTCTACTCCTTTTCCTTTTTGGGTTTTTCTTTTCTCATTTGTTTAATACATTACTAGCTTTCCACATGGAGAAATTATAAAGTAGTATGATATCACCACGTTAGCTTGTGATACTTTCACGTAAAAAATATCATGTGTCATTTTAGAAAGAAAATAAATATTCTTTTTAAAGCTCGACTTTGTCTATATCCACTAAAATAAAATTAGAAAGAAAAAAAATGTGCCAGCAACCCAACAATCATTAGTCACAAGTAAGCCAAATCCCCATAGCCCAATAAATTGTTGCAACCAGGAAACTTCATCATCATTGTCAATGAGTAAAAAAATTATATAATCTTAATATCTGATGAGGCTTATTAGATCCACATTCGAGAACCAGCATAATACCCAACCCAATCAACCTTTTCAATATCAATTTCCTGTTGGTCAAACTTGTATGTGATACACCCACTTCCCATTACAACCTTCTTTACATCTAATGAAAATGTGTAGTTTAGAAGTCAACAAACCAGTGAGACCTTCATCAATGAGAAAATATAGATGGATCTTGGTGTAGCCACCGAAAGGTTGAGAAGCAAATTTGGCTATGATTTAGCAGTTGAAGAGAGAGAGAGAGAGAGAGAGAGAGAGAGAGAGAGAGGCGACCAGGTCAAGCGACACGGGAGTAGGCAACTGGGTTGGGGTGGGAAATTGCTTGTCTCTTGTTTTTTTCTGATTTTTTTATTTCCTTAATTTTATTTTAAATGGTAAAAATTAAGTTCCAATTCCAACTATAAATAAAATGTGAGTTGTTGACATATTTTGAGTGGAAGTATCACCAACTGACGTGATGATATCGTACTATTCTATAATTTCTCCTCTACATGAAGCTTATGTAGGCCCTATAAAAAAAATGAAGCTTATATTTTTTTTAATGCCTTTTTTTTTAATGCAAGTTTTTTTGGTTTGGCTTTGGTCCGCCACCTCCACATTACTAAAAACATAACCATGTCATAATCTAATATCTCAACCTATATCTCAGCTTCCTTACATTCGATTTTGTTTCCTCTTTCTGTATATTAGAGTAGTTTACAATATTGGTAATTTTTAAAAAAACATATATCGCAGTTCACTTAAGCTACAAATCTCTTACACATAAAACACTATTTTTAGTTCTTTCAGTAAAAAAAAATTAGAAAAAATTATTAATTTGTCATGAGTCCCATGTAAATAGGTTATTTTATGAAAAACTCGAGTCATGTCACCCAGCTCTAGTTACTATTCCAGGTTACATAGTAAATGACCCAATTGTATTCACAGTGCACTTTGTATTAGACCTTTCTCAGTACGCACTGTCCACAAACTATTTTTTTTCTTCCTCTCATTATATATAAAAATATATGTACATGGAAACTAAAATACAATCAAAGAAGCCAACATTATTTCTTCATATAAATGTCATGTCAAATGTTAAAATAATATATTGGATATATACAATAAGAATGACAAAATTGTTTGATTTTGTCTCGCTATACTCACTTTATATTCTCTTTTGTAAAGCAATAAGTAGCACTATGAAAATGGGAGAAACAAGAAAAATAATATATGGAAGAGTCTGACTCAGTCTACCTACTTCACCTTCAGCCTCTTTTAGCACATAGTCGGATTTATTTTCAATGAAAGCTTCAAAATAATTTTGAAAGCCAGTGTTCTTCCAAGGCGAGCTCCTTGTAATCTTCATCATTTCCATGGCCTGCCAGATGCATAAGATCCATATCATTTAAGATGGAAATGAAAGAAACTGCCTGAAAATATGCACTTGAAAAAATATATATATCCACTTTGAAATGTGAAAAACTACTTGCAGGAAGCCCCCATAAGATATAGCCTACTATTTCCAAATGGTATTTGGATCTTAGGACATGAAATACAATCGTTACAAACAAACGAAATGCATGCCTAAGATATATGTATCATTTCCGGTGTCAATTCACAGTCACAGTTTGTTTTGTTTTTAGGATTGCATGCTACATTTGAATATAGAGCACCTTGGTGCCTTGCATACAGATGCTAGTTTATGTATAGATCCAACTAGTAGTTACCTGAAAGCTGAACACAAATTGCCTCGCCTTCTTGCTTACTTTAGCAGTTGGGTGGGATTGAAGCTTCTCATACATGACTTGAGCTTCCTGCGACCTATCAACCATCACTAATATTTAAAATCTGAAGGTATTGTAGACCAAGAAAAGATAATAATAGTCAGAAACAGCCCATCTCTATTGAGGATGTGCCACATTCAAACCCAAAAACATACAATGACAACACAAAACATGGTCTCCGTTATGTGGGAAGGACTTGTTTATCAATAATATGACAGAGAACATGGCTTCTGATAGAATGATAAGAGAAGAAGTCATGTGCCCACCTGAAATAGCTGAATCTTACGGGATGACAAAAAATATGCCTTTTCTTCTTTCCTGAACATGGCTTAAGATGCAGGCTAATCATTTTGATCCACAAATGCCTTAAAACTTTATACAGGATGACAAAAATTGTTATTGTTTTTTTTTCAATTCACATGAAATTTTGGCAAGTAAATGTGCACAGTTGTGTCGTCATGTTGAAATGGGATGTTGCCGAACTTCGAAACAAAACTAAAGTTTTGCTTGGATTGATGTATTTATCATCACATGAAAGGCAACCAGCTTATTTCAAATTCCATGTGAAACATAAGTAACAAAGTCTCATGAGATGATTAGATATATACCTACTGAGGGAGTCTTGACAAATAGACCATTGTAAAGCAGCCAACCCATGAAGCTCACTCTGTAAAAACAATTTTCACATGAAACAAATTTGAAAATGTACGGATGTAAAGAAAAATCAGATGTTACCCTTTTACCCAGAAACAAAAAACAAAAAACAGAAAGGAAAAAAAAGAAAAAAAAACAAAAGGGATAAAGAAAGAAGTGCTGAAAACTGATTCATGAAAAATTCATCTCTCAAATATCAACTGCATCACATCACTAGCTAAAACTAAAAGATGTTCAATAGTAGATTTAGGATCATGGTTTTTTGTTTTTGATAAGTTAAGGATCATGGTTTCTATATACCGGATCATTAGATCATAGTATTTCAATTTTTGACAGTCATTTCTCAGCCCAAAAAGAGGAAGATTGTGCAGGAAAAATGGCCATCGTACATGAACATGAATTTTGAATATTCGCCATATGCTGGGAAAATAGCAAGCCGCTCAATTAATAAAGGGCTTGGCTTAATAGAAACAGTGATAAAAATCGAGCAGTCCTCTATTAATTGAGTGGAGTAGTTCCTGAGAGAGTCTTGTTTAGTAGCCCAGTGATTTTTTTAGACAGATAGCTGTACCATGCATATCATGAAAAGGTCAGAAGTAATGTCAGTACTTATTGGCCCAGTGATTTTTTTAGACAGATAGCTGTACCATGCATATCATGAAAAGGTCAGAAGTAATGTCAGTACTTAGTAGCCCAGTGATATAATAGAGAGAGCGAACAAAAGTAACAGATTTAAATAAAGCACACAACTGCAGAAAAATCATACTGCTTGATTACCTGTATTAGCTTAGGGCCCATTTGGCAGAACTTGTCCAAAAACTAAAATAAAAAAATAAAATTCACAGAGAGGTTCTCTTGAAGAGTCTTTCTGGAGAAACTCTCATAATGAGCTTCTCCAATAAGATGCATTTTTGCTTCTCAGATGATTTTCCCCCTCTCCAGAATCTGTTGTTAAATGGACCTTATAGGACAACCAATCACCTGATTAAGTCAGAGTACTTTCACAGGTCACAAGTGCTTCCCTCCCACAAACCTATTTTGAGCTTCCACTAGTTCTCTGTAAATTGTAATGCTATCACAGCCAATTACAATTTACAAGAGAGCACCCCATCAATTAACAGATCTGGATTCAACTAATAGATTCAATCAATGTATATCAGTTGCACTGAATTTCTAAATCCAGTCACGTATTAACAGGGTATGATCGACAGTAATTGCTAAGTCACTGTCACTAATATTAGATACCAGGAAATGAAAATTTTGGATTCAGATATTTTGAACCAAAGATTGTGCCTGCGAAAGATTATGAAGATGTGGTCAATCATTTTGCTTAACCAGGGTTAGCAAGGACCAACGCATGACAAGTCCTCAATACTTCTCCCAATAAAATACTTGTTTGCGATGGTATAAGCTGACAACATAAACGATATCAGTCAACTTACAATCTTATCGAGTCTTACAATTTACAACAATACTCCTACAAGGAACACTAATTGGTATGTAAATTATTGAACTTGTGGCAAATCAGAGAGGTATCATTTCGTCATAGTAAAAAATACCCATTGTCCAAATATGTTTGTAGCAAAATTTATTTATTGTTTTATATGTGCAAGCAGTTCAGATAATTTACAGCAACATTACCTTAAATGGTAACTTATCCATAACCTGCTCATAGTAGATTAATGCTTCCTTAAGCTCTCCAACATCCATCAATGTGTCACCATCCTTTAGTGCCTGCATATAAAATTACAAATTTTAGAAATGATAATGTTGTATAATTTTATTGGATTCTTTAAGATGAGATGATGGTGAAGGGCAAGATGTCAATACAAACCATAATACTCAAGATTTTGTTATAAGATTTACATGTTCAAGAGTTTCAGTTTCCAATTTTGTCTAATACTGTGTCTGAAAATCACAGAAGCGTAAGGTCATTTCAAGACTCTACTGTATTCACTTATTTTGGCTTATGAAATAATTCACAGAATTGTCTCAGTAGCATATGCTTCTCTTTAGGATTCTATGATGCAATGCAGCCTAAGTGTGATGCCCAAGGTCTCTAGGGGATTCCAAGAATCCTACTAGTGTAATGCTATGTTCTTCACTTCTCTACAGAAAACATCAATAGCACAATCAGTAACATTGCTATATATTTTTCTTCCGGTCTTATTACATCAGTCAACCATAGTCAAAATCTGGAAGTATTTAAAACGGAAACCCAATATCTATTTTCCTTTTATAGAGAACTAGCAAATTTAGTTTAGGATTTATAAGGGATCATATAATTTGGTTTTTGTTTTTTCTTATAACAAATTTACTGCGTTCATGGATAACTCCAAAAACATCTAGTTTAGTTAAGATCTAGACCAGTGGCAACACCCAAAACACCAACCTGATGCCACTAGAATTTGACTTTATACATTTAACCTAATTTTAAATCCATTTCCAGTACCCAGAAGAATTTGATTGACCTATCACAATATTATTATTCACCATGATCCCTACTCGGTAAAACATCTCAAAACCTGCAAATAACAAAAGAACTTTAGAAACATTTCAAACTCCTATATGGGAATGCTCTCTGAGCATTATATAAAAATAAAAAAAACAACTAGTTCAGATATGAATAAACCAAGTAGACTATTCCTGTTAATTGCAAATAGAGAAGGAAACATATTCTGCAATGACATTATCTGAAATTCGACTTCTATGAAACAAACAAATGAATAGAGTAAATTAAGAAATGACAATAGGAAGCGAGGGAAAAGGGTTTTCAGGGGAAGAAAAATTTTTGGCATACAAGCAGACAACGAAAAATTTCAATTGAAGCAAACCTTCTCACATTCAGATCTTAGCTTTGGGTCAATGTTCATGCCCATTTTACTCTTGTAAGCAGCAACTAATTGTCTTGTGCGTGCTTCTTTAGCAGCTTTTTCTTCAGCTGTTTCCAGCACTTCCCCAGGGTGTATAACTCTTCCACCACCAAACTGAACAAATAAAGAAACTCAGTTAGATCAATCACGTTTTCAATCCCTTCCCCTAAATACAGAAATACAGCAGCTGTATCAATATCACAGTAATATTCCCAATTCAAAAACTTCACTCTATAAATGGTCATCTCACAGTACAAAGTTGTGAATCCATTTACAGTGATAACATTTACCAGTGCAAAGTTTAAGGATATAAACCAATTGTCTTGTTGCCATCAAGTCAGATAAACAACATCAATCTATGGTCAAATTAGTTCATAAAAGATTTTTGCACTTATTTCTTCGATAGTTTTAAACACCAAAGAGTAACTAGAATACATACTACCAGTGGAAACTTGAAACATGATCAAACAAAATATAAGTGAACATCTTCCCTACATGATATGTACTAAGAACAACCCATCAGCTACTTCCAGAGTCAACTGAGGAATTCACATAAGATGAAATTAAGCTCTTGTTTCCATCTTTAATTTGATAGAGCAGTCTGTGAGGGAGCCAAACTCTTCAATGAAGATTTACAATATCTGAAGGCATTTAAAATAACCTATAGCTGTGAAATGCGACCCATCTATTTCGTTCTTAGGATTGATTGCATATGATTCCTGGGCATGTCTTCAAATATCCGTTTAAAAATGAATGCCCCTATTCATGCATAATGTTATATGGATGTATCAAACACGCTAATGTAACACTAACTGTGACATTAACTGTCATACCGTTTTTGAAATGTCGTTCGGTCTAGGAAATACACCCCATGAAGAGACTTTTGGCTTGTAAACATCTGAGTTGTCTCCTTGAGTCTGCTCTGGCTTCCGTGCCACTGCATCAAAATTTCTAGCGTCCCCGACTATAATCTCAACGTCAGGTGAGTTCCCTTCTGGAAAATAGTCTGCTATTGGAACCAACCCAGCTGGCAGTCCTCTACCCTCCTTCTTATCAGCAAAGCCAAGTCCCACAAAATCAATACTTGAAACTGACAATTTTCCCTTCTTGTCTACTATCTCATTCCCCAAGTTTCCCCCAGTACTTTCCTCCAAACCTATAAGACAATTCAAATACAAATTTTATCCCACATTTTAAATTACATAATTCATTCTTGAGCAGAACCTCCAAAGGTATTTTGTGTTTGCTATCACCTTAGAAAACTCCAGTGCATTGCTTCGAAAAATAATGGAAAAGCAAACTTAGAAAAACAAAAATCAAAACAGAACTTATAGATTATTAAACCTTCTACCATTGATGAAGAAGCAAATAAACAAACACCTAAATTTATGCAAGTCTAACACAAGTACCTGTTTCACTTCAATAGAACATGGAAACTGTCACTCTTCAACTCTAATTTCAAATATATTTTTTTCTTTTCAAAATTACCTGAAATTTGGTCACTCTCCCCAGCATTAATGTCACCACCCACAATGCCCTTACTCTTCTTATACTCTTTAGCTTTCTCCATTGCAATCTTAACCGCAGCAGGCACTTCCTTCTTCCCACCGCCAGCTCCATCGGGGCCCGACTCACCATTTCCAGCAATCCCATCACCATCCTTCACTGGGTTTTTCTCAATTTTCAATTTCTTGTTCATTTGCACTGACTTCTTATACGCCTTGGCGTTCTCCAGTGCGAGCTTGACAGGGTCCGTTGGCCCAGGCTCGGCTTCCGGCGTTGTTTCGGGTGAATTCGGTGAGTTGGGTTGTGAAGATTCAGCATTGGGTGGGTTGAGAGAGAAGGAGAGTTTGAATGGTTTTAAAGGGTGGGGCTTGTTAAGGTTTGTGGAGGGGAAAAGTGTGGGTTTTGTTGTGGAAGAGATGGTGTTGAGGGAAGAGAGCCATGAAGGTTGAAGAGAAGCCATTAGGGTTTGCAGAGTGTAAGTCAGTAAGTCAGTGTGCTTTGCAAGAGGGTGTTTCTGAGGTTGGAAAAGGGTTTGTGGCCATGGAGGAACTCAAACGGGGTTCTGGTTTTTCAGTTATATCTATATTGGTTCTATTTGAACCGAAGAACCTTTACTACTATGGAGGTGGAGTAGAGGTCATATCCTGATATCTTTACGGTCCACAGTCAACTCAAAGTTTGGGCTCGGATTTAATGGTATTTTAGTGTTGAATGTTCCCAAATTCAAGTTTCTTTTTTTTCTTTTCTTATAAAAGCGTAGTCTAAGGGGGGGAATGAAACCTACGACCCCGGATGCGGAGGTGAATACTGAGTTAGAAGACCCCTCAAGTTCCTCTCATTGACAATAGCTAGTCCTTTCTGCACTCCTCGACACTTGAGCTAAATTCTAGGACTATGGATTATTCAGAAGTGTTTTGACTATAGTTCTGTAACATTAATTTTGAGTGTGCGCTTTTGTCCCATTTTGCATAGTCCTTTATCTTCTATTTTTCTAATTAAGATCGTCCTTGTTAACCCCCACATAGAGAAAATAATAATAAGAAACTATAGTCGATAGTTTCGTGAACTTGAGGAACGTTTTGTTATTAAAAACTCTTACATTATCGCATTCTTCGTGAACTTGAGGAACCTCTCTAAATTCCTCTCAAAATTTGGTTTTTGGGGATCGCTGTTACCTATGGTTGTCACCAGAGTCATGGTTGTTACCGTTTGTTTATTGTCATAAGAGTCCTGTCCTTTCATCTCTTTGTATTCTCATGAAAAGACCGGTAATCATTTCTCATTCTTCCTGATTTGAGCTTTTGTGGTAACGAATTTGGAGAAATATGGTGCCCGTGGGACAATGAATGATTATTTATTTGGATGATTGTTGAATCACTGCATGAACACTTTCTTCATAAGCAGACTCATGCTCTGTGATGATTCAAATCTTGTTCACAATACAGTTAAAAAGCAATCTAGTTTACATTTATAAATACCAAGAGCAATAATTAATTGACTTCTAAACTTTCCGACGTCCGGCAATCTCGATCCATGTCCATTCTTATCCAAGCACACTATCTAGCCAATAACTAAATTTATGTGAGCCTAACAGAACATGCTCCCAGCTGCCACCAGAAACAAGGCACCGATCCGATTAACTTTACCCCATCATCTAAATACTCCTAGTGAGTGATTCACGCAAGTGATGCCCCCATCAATCATGAGATTATCCCCACTTATATACTTGGACTCATCACTTGCTAAGAAGAGCACAGCATTAGCTACATCATCAACTGTCAATTCTACTCCTTGCAAGTTGGCATTTCCCCCTACAAACGAACGGAAACCTGCCCAGGCATCTTCAGTTCTTTCCTCCTCGGGCAAGTGAGCCAAAGCCAAATTTGTCGCAACTGCGTAAGGAGAAACACAGTTAACACGAATCCCATGAATTCCAAGCTCGGCAGCAACGTTCTTGGTGAGCCCCAATACAGCATGCTTGGACCCTGTGTATGCATGTGGTCCTAAGCCTCCTAAAGCACTTGAAACACTGGAAAGAGAAATTATACTGCCCCTTTTTAGTGGGATCATTATCCTAGCTGCGTGTTTCATTCCAAGGAAGACTCCCTTCACATTAATATCAAATACCTTCTCAAACTCAGATATGTCTGCATTGCGGATGTCGGGACAAGGTGAGCCTGACACCCCAGCATTGTTGACGATGATATCAAGTGAGCCATATTTATTGACTGTGAAATCAACTGCACGGCTGACATCATCCTCTATTGTGACATCACAATGGAAATAACTAACATTTGGGTCACCACCGAGGGATTCGCAGACTTGCAAGGATAGGTTGTCCTGCACATCAACTAAACAAACTTTTGCACCATGTTTGTGGAATAGGCGCACAATGCTTTCTCCAATACCGGTGGCTCCACCAGTCACCAATGCCACTTTCCCTGCTAACCTGAGCAGAAGAAAAAGCAATTGAATATCTATAAGAAAATGGAATGCATTTACTTCTCTGGTATGAGATTGGGTATGGTGGCTTTAAAAAATTCCAGAATTCTGTGCTACACGTGCTCGCCCTTGCACATAAAAACACAATTATTTTGAGAGATGACAATCTACTATTTGATCTCTAACACCAATTTGGCTGTCCTGAGGAAACAGATTATCTGAATAGGTTAGTCATTTTCAAGACATCCATGAAAAAAGTCACATCTATTATATAAGGGGAAGTTTCAATTGAGTCGATCGGGCAAAATTGTACTTTTCAGGAAGCAAACAGATAATGCAAATGGTATAAAGCCTCTGAAGTTTAAGCAAACAGTTCAAATTGATTGCCATATGTAACTTCCTTTCCTTTTTTTGTCGTCATTTCAAAGCCCAAGACCATTTGCAGTATTTGTTTGTTCTCTTTTGGAGAAATATATTGCTGACTCAATTTGTAGGGTAATCGTTATCCATATATTTCATTTTTCTTCTCACACAACTAAGCAAGAGCAGGGCAAGTAAAACCCCATTCAATCTCAGTTCAACTTCCAGAAACATACTCAATCTTAGGCACACCAAAGACTAAATCAAACGGGTAGAATCACAGAGGTAAACCCAACCAGGTGATTTGCACAGTTAGATTCAGTACCCGAAAATCCGGATAACAGATTCTCTGAGGAAAACAAAATCAGTTTAACAATAAAAGCAACAGTTCCAGATTGAACACCAAAAATAAACAAATATAAACACTTGAGATCCACAACAGTAGACGGCTGGACTGTATAAAAGAAAGAGAGGGAGGAGTTTGTTACCTCTGGCTTGGAACCGAATCCACTTCAGTCATGGTGGAGAAGATGCCTCAACAACTCTTTGTTTCTGTAATGTGTTCGACTGTTTGTGTGGGCTTCTTTCTTTCTCAGTCTCGTGCTGTGTAAATTTCTTTCTTTCTCATGTGTAAGACCGTTTGAGTGGAATCTTATTTTTTTCTGGTGTACAAGCACTAGTCTAAACTTGACGGGTAGGGATGGCAACGTTTATAGTGCACTAGGTGCACTGATGCATCAATTTTTTTTTAATAATTGGTTACCGGTTACACAAGTTGTCAAGTTTCCACTTTTTATTAATATTTCATGTAAATGCAATTGCATAATGGTCATGCGATTAAGGCCTTCTTGTTTGGCAATTGGCATATAATTTGACGTGTTATATTTCAATTGAGTTTATTCTATTTGACACACAATGACATGCTTATGAATTTCGCAATGACATTTGTTTACTTTTATAAATCTAAAGTTACTGTTTTAGACTCTTTTTTTATGAGAACCGTTTTAGAGACTTTTTTTTTCCGATATGTCACCTCATTGCAAGTTTACTCAATTTCATTATGAGTTGTTGGTTTTATTTATATGAATTATGATGGCTAGTTGTGGTTAATTCCTCCGTATCTTATGCTTAGTTTTTAAAAATCAATTGAGGTTGGTAGTTTTAATTTTTGTTTCTTTTGTTTCATAGAATTGGTGAATACACATCAACATTTATTTGAGAGCTTCAAAGTCTTTATCCATCAAATTTTTTCACCTCGAGTTTTGTTTATGTAATTGGTTGAAAAGAACAATTCAATTGTATACCTTATTGCATATCCAATTGCATGTGTAAAATCAATTTCTAAAATAAGAACTATATTAATTGTTGAACTCTATGTTACATGGTTGTACTTTCGTAGACATCCTAGAAGTATTATAAATTTGTATTCTTTTCCTAACATGGCCATGGATTTTATAGTACATTATTAGGATTAAAAATAAAATAAAAAACAAGTATAAAAGTAGAAAGTTTACAAGTTTTCTCTTATATTACAAGATTTTTAGTTGTGTTTACAAGGATAATGACACAACTTAACTCCTCCAAGGTCCATTCTTACCTTGGTACTATGTGTACTGTGTCATTTTCTTTGTAAATTAGGATCTTACAAGATTAAGGATCGGTATTACAATAGTTTAGATATGAGGGTACCATAACATTGTAAGAGGATCCCAAAACTTATAAGTTACAAGATTTGGGTAGGGATTTACAAGTTTTTAAACCAGAATTACAACATTAGGGTTCACATAATACATAGTGTTGTAAATCCTCATTTTACAAGGATATGAATTCACATTACAAGGAATTGGTAAGTGTGGACCTTGAAAATGTAAATTAGGTCCTTATTTTAGTGAAGATGAGTGTTTACAAGATTAAGGCCCGATTTTACAATATTTTCAATATGAGGGTACCATAAAGTTGGAATGAAGATCCATAAACATGTACGTTACAAGAATTGAGACATCATTTACAAATTTATGGACCGGAATTACAATGTTAGGGTTCAACCAATCCATAATGTTGTAAATCCTCATTTTATAAGGCTATGGATCCACATTACAAGGAATTGGTAGGTGTTGACCTTGAGGTAGTAAATCAGGTCTCTAATATAGTAAAATGAGAGTTTACAAGATTAAGGGCCAATTTTACAATTGTTGGGATATGAGGGTATCATAACATTGTAAAGATGATCTATAAACATGTCAGTTACACGATTTGAGTGTGATTTACAGGTTTTTGCACCACAATTACAACATTAGGGTTCTCATAATCCTTAATGTTATAAATCCTTATTTTACAATGATATGGATCCACATTACAAAGAATTGGTAAGTCCAAACCATAAGGATGTAAATTGGGGTCCATATTCTAGTAAAATGAGGGTTTACAAGATTAATGGCCGATTTTACAATTTTCTAGATACAAGGGTACCATAACGTTGCAAAGAGGATCCATAAACATGTACATTACAAGATTTGGGTTGCGAGTTACAAATTAATGGACTGGGATTACAAAGCTAAGGATCATCCAATCCATAATGTTGTAAATCATCATTTTATAAGGATATGGATTCATATTACAAGGAATTGGAAAGTGTTGACCTTGAGGTAGTAAATTGGGGTCCCTAATGTAGTAAAATGAGGATTTACAAGATTAAGGGTCAATTTTACAATGGTTGGGATATGAGGGTATCATAACGTTGTAAAGATAATCCATAAACATGTAAGTTACATGATTTGGGTAGTGATTTACAGGTTTTTGCACAACGATTACAACATTAGGGTTCTCATAATCCTTAATATTGTAAATCCTTATTTTACAAGGATATGGATCCATATTACAAAGAATTGGTAAGTCCGAACCATAAGGATGTAAATTGGGGTCCTTATTTTAGTAAAATGAGGGTTTACAAGATTAATGACCAATTTTACAATTTTCTAAATACAAGGGTACCATAACATTGCAAAGAGGATCCATAAACATGTACATTACAAGATTTGGGTCGTGAGTTACAAATTTATGGACCAGAATTACAAAGTTAGGGATCATCCAATCCATAATGTTGTAAATCTTCATTTTACAAGAAATGGTTCCACATTACAATGAATTGGTAAGTGTTGACCATGAAGATGTAAATTAGGGTCCTTATTCTAGTAAAATGAGGGGTTAAAAGATTAAGGGCCGATTTTACAATGTTTTGAATACGATGGTACCATAAAGTTGTAAAGAGGATCCATAAACATGTAAGTTACACGATTTGCGTAGCGGATTGCAAGTTTTTGCACCAAGGTTATCACACTAGGGTTCGCATAATCCATAATATTATAAATCCTTATTTTACAACTATATGGATTCACATTACAAGGAATTGATAAGTGTGGACCTAGAGGATGTAAAATGGGGTCATTATTCTAGTAAACACGATGGTTTAAGAGATTAAGGACCGATGTTACAATATTTTGGATACGAGGGTACCATAACATTGTAAGGAGATCCCAAAAATTATAAGTTATAAGATTTGGATGTTTACAAGTTTTTGCATCAAGATTACAACATTATGGGTTCACCAAATCCATAAACTTATAAATCCTTATTTTACAAGGATATGAATCCACATTACAAAGAATTGATAAGTTTAGACCTTCATTGTGTAAAAAGTGGCCCTTATTCTAGTAAACACGAAAGTTTACAAGAGTGAGGACCGATGTTACAATGTTTTGGTTATAATAATACTATAACGTTGTTGAGGCCCAAAAATCCAAGGGGCTAAGCCCAAATTAATCCTTAGCCCAATATGGGTAATTGGATGCAAAATAAGCTCAATCGGGATAAAAGGAAATTTATAAGAGCCGCCAACACAAGCTACAAGCCACGAATCATGCTAAACAAGCACGTGCAGAAGGAGCCAAGGACATGCCGATATTACTAAATCACGCTCACATGCTCATTCGGTGCCACTTTGCCCGACTCTAGCCTATCATGGCATAATAAAACCCCAAGCACGAGCATAGAAATCATGCGCATTTTAATACCAAGCTACGTCACGAGCTTAAGTGGGCCCAAGCCACAAAATTAACCGGGGCTTACTGAGAAGGTTGTGGTATGGAAGGTGACAAGCAATCACGGGGCCCATTGAGGGTTCAAGGAACGTAGGTTTCAAAGCCACTTGGGGGCTTTGGAACTCAAGCCCGTTCCTAGAACCCAAGCATATGGGTTAGCATGAGAGAGAGGAGAAAAAATTGACCCATGCTCTAGGAAGACACCAAAGAACCAACCAAAATATTTAGCCCAGCCCACATCAATAGAATTAAAGGGAAAGCCTTTCCAGCAGCTTGACGAAAGCCTGCCAAACGTTAGAAGCAGCAAAGCCAGAGGACCCAATACCATATGTACAAGCCCAAGCCCAGCAACTTACAAAAATCTGGTGTCAAGTCATATTCCCGTTTGAATTCCAAACAATGGTCATAAGGGAACCATGGCAAGACCAGAGGAAATCCATGGGGGTGAGGGAAGTGTCCATCGGACAAAAGGCTCTATCCCTCCCCATTTCCTCTGTAAGCTCTGCCTTGGAGAAAACATAAGGAAAGCAGGTGGCGCCTTCCCCTCTATGGGAAAGCCCAGCTGCGTCAAACCGTTGGAACCAAAAAGGGTTCCTTACCCATGCTCCTTGGATGGAGAAATTCATCAAAATAGGGCTAGGTAGGAGCTGCCAAGGAAAAAGGAAGAAGAAAACCAGACGAAATTGGAGCTCCTAACGCCTATAAAAGGAGACTTTGGCTACCCAGAAAAATCATCCACAACTCAACGATCCAGACCTTGACCAAGCTTTGTCAAGCAAATCTGGAATTTCCTCAAGCCACCCAAACCTCTCTTCTGTTCATCTTTCTTCTTCTTAGGATAGGGCTCGCACTGATATTTCCTCCGTAAGAAACCCACGCTGTTTTCTCTCTCTCAAATTGCTAAACTTGTGAAAGCTTAGCTCCCATGCCACATGCTCCTCAAGCTAAGCCATTAATGAAATCCTCATGCTTATTTGGGTGTTAGTGAAGTGATCCTGAGAGTGTTCTTTTAAAATCTCATTAGATTTTCTAAAAACTCTCTTGGGAGCTTGTTTTTCGAACTCAGGCATTTGGGGGATTTTGCTCGTTGTCTTCTCACAACAGCCCAGGCCCATTCGTCAGGCTGCTGGAACAAAAAACCCCCTACATAAATTGGCGACTTCACTGGGGAACAAGCTGCCATCTTACTAATGCCTCCAAGAAAGAAAACCCGAAGCAACACCATGGCCTCCCAAGATGGACCCGACCATGGAGATTCTGAATCAAGGCAAAATGCTTCCTCTAGAGGACAAGAACGTGCAAGTGAGGAAGCCTTCACCCTCACTGATCTCATCACGGCTATGCAGGCCATGGGGGAAACCCAGAAGGAGATGATGGACACTATCAACTTGTCCAAATGTATGGTACATTTCAAATGTTATAACTTGTCCAAATGTATGACATAATTCAAATGTTATAAAAGTTCGTAAATGATTAAACTAATATTTTCTATTTGGACTTAGACAACAAGTCCTTATTAAAAAAAAAGAAAGGAAAATAAAATAACTTAAACTAATCAAACTCCTAAAGCCACTTGGAAAAGCCCTCATGCCAACTTGCAATCTCATACAAATTTCCTTATTTTGCTACAACACATCCATATTCAAAACAATAAACTTGGGTATCTTTATATAAATCCAAATAGTTTTAACAAAAAAATAGTTTTAGGAAGAAAAAAAGCTTAACATGTGATAAATGTAATACTTTGTAACTTTATTTATGTCCATCCATTATAGCTTGTAATTGCACAATTTGAATGTAAATGAGACTGTTTTGTTTGTCAATTGCAAGACACGAATGCAAAAGACACTACCTGTGTCAATTGAATTTACAAATCATGTAGTGTATTAACATTCTCAAATTTGAAAATCATTTGTGCATTCCATCATTATTGAAAAGACATGACTTAGAATAAAAAAAAGTTTTAAGTAGAAAAAAATATTTTTTTTTTTTTTTTTTTTTTTTTTTTTTGAAAAAAATGGCTTCACATGTGAGAAATATAATGTTTTGTAACTTTATTTATGTTGATCAATTATAGCTTGTAATTACGTGATTGGAATGTAAATGGGACTGCTTTGTTTGTCAATTACAAAGATTAGGATGCAAATGACACTACCTAATTGTCAATTGCATTGACAAATCAAATAATGTATTACCATTCTAAAAATTGAAAAAAAGCTGCCACAAAATAACATAAAGACTAAAACCAAAAAATAAAAAAAAAAAAAAAAAAAAAAAAAAAGACCGGAACTTTCCCACATCACTCTCATCTTCAATTTAGCTTATCTTACGTCACCAAGCTCATATAAAATTCCTTTATTTTGCTATAGCACTATGTAATTACCATTCCGTTCTTTCTTTAAATAAATAAAAAATTGAATATGTAATTGCCATTCTAATTTGCGGAAGCCGATCATTTGAATGGTAATTGCCAAACGACCACTGTCATTTAATTTTTCTTCTCTTCCATGATCTAAATACCTAAAAGTAAAAACAATAGAATTTAGCACATCAATTAACTTTTACTTTCATTGCAAGTGTTAATAACTTAGTGACAAGTAAATAACAAACATTGTTAGACACAAGGTAATTGAAGTGCAATTGGATTTACAAATATCCAATTGACAAACAGGAAGCAAGTAATTGAATATGTGAAATCCAATTGCATCAATGGAATTCACAAAAACAAGTTGAGAAAACTAAACATAGTCTCAACAATCAATCAAATGGCCAAAGATTTACTTAGCATACAGCTGGATTATTGGAACATAAAAACAAAATGATGGATATTATGCAAACTTGAAACGCAATTGGATTTACAAATATCCAATTGGTAGACATTAAACAGGTAATTGAATATTTGACATCTAGTTGCATCAATGGAATGCATTGCATATAGAACAAAATAACAAATACATGTAATTGTATCAAAGACAATTGCCAAATAGGATTTTGGTACTTGCATCACTAAAATCTAATTACATTAGCGGACTACACCAAAACATGCTTCCAAGCACAAAAAAAATAATGCCAACAATCAATCAAATGAGTTGATAATAATCACCATATCACCATCTAATATAGCTATTGTACCTTGTGGGATAGATGTGACAATAAAGTGTATCGTGAAATTTGATGGGTTGCGCTTTTTGGGTCAGTATCCCCTCACGTCAAACAATTAGTGATATGCATGGGTATGCATCCCTTCACATCGAACAAGGGCTACGAAGTTGTCGCTATCTCTTCATTGTGTGTTATGGTCATTATATCTTGTGCCTACTCAAAGAGAAACAAGGGCATCAGAAAAGGTCCTTCAACCCTTTAAAGATATAAATTTTGAAAATAAAACTCATATCTAGTTAATTGACAATTATTGACAACAATAAATTGAGAGAAGAGTTGGTTCCAAAGGCACAATCCAAAACTACTCAGATATTCAACCCAAAGAAGATAATTAAAACCCAATTATCACAAGTCAAACCTAAAAGACAAATATTGGCTGCTTATTCATGAAATTATAAACCAAATTAGAAATTCAAAACACAGCCTAAAAAATCAAACATAACATCATTTTAAACAGTAGTGTAACTCCTCATAAACGTACGTATGTGCTGTATACAAAAGTTCTCAACTTCTCATAATTTGTATGGGCATATATGAAGCAAATCCTACAAAATTCTCACCAAATATCAAGGATTTTTCTTTTTCGATAACATAATTCAATTCTCACCCTGTCACACAATTTAATTAAGTGCGTCAAAGGTTGGCTAGATTTTTTTACAATGACTTGAAGTCTCATAAATGAGTGCTTCGGTGTGACTATGAAAAAGAATATTAAAGTCCAAAGTGGTCTAAGAAGATGAATAAAATAAAGTCTTAACCATCTGTTAAAAAAAGCTTAATCACAGAATTCATATGTACCAACACATCAAGCACAACAAGAGGAGCAAGTTTATACCTTGGCTCGAAGTCCAATTCGATCGGGAAGTGGCTAGATTTTGTGGAAAACCCGTACTGACTTCCTTATTTCGCAATGAAAGGAATCACAACTTTGTTAGATTCGGACACTCACATCCACAAACAAGAAACCTCAAACTAGATATTATCTTCTACATAATCACAAAGCCAAAATGCCATTGGAATTATTTTTTTTTTTTTTTTTTTTTTTGTTTTTTTTTTTTTTTTGAGATTTCATTCAACATTCAAAAAAGGGTACATCTGCCTCAAGCATAGGAAGCAACCATATTGGTGCATCCTCAATCCAAGAAACAAATTCACTACAACTAATTGCAAATTGAGCCAAGGAATGTGCCACTTTATTACCGCTTCTTGGGGTCCATTGGCATAAGACTGCTTGAAAATTATTCAGTAGGCATTTCACCTCCTGAAATAAGAGACCATTTGTTCCACTGCACTCCTCTACTGAAAGAATCCCAGTGATGCAATCCTGTGCGTTCATCTCTAAAACTGCATCAGTGAAACCCATATCATTAGCAAACCGCAATCCTTCGATTGTAGCCATAAGCTCCGTTTGCCTAGCCCCATAGCTAGCTTGAATCCGTTTAACACATGCCGCCAAAAACTCACCGCCCTCATTTCTGATGACCACTCCAACCCCATGAATAGAATCGCCAGATTTGAGTGCCCCATCTACATTTATTTTATAAAAACCTGTTGGTGGAGGCCGCCAAACGTGCAAAGAAACTTGGGGCCTAGTCGTACAGTCCTGAGTTTGGTGAAAGAGATAGTTAGCTTGAGAGAACTTTGTTGCCAGTGCAGACATTCGGTATAGCAACTCTGATGCAGTTTCTGATGTTCCTTCAAAAATAAATCTATTCCTCCTATTCCAAAGCCCCCAACAGATATATGCAAACATACCTTGTTTGTCCCCTCCTGAGGAGAGCTATATTGCATACAGTAGCTCTCTAAATGAACTGACCCTCCACATCTCACAAACATTCCCCCATACTGAGTTGCGCCACACTTCCTTTGCTGCCTCACACGACCAAACTGCATGGAGAACACTTTCGGCTTTGTGTTGGCAGATGGAACATATAGGTGTAGGGGCTATTTTCCTGTTGTAAAGTGTCTGACCGCACGGCAGAAAATCCCAAGCGCACCTCCATAAGAAAAACTTGATCTTATTTGGGATTTTAAGGACCCAAACTTTCTTCCAGAATCGTGAATTAGAATCTATCCCGGATGATGTATCTCCACACGTTTTGTCCTTCTCCAAGCAAGCGAACCGATATCCACTTTTGACGGAATACATGTTGTTTCTTTCATAATGCCAAATTAAGCAGTCATGATTTGCCAGTGAAGCCAACGGAATCTGCAAGATTTCATCCACCTCTTGGTCCCAAAACACCTACTTAAGTAATGAGACATTCCATTGCCCTGAAGAAGTAAATAAATCACATACCCATATTGAACTGGGCAATTGTGGGGGAGACATGATCTTGAAAAGTGAAGGAACAGGAAGCCATTTGTCAGTATAAACTTGGATAGACACTCTGTTGCCCACTCTCCAACGAAGTCCCTTTTGAAGCAATTCTTTCCCCCACTACAAAGACCTCCAAATAAAAGAAGGATTTGTTCCCACATCCGCTTCTAAAAAATGTAACGATGGATGGTACCTGGCTCTAAAAATTCTTACTACCAGAGACTCTGGATTCTGGAAAATACACCAACATTGCTTTGCAAGCAGAGCCTGATTGAAAGCCTCAAGATCACGAAACCTCAATCCTCCCACAGACTTACTCTTGCATAACAACTCCCACTTCACCTAGTGAATGCCCCTCTTATCTTTCGCCTTTGCCCACAAAAACTGAGCCATAATTCCATTAAGCTCTTTGCACAACCCTTTCGGAATCCAAAAACAACTCATCGAGTAAGTGGGAATAGCCTGTAACACGGCTTTAATTAAAATTTCCTTCCCAGCTCTGGATAAGAGCTTTTCCTTCCACCCACTTATATGCTTCCAAAGTTTGTCTTTTAATTGTTGGAAGAGTTGTTTCCTTCCCTTTCCTGCAACAGTTGGCAAACCTAAATATTTTTCATGACACTGCACAAAAGGAATATTCAGCACACTTGTGATCATATCAAAATCTGCATTTGTGACATTCGGACTTAAGGAGAACGCTGATTTAGAATAGTTGACTTGTTGCCCTGAGACCTCTTCATAGATTTTGAATAATTTTTCCAAGGCCATACAAGCCTCCTTTGTTGCCTTCATGAATAGAAGGCTACCATCAGCAAACAACAGGTAAGTTACAGAAGGTGCCCCCTAGCCACTTGAACCCCAACCAATTCACCTCTCCTTTCTCCCCCACTCAATAAACAAGAGAAACCTTTAGTACACATTAGAAAAAGATAAGGAGATAAGGGCAACCTTGCAGTAACCCACGCTGTGGCATGATGTGTCCCAAGGGGATTGCCCTTCCATAGCACAGAAAATGTAGCAGATGAAACACAATCCATTACTTTAGCAACCCATGTAGATGAAAATCCAAGTTTGAGCATCATCTCATGCAAGAACACCCACTCCACTTTGTCGTATGCTTTGGCCATATCCAATTTGAGAGCCATTTTGACATCACGCCCCTTCTTCACCCCCTTGATAGTATGCATTGTCTCAAAAGCTGCCATCACATTATATAGAATCATTCGGTTCGGTACAAAGGCGCTTTGATTTTCTGTAATCACAACAGGGAGAACATTCTTCAACCGATTGGCAATTGTTTTCGCTACCAGTTTGTAGATAGTCGTACATAGACTGATCGGCCGGAAGTCTGAGACAATTGTTGGCATCTTGACTTTCGGTATGAGAGCTATAAGGGTATGGTTAAACTCTCAAACACTCCCTTCCCCATTCAGAATCTGCAAACACTTAGTAGCCACCTTATCACCCACTATATGCCAATACCTTTGAAAAAATAATGCATGCATACCATCATGCCCCGGTGCTTTAGTTGGGAACATCTGAAATAATGTATCCTCCACCTCTTCCCGCATAAAAGCTTGCAATAATCGATCATTCATAGCACTTGTGATTACCGGCCGTACCTCATTAAGAATCCGCACCATTTGCTGGCCGCCAGAGGAAGAAAATAAGGTCTTGAAATAATCATAGAACAGGCCCCCTATTGTATGCTCATCTGTTTGCCAAACCTGATTTACATCAAACAACCCACTCACCCTATTGCGCTTTGATCAGGAACTCGCCCTTCCATTGAAAAACCTGGTATTTTTGTCACCCTCCTTGAGCCACGCTACTCGGGAGCGTTGTCTCCACATAATTTACAGGAGAAAATTTGAATATGTTTCTAATAATTTTTTCTCCTTTAAGACTTACTTCTTCTTCTTCTTCTTTTTTTTTCTCTTTCCATTTTCCTAAGAGACTATAGTGCAAATATGATCAAGTTTTCATACAAATGTGGCTATTTACTATTGGAAGAATTTTAATCTGAAGTGACCAACTATGAAATTTAATATACAATAAAAGTCATAAAGGCATAACTAAAATTGAATTGCCTTAACCTAAAAATATTTACAACAAAAACCATAATGGCAGCTTCAACAATTACGCAGCTTCTCCTGCACTAAACACATGGCTAAACATTTTACGTGTTAAAAACACTAATTACTTTATACAAAGGGAAAATGTAATCTTATAAAAAGAAAAGATTGAAAAGTGATAAAAACTTTAAAATATGAAATGAAAGTTGACACAAGAAAAGAATTCACATTAATCTTTCAAAAGAAAAATAAAGATAGTCATCAAGCTAATAATTCTCAAGATATACGAACTCAACAACACTATAATTTTTAACAAATAAAACCATGTAAAGAATACACACCAAGAACGAGATACAGTATAGCATGCGCCATGACCTTGCCATTACAGGTCTGGAAAACATAGAATAAAAATTAGTTTCAATCTCCATCACCCACCAAAAAAAAACTCAATTCTAACACAAATAGGCACTAGATCTAACATTAAAACCTTTAATGACCAATAAATCACAGCCATATATGACAGAAAACTGATGAAATTGATAAAATCTTACCTTTTCTAATGAATTTCAATTTTGGAAAGGAATTTATGTGTCTAGGGTTAGGGTTTTATGTTGGGGATTTGGGGGTTTTGGTATGAAAGAAGCAAAATGAACCTAGATACACAAGAGAGAGAGAGAGAGAGAGAGAGAGAGAGAGAGAGAGAGAGAGAGGTTTTGAGAGGGTTTACCAAGAAGAAGAGGCAAAAGAGGGAAATTTTCAGAGGGCTAGCCAGCGAAGGAGAGAGCGAGAGAGGGGGTAAAAAGCAAGTGAAGCTCACCATCATTGTCTTCGTCAGTGGTTGCTTGTTGCTGGATGCTAGAAGAAGATGAAGGAAGTGAAAGAGGGGTCTTAGTTTTTTACGAGTTAGGGATTTTCCTTCAACATGCTGAGAAGGTTTTCAAGTTATCTAATTCAATGGTGTAGATCGGTCCTTGTTATTTTGTCTAAATCTAACGGTCAATATCTATTGGCGCATGGAGGCACCAGGTGCACTGTAGAATTTTCAATTAGGGATATCTCACACACACAACTATGACGTTGTGGGGATTCGAACCTAAGACCTATGATTTGCAAGTCAAGGCTCTTTTCCACTAGGCTAAACCCCGTTGACAGTGGGAATCTTTCTTTGTCAATTTGTTTCTATCCATATGTGCATTTTCTGCGGTTTTGCTCCCTAAACTATTTGCATATTGTCAATTTAGCTCCTTAATAACTTTTTCGGTAAATTAAGGACTCCAATTATTTAAAAATCGCCAATTGAGGACCTACCGTCAATTTTTTCAAATTCTATCGAAATTAAGGGTAAATTTGTAATTTAGAAAAAAAACAATAAAAATATATCTCTATCTTCCCCATTTGTCTTCGAATAAAGCAGGGTTAGGGTTTGTCATTGTCGAGTTTAAGGACATTAATTGTTATGGAATTGAATTTTTTGTTTTTGTTTTGTTTTGGAGTGGATTGGAGGTGGCGGAAGGGCTGGGTCTTTGGAGGATGGGATGTTGAGAGATTGGAGGGCTTTGAGTTGGTTTGGGTCTAAAGAGCTGGAAGATGTTGTATATGAGGTTGTGGGGGTGGAGTTTGGTGGGGTTGAGAAGGAGGTAAGAGATGGGGTGGGAGGGGGGAAGGGGAGAAGCAGAGGCGGAGAAGGTGGTGGAGATAAAGAGGTGGAAAATAGAGTGGGCAGCAATGTTGGTGTTGGGCTTAAGATGGGTCTCAAATGGGGATGAGGGTTCTATGGTGGCATTGGGCTTGGGAGTTTTTTGGATAGAGAGAAAAATATTGGGTGGGAAAGAGAGAGATGGAGAGAGGGAGGGACGGGAAGGGGGATTTGGGGTTGGGTCAAGGAATTGGGGGTTTGTGAGGTTGATTCGGTGAAGGGGGGTTGAATTGGGGGGGCTCTATGGTCGATGGGGTTTGCGGGAGAAGAGAGAGCAAGGAAAGGGGGAAAGATAGAGAGAGAAATAGCTAAGGGTGGGGACAGAGAGATGAAAGGGAAGAAAGGGAAAGGGAGGTGGGGAGGAGACGGAAGGGAAAGGATGGGGGAGGGAATTTAACTTTAATTTGGACGGAAATTTGGATGGAATTTGAAAAAATTGATGGTAGGTCCTCGATTGGTGATTTTTAAACAATTGGTGGAGTCCTTTATTTACCAAAAAAAAAATGTTCAAGGGCTAAATTGACAATATGCAAATAATTCAGGGGCAAAACCGCAGAAAACCCTATTTAAAATGCCACGTTGGACACCAAAGTATCCAAGAAAAAGAAAAGGCCACGTTGGATGCGGATATGGGCTTACCCAAGTTGGCTAGAGAGAATGTGCTCCCCACTCTACACTTGAGTTCGAATCCCCCTCCTTATAGTTTCGATTATATTAAAGCATAATATTTTTGTATAAAAAAAAAATCACTTTGGATTTAACATCTCCATTAGACATCCCTGATGAGGTCCGGAAGACCATGAATTACTCCAACAAGTTTAGGCTATCTATTCCTAGCCCCAAGTTAAGTACGCTTACTTGACCCACAAGATATCATGAAGACATTGACATGCCCGAAATTTGGCTAACCCATCTCTAGTCTAATATGAAGTCTACAAGCATCCATCGAATTCTATAATAAAGAAGTCTAACAAATTTCATTAAAATTTATATAGATTTGTTTTTTTTTAACACAAATGATTGAGAGAGTGGAGTTTACATAAATATTCATTGGGCACCTTCGAACCAATGTTCACATGGATAGAGATGGAAAAGGTCAATCAACTGAGCTATCCCAATTGACAAAAATTATATAGAATTCAATCAAAATCTATTAAGTCAACTAAAATTTATGAATGATGGAGACGATATATATATTTGTGATGAGTTCGATATTTAGGGGGGGTAGTTGTGGCTAGTCTCATTATGGTGATGTAGTGTTATGTGATGGGTGTATTGATCCTTGTAAAAGCATTCATCGTTTGTGAAGAAAATAAAAATATGAAATGTAGAAGACTTTATAAACTTCTTTAAAACCCTTTGAATTTGAGGGTCGTTTGATAACCATTTCAATTTAGTTTTTAGTTTTCATTTTTTGTGCTAAAGTATAAAGGAAAAAGAGTGATAATAAGAGTGAAGATGAGATTGAGATGGAAGATGAAAAGAGAAGAGAGAGGAATAAATAACAAAAGTGAAAACAAAAACTAAAAACTGAACTCTATTTGAAATTGTTTTCACTTTTGTTACTCTTCCCTCCCATCCTCTCCTCTCATTCTCTCTCCCAATCTCATCCTCGCTTTTCTATTCTCACCTCTATACTCTACTATAAAAAAATAAAATAAAAAAACTAAAAAATAAAATAATTATCAAACGGTGCTATTTTGTGTGTGTGTGTTTTGGTCGAACCTCTGAATCTGAGTTGAATATATATACTTCACAAAACTGTTTAGAAATTATAAATGGAGGGTTTAAGAGAGGAACGGAAGCAAGCAGTACTACTAACGTGATCTTTATCAGAGCCAAATTCAAAAACCCCAAATTTTGCAAGTCTCCCTGTTATACTCCACTGAACCCTAACTTCCCCTCAAACCACACCTCCTCTTCAGTCCTCCTATCCCAAAACCTAATTTGGGGTCCTCAATCAGTGAGCACATTCGCAATGACGAAGGTGTACGGAACAGGGGCATACGATTTCAAGCGCCACCATGTCGCCGAGTACCCGGTCGAGCAACTCCACCAGCCCGGCGACAAGCCGGTTGAGGCCAAACCCGGTTCGGCGCTCCCGAGCTCTATAACCTTGTCGGAGATTCAGCGGGACCGCCTTACGATGATTGCCGCTGCTAACTGGTCCAAAACTGGCGACACCTCACAGCCCAAGCAACCCTTCGAACCAGAGCTGGTGAAGGAGATCTATCAAACGGAGTTGTCAGTTAAAGAGGGTCAGAGAAAGACCGTACCGTTACAGAGGGTGATGATTTTGGAGGTCAGTCAGTACTTGGAGAACTATCTGTGGCCCAATTTTGACCCGGAAACTGCCACGTTCGAGCACGTTATGTCGATGATTCTCATGGTCAATGAGAAGGTATGAGTTTTGGAATTGTAGTTTTGATGTTTGTGGAATTAGGGTATGCTTGGTTCCTAAGAAACTGTTGGGCAAGAAAACTAATCCAAGTAGCTATTTTTTGGGGTTAGATAGTGGAACAATTATTTCATTTTCTCTGGTAGATAGTCCCGAATAGTGTGTTTCTTAGAGTTTAAGGTTCACGTATTCAGTTTTTAAGGTTTCCAAGCAGTGTAAGAGAGGAGGTAGGTTTTGGAATTAAACGCAATCAATTACCAATTATGATTAAACTTGTGTCTCTTGATTTTTGGACTTTCAGTTTCGAGAGAATGTGGCAGCTTGGGTGTGCTTTTATGACCGGAAAGATGTGTTTAAGGGATTCCTTGAGAGGGTTCTTCGGCTTAAATCGGTATGTCCCCATTTTATTGGAAATCCCATATTTCTTCATTTATGAAAAATGGTTTAAGGGATTTTCTGTTGATGCTTATTTTATTTTAAAGAAACTCAGTAGTACTGAAGTTTATATGGTGCTATGAAGCTTACGTGATTTTGTCCAGTACAGTATTGGTATTTTTTATATAGTTGGAATGGTTTATGTGATTCCTTCTCTATGAGTTATGAAAAAATTTGCATAACAATTTTTTAAAATAGGAAACCTGGCTTTATTAATTAAAAGCAATGGTACAATACCGAGGACAATTTATTCTCTAAAGGAAAAACAAAATAAACTATCATCTACCTACAAAATACATCCAAGATGCATTAAGAAGCAACAGCATGCCAATTTTGAAAACATAACAGAAAACGAAGCTCTCACTAAACACTGATGCCTAAAGAGAAGCCCAAAAGTGAATCCTTTCCCACAAATAATCCACCTTTTTACTCAGTAGTGCTTGTGGGTTTGGTTTGTACTGATATCTTCTCATGATAGTGTCCAATTTTCTGTTCTCCTATCTATTTTTCTTGTTATTTCCCTATTTTGTTATTGTTATGACTTTTTAATCCTTGAATGAAGACATTTACAAAATTTCTTGATTTATTCTCAATTAATATTCTACTTTTTCATTATATGGTGCTTCTCTCCATACATTTATCACGTTCATGTGTAGCAATCTTGCCTTGTTAGGTTGTTACATATTGGTTAATGTCCTTTGGTAAAATCAGGAGTATTCTGTATGTTTGCACCCTGGTGCATAGTCTGTTAAATTTGCATATGATGTTCATGAGTAGCAATCTTGCCTTGTTAGGTAGTTACATGTAGTCCTTTGGTAAAATCAGGAGTATTCTGTATGTGTACAGCCTGGTGCATAATCAGTGTTAGATTTGCATATGATGAACCATCTGGTTAAATGGTCTCATGGTCATTGAGTACTCAGAAACTGATAGATGCTAATGTTTGACATTTCAAATATGGTTTTAAAAAGTTGGTTGGGGGTGGGGGATATCAAGGAAATAAATTTGATTTTTTATGAATTCTTCAAGTGTTTTACATTTCAGGCTTATACTGATGTTGTTATGTTTGCAGGGAAGAGAATTAAGTATAGCAGAGAAGACAAATTATCTAGTTTTCATGATTAATGCCTTTCAGGTATGGTAGCATCATAATGTTTGTTTTTATACTTTTATCTGATATATCCGGAGCTAGAAATACGTGTTGGACGGCTACTCCCTATCAAGGATGAAAATATCGGCCCTGCAGATAATATCGGGCCTCCAATTTACGGATATGTCAGGGGATATATCAATATTGTTTTAGGTATCGCAAAAAATTGACAAAAAAGGCAGATATTGGCCCTAAAACACAGAAGTTTGGAGTAAAACTTTCATGGATGTTAAGTACAACCCATCAACAGAACAAAAGGCTATAAATAAATTGATAAATGACCCATTGACAACTGACAACCCAACAAAACAAAGACATAACTCAACCCATTAGAAGGCTTGAGACTTAATGATAAAGAGAGAATTTGAGACAGAAGATGAGCCCAAAAAAAGAAGAATTTCACCTTGCCTACCCAGAGGTGAATAACTGTGTCCCAAAAAAAGCAGTAGGAGTGTTTAGGTTGATTCAGTGGCTGGGTTAGATTATTGGGTTTGAATTTGCATCTTCTTCCTTTGGTTACTTTCAAAACTAAAGAACATTTTCTGGGTTATTTGGCTGGGTATTGGGGAAATATAGAAATATATCGAAGATATCGCAAGTTTTGGAGATATATGGGGTGGGGGGGGGGGGGGGGGGGGGGGGAATAGGCTTACCCCCACTGTATCGATGTCGACACCTGAAAATAACGATACATAGGCCGATATTTTTGTCCTTGCTCCCTATAAACAATACATTGTTGTTTCTGTTGATGTTAATAAATGATTGTTTATAATACACTTAACCATTAAACTCTTATTATTTTGTCCAGAGCCTATATCTACTTTATTACTTAAATTTGTTTGACTTTTGACTTTCATTAAAGTGAGTGAATACTTCATGTGGTTATATTTAAATTATTGGTTCTTATTGCACTGCGGTATCCTTAAACTCTTTGAACATCTGTAAAGTCTTAGCAAACTTTTGATTTGTTATTTTTGAACATTTCCATTGAAATGTACTTCCAGAGAGTGATTTATGATATTTCAGTTTTTGATACTTGAGCAATCATCACCTGTGCGTTGTTGTGGATGATTGACAACATGCAGGAGCGTTAGATGTGGGGACTTCGTGATCCTGCAAACCTGTACGCTGTTGTGCATCTGCAACGCAACAGCGTGCAGGTGATATTTTTTCTCAATACCTAATTACTTTCAAAATATGCAGTGAGATGCTTGATGCTTTTGCTAGATGTGTCTCAGGATTTTGCATTTACAGCCAAATTTTCTTTCATTCTTTCTTCTGCCAGTTAAACTCTTTTTAGGATTTTTAGTGTATAAAGTGTTTTATTAGTTTTTACCTTCAAAGCATCAGTGTCTTTGACCTTTCTCCGCTTTGTTTAATCTGGACAGCCTTTGTTTCTTAAGTCCAGAAAACATTCATCTGGTCAAATGGCCTAATAGCCATCAACTATGTGCACATCATCTACTGATAATAATATATGATTCTGGCCTTTGTAGAGGTTTAGCCTGCATAGGTTGTTCACCTATCTTGGCATGGCATCAATTTTCTATATCAATCTGTGTACTGAGATTAATGGGTTAAAGTAATTATAAACATACCAATTAGTCTTGATGCACTTATTTCTTTTAGAGGATCTGAATATTGTGGTGAAGTATATAAATGATTTGGCTATTGTGGTAAAGTACTTAATATCATACACATACTGAATTTTGTGACAGAGTTTGGAAGATGAAATTGTCAGTAACACTGTCCTTACGTTAGCAAGTTTGGAATCGTGGCACAGTTTGTCATATGGTCGTTTTCAGGTAACATATATGTTTTCTGTTTTAAAAATCTATTTTCGTTGTCTTCAGAACTTATATACGATCTGGATTTTATGGTGCTTGATTTGCTTCTTTCATTTGCAGATGGAGCTTTGTTTTAATCCTGATTTGATCAAGAAATGGAAAAAGATGATAAGAAAGGAAGCCAAGGAGGCTGCAAAACGAGGAGAGCCTTTTGACCCCTCAACTACACTCGAAGTTCAGTTCTTGAGAAACCTAATTGAAGAGTTCCTGGAGGTAAAATTTCACACTTCTAAATTCTAAGCAATACTTGTGGTCTGTGCTTGTCAATACTAAGGAATTTATGGAACTATTATTTTTATTTTTGTGCCTGTTCTAGATACTTGATTCCAAGGTTGTGCCCCCAGATCGTAGTATCAATGAAGATGATCAACTTGATGCTAATAGACTGGAGCATGTTGATGATGCTTGTGTTTTGTATTGTGAAAGGTTTATGGAGTTTCTTATTGACCTCTTGAGCCAACTACCAACAAGGAGGTACATTTTGCATTTATGTTCATTTCTTATTGACCTTTCTTTGAACAGATGGGTCTTCTTTTTTTACCATTCTCCTCGATAATTGGGTTAATTTATGCTAGCATAGGTATAATAGTAGAAGAGTGTTATGTGTACTACAGTTTTTCCTTTGATATAGTCATATACTCTGCCAGTTTGTTTTTTGCTAATTCAGTGTAATTTTTTGTGGAAATATGTTTGGTAGTATTAGGATGGTTTGTGAATTTCATGTTTTCCTGAGTCATCATATGCCCACTCTCTTATTTTCTCCGTTCATTTTAAATTTTGTTTATAACACAGAGGATAGATTCATTTCGGCAAAGATATATCGTTTACGGAAAATGGGTCACAATTTGGATCTTTTTATTTGTAAAACTTTTATATTGAGGTTTTAACCTATTGGCATGTGCTTTTGTTATGAGAGTTAGAGCTTTCAATTTGAAGGCTATATTTTGCTATATTTTGTTTTATTCTCTTGTTATTACATCAATTTTATCTTCTTTTGATTGCAGGTATTTGAGGCCTCTTGTTGCTGATGTTGCTGTTGTTGCCAAATGCCACTTGAGTGCTCTGTATAGACACGAGAAGGGGAAGCTCTTTGCACAATTGGTCGACTTGCTCCAGTTTTATGAAGGGTTTGAGATTAATGATCATGATGGGACACAATTGACAGATGATGAGGTGCTTCAATCTCATTACGATCGCGTCCAATCTTTCCAGCTACTTGCCTTTAAAAAGGTTCCTAAGGTCTGTATATAAGCAGTCATGTACAGAGACTGATTTAAAAGGAGTTTCTGCTTTCTTATTCCGTCTTTTTCTCCATAGATTGATGCTAGTGTTCTGATTTTTTTCTCTCCTGTTGTGCTTATAGTTGCGAGAGCTTGCATTGGCTAACATTGGTTCAATTGACAAGCGCAATGATCTCTCAAAGAAATTGTCTGTACTTCCTCCTGAAGAATTGAAGGATTTGGTTTGTTCAAAGGTATGTATGACAGATTGATAGACATGTTAGTGAAGGTGGCGTAGTTTGAAAACCGCTATTTTGTTACCCAGAGCTGATATTTACTCTGCTAATGAGCATGGGGCTTTAATTTATTTTTCATAGTGTTTGTGTGGAAATTGTTAGTGAAAAGGTATGTACACAATGCTTTCACTTAATCTAACAGTGTATTGTCTCAAGTTAATAACTAGTTAACAAAAGAGGGGTGCTGCATTCCAGCCAAGCCATAGCCTGGTCCTAATGGCCACAGCTAAGACCTATCCTGGCTCTTTTGGTTATTCTCTCTTTCTGTTTTGTCCTTTTTTCTTAATGATTTTCAAATGAATAAAACTTAAACTAAGTTGATGAAACCATGGGCAACGGATCAGAAGTTAGAGAAGAGAAAAGGTGAGGGTGAAAGCGATATGCCGGATGGTGACTCCAGGGAGAAGGAGAGGTAGAGATAGAAACAAGGAGAGGGGGAGGCATGTATAGTGTTGACGGCATTGGGTTTAGTGAGATGAGTAGGTAGGGCAGCATGAACTATTTTATCTTTATTTTAAAATTTAGTATTTAATAAATGTTTAGTTGGGGTTGGTCAGACTTTCGACTTTGGACCATTATGTCTAGGCTGCTGTACTAGAGGGCTAGCCATATGGACTTCTAGAGGCCAACTCTTTTCCTTTTTTGTAGGCTTTATTTTTTATACTGTTTAGTGGAGAAAGGAATTGGTTTTAAGGGTCAAAAGTAATTCTGTTAGAAGAGGGAGAAAGATCACTCATGTAGACAACTTCTAAGTTACCGAATAAAGGCTTAGTCGAGCTGACTTGATATAATGAATCTAGCATTAGAACTGTAATTGTATTTATCTCTCTCTCTTTTTTTTATAGGATAGTATATTGAGAAAGTTAGAGATGAAGTAATGATTTTGCCCAAGTTTGTTAAGTATTCAAGTTAATCTTGTCTATCCATATATTTTTCTGTTTCAGGACGAATTTGTTGCAATTTTTATTTCATTGGTCTCTGAGTTATCTATTACTTGTGTCTTAGGAATGTCAGCTTTCCAATTTAGTTTTCTCCATGCTTCTCACTCCCTCCCTCTCTCTCTCTCTCTCTCTCTCTCTCTCTCTCTCTGGGTATGTGTGCTAAATTTATAGTTATGAATCTGTGCTAAATTTATAGTGATAAATCTCATCATTATGTAATATTGCGAATTTTTGTTTTGCTGATATTTTTCCGTTATGCAGCTGAAAGTAGTTTCAAAGGATGATCCTTGGTCACAGAGGGTTGATTTCCTTATTGAAGTCATGGTTTTCCTTTTTTGAGAAGCAGCAGTCTCAAAAGGAAAAATAAATGCTCTTCCACTTTACCCAAATGAGCTGATTATGTGGGATGAAAGCCTTGTGCCAAGCATTAATTACTCTGGAGAAGGTTGTCTGGCCCTTCCGAAACTTAATTTACAATTCTTAACATTACATGATTATCTCCTCAGAAATTTCAATCTCTTTCGTCTCGAATCAACATATGAGATTCGTGAGGATATTCAGGAAGCGGTGCCGCATCTTCTTTCCTACATTAATAATGAAGGAGAAACTGCTTTTCGTGGTTGGTCAAGGATGGCTGTGCCGATCAAACAATTTAGGATCAGTGAGGTAAAACAGCCAAATATTGGTGAAGTCAAGCCAGCTGCTGTAACAGCAGAAGTTACTTTTAGCGTTTCCAGTTATAAAGCACAGATAAGATCAGAATGGAATGCTCTTAAAGAGCATGATGTTCTATTTTTACTTTCTATCCGCCCTTCCTTTGAGCCTCTAAGTGCAGAGGAGGATGGAAAAGCTAGTGTGCCTCAGAGGCTTGGTCTTCAATATGTACGAGGTTGTGAAATCATTGAGATTCGTGATGAGGAGGGAACTCTAATGAATGATTTTACTGGAAGAATTAAACGGGATGAGTGGAAGCCTCCAAAGGGAGAACTGAGAACTGTGACTGTTGCTTTAGATACAGCACAATACCACATGGATGTCAGCAACATTGCTGCAAAAGGCTCAGAAGATGTTTATGGGACGTTCAACATATTGATGAGGAGAAAGCCCAAGGAGAATAATTTTAAAGCAATTTTAGAATCCATTAGAGATCTTATGAATGAATATTGTATTGTTCCTGACTGGTTGCACAACATTTTTCTGGGATATGGTAATCCTTCTGCTGCACAATGGACTAATATGCCAGGTCTTTTGGGCACTGTTGATTTCAAAGATACTTTCCTTGATGCAGAGCATTTGAAGGAGTGTTTTCCCAGATGATCAGGTTTGCTGATATATTTCCTTTTTGTTGAACTTTTGTCGTTCTGTCTGTTAGTATCCTGGAGAGTGATTTTACTGAAGACTTTCTGGTTTGCATGTTCACTTTTTAGGTTTGTTTTATTAGTCCAGACGGTACAGAAAACTTGAATCCAAGGCCCCCTTTTCGAATAAGGCTTCCCAAGACGATCAAAAGCAGCACTAATGCTCTTCCAGGGAATAAGAAATCTACTGATTCTATCAGTGATGTCCCTGTGAAGAATTCTGATATTGAGAAGGAAAAAATTGTTGTTGAGGCATACACTCCTCCTGACCCCAGGTCCTTATCCCCAAGATCAGCCAAAGAAGAACTCAGTTAGATTCACACCCACTCAGGTGCTATTCCTTCTTTTTAACTGTTTGTGTGATGCATTCTTAACTTTCATGCTTACATATGATCTTTCTTCTGTTGTTGCAATATCCACTTGTCTTATCTTAAAAAGAAAATTGAGGTAAGACCTTGGATGAATAAATAAACTTATTAAGCCAGGTTATTTTTTGATACATTAGTAAGCAAGATTATTGAGGTATCTGAGATTAATAGTTTCTACATTTTATATCCTCTTTGTATCAGCTTTAGTTATTCTCTGAAAATCATGTAACACAGTATATGATGGTAATAGTAGTACAAAATAAGAATTTGTAGATTGTTTTACTTTTTTAACATCTTTTAGTTCTTTGTGAAGTTATAATGGATTGGTAAAGTAACAAACTTCTAATTAGGAACCGTGTTTGTGTTATTTAGTCTCTGTTTTTAAAAGTTCTAATCTTGTTGTGTAGGTTGGAGCAATCATCTCAGGTATTCAGCCAGGACTCACAATGGTTGTGGGTCCACCTGGTACGGGAAAGACAGATACAGCTGTCCAAATTCTGAATGTTCTTTATCATAATTGTCCATCTCAGAGAACATTGATAATCACTCATTCGAACCAGGCTCTCAATGACCTTTTTGAGAAGATAATGCAGGTTGAAATTTTAAATTCTAATATTTTAGTTGGTTAAATCCTGCGTATAGCTTGCGTCCAAGCTGGCATGAAGTTTTAATATTTTCCTATTTTCTATTTTAGAGGGATGTGCCTGCACGCTATCTTCTTCGACTTGGTCAAGGAGAACAAGAGCTAGCAACTGATCTTGATTTCAGCCGACAAGGTCGTGTCAATGCCATGCTTGTGCGGCGCTTAGAGTTGCTAAGTGAAGTGGAGAGGCTGGCAAGATCTCTCCAGTTGCCCGAGGATGTAGGTTATACTTGTGAAACTGCTGGGTACTTTTGGTTGCTTCATGTATACTCGCGCTGGGAGCAATTCCTTGCTGCTTGTGTGGACAATAAAGATAAACCGTCATTTGTTAAAGATCGTTTTCCCTTCAAGGAGTTCTTCTCCAACACACTGAAACCAGTCTTTATTGGTGAGTCCTTCGAGAAAGATATGCGCGCAGCTAAGGGTTGCTTTCGTCATCTTAAGACTATGTTTCAAGAGCTTGAAGAGTGTAGGGCATTTGAATTACTGAAGTCCACTGCTGATCGAGCAAATTACCTGATGACTAAGCAGCAAAGATAGTTGCCATGACGTGCACTCATGCAGCTTTAAAGAGGAAGGATTTCCTTCAGTTAGGTTTCAAGTATGACAACTTGCTCATGGAAGAAAGTGCTCAAATTTTGGAGATTGAAACTTTCATTCCAATGTTGCTCCAGAGGCAGGAAGATGGTTATGCACGGCTGAAACGCTGCATCTTAATTGGTGATCATCACCAGTTGCCTCCTGTTGTCAAGAATATGGCATTCCAAAAGTACAGCCACATGGACCAGTCTCTCTTTACAAGGTTTGTCCGTTTGGGCATTCCTTATATTGAACTTAATGCCCAGGGTAGAGCCAGGCCAACTATAGCCAAACTGTACAACTGGAGATACAGAGATCTGGGAGACCTTCCTTATGTAAAGAAGGATGCCATTTTCCGTAGAGCAAATTCTGGGTTCTCCTATGAATATCAATTAGTGGATGTACCAGATTACCATGACAGAGGTGAGTCTGCTCCATCACCTTGGTTCTACCAAAACGAGGGGGAAGCAGAATACATTGTCAGTGTCTATATCTATATGCGTCTACTTGGGTACCCTGCAAATAAGATATCCATATTGACCACTTACAATGGCCAGAAGCTTTTAATCCGTGATGTTATCAACAGACGATGTGCTCCGTATGACTTCATAGGCCCTCCCAGCAAGGTAAGTAATAAGATCACCCTTTCACTTCACAAATGGGCTAGAATGGCAATATATTATATTAAATATCAGGCACACCACACCAACATATAAGAATCTAACCGTCCATTTGTGAAATTCAAAGGTCTGTCAGCAAGTTGTTGGGTCTATAGGTTAGTTTACTTCTCTTTGATCCCCTCAGAATAAAACACCAGGAACTATGAAGGTTTCTTTACGTGGTATTGTTAATGCATTTAGGCCTCTATGGTGTGCTATGCCAGAGATAAATTTCCTGCATCCTGATCCATGAACTCTTCCAACATTTTTCGCTTTTTACACTTAATGATTGCATTTAGTATAATACTGTTTCTGTCGAGCTCTGTGATCTCATTGGTGAAAAATGTTTTTCATTGTGTAATGCTCTCAGGTTACAACAGTTGATAAATTTCAAGGTCAGCAAAATGATTTCATATTGCTCTCTCTTGTGCGTACTCGCTTTGTGGGTCACCTTCGTGATGTTAGAAGATTGATTGTAGCCATGTCTCGTGCCCGACTGGGTCTCTATGTGTTCTGCCGCCGTTCTTGTTTGAACAATGCTACGAACTTCAGCCCACATTCCAACTTCTACTTCAGAGACCTGACCACCTTGCTCTTAATTTGAATGAGATTTCACCAAACACAGAACGCCATGTTGAAGACACTGTTCCTATGCATCTTGTCAGCAGTGTTGATGAGATGATTGGTATCTACCAACAGCTTTATGAGGTATGCCTTCCATGCAATTATAATCTGTTTTTTTTAAGAGTTTCAAACCTCAATTTGAGTGAGTTGGTCTCCTAGTTAGGTTACCTAGGAGAATATTAGTGAGATGACATGGGGGTCATATCTCTCTCTCTTGCGCCCTTAGATTACACTCCCCTTCAGATTATATTATATGCTTTTGGTTATTCTTTTCTGATAAATTCAACATTTGACTGCCATCGACATTTCTGAATTAGTAATCAGTAGAGAAAAAGCAAAATCTGGCCTGTTGGCTGATGAGGACTTACTCTCTTGCAAAAGACTTGCCACATAATCTTACTAATTGGTTGGAATTTCGTTATCTGGTTTCTGAAAGCTTTCTTCTCTTTGCCAGGTAAAGTTCCATCAGTACATGGCTTACTCAGGTCGAGTAGCTCCATCCATAGATGCATCTGAGGAGCAAACAACTCAGCAAAAGTCGATATCCGGGCAACATCCCATGGATACAGATATACCTGTAACTTCCGATGGGGCACCAGAGGATAATAATACCCAGCATGGAAGCAATTTGGAAGAAGGCATAAAAATGGATGTCCTTGCAAATGGTCAAAATCTGGAGTCATCACTCGAGAACCACTCAAATGGGGGGACAGATGTGGAAGCTGGTGGCGGTGACAGAAATGTGCCACCTGAAAGCAATTCTGATGAAACTAATATGGAAGAGTAGTATGCTTAGCAGCGATCCCATGTGGATGTTCTTTTTGCATAATTGGTCAATCTGCCAGATATTTGAGTTAATCCAGTCCCTTAGGTCAAGGGAAACCAATAACCAAAGCCTCGATACAATTCATATTAGCTGTGTGGTGATGTTTGGTGGTGCTGCTTGTGGGATGGAGAAATATATATTGTGGAGACTGGCAAAGAGCATGCTTTTATGTACAGTGCGAAATTTTTGCAGAAACTCGTAGGAACTTTACATGTTTATGGCTGGTAGAAGGGTTTGATTGTAAGTGAAATCCTTTTGTAGCACACATCACCTCTGTATCTTTGTTGATCCTAATTATCAATTAGCGTGCTAATGAATTAACATGTAATTTGGGGATTAAGAGCATCTCTAGGAGTCTCTGAATTTTAGCCAAATTTTAGCTAAAATAACTAGAAAGCTACTATAGCAAACCACTTAAAAGGTGTTTCCTCCAGCAATATTCTCTATTTTGGTTAATTTGAAATATTTTATTATTATTCTCTCTCTCTCCTTTCTCTTGCAAATCAAATATATTAAAAAGAAAAGTAAAAACATAACCCCCACCAACCTTCCAAATGTTTATCTCTTTCTCCCCTTTTTTCTCTCCTCCTTACTAGATGTAGAGAGCCAAAAGTTAGTTCTCCAAAATAGAAAGCAAAGTAGGGAGTCTGTTGGAAGCAGGATTTTCATTCTTTTTAGCCAAAGTAGCTAGGGATCAGAGTATAAAGAGTCTGCTTGCGATGCTCTAACTCAAGTTCCTTTATGGTGAAAAAGTCACTATGGCTTCATCTTTTCCATAGTTTAGAAGTGATAAAATGGAATTTATTCTGAACATTGGTCATTCCAGTACCCCCAAATGTATTCACAAGAACTATTGAGTGAAATTTTATTTGAAAAATAAAACATGGTGAGACCTCTAAAAGGGCAAGAAAAATTCAAAACATTTTGCCAACAGAAGAGAAGTAAGCTGTTCCAACAGTTTATCATAAAATATTCTGCTTTTATTGCTCCTTTAAAAAAAGAACCCCAAATACACACCAAATCTCATATGTTCTCTCTAAAGTCTGGTCATCTCTCACACTCTGAAGAGATTAGGACTTCACTACGAAAAGTGCATTCCAAGTACATTGCTCTTCAAGTACATTCCACACCACAACAGGAAAATGGTCTTTCCAGCAGTTTCCCAGCTTTCTCAACTAGTAGTTGTTGCCCTAAAATCTGCAGAAAACATCTCCTATCTAGAAACCAAAGGGATGGCATATCCCTACGACTGACTAGCCAGCCCATAAAGTGAGAGAAGGTTGGTAACTGGTATGTCACTCCACATTAGACAAGTTCTTTGTTCACATAATTATGTTATAACAAAAATATTACGAACAAGGTTGAAAATATTATAGTCAAAGTAACTGAGGTAGTACTTTACTCATGCATGTCAATTAAGTTGCACTGTTGGTCAATGTCTGAAGAGAGTTGAGGTTGTCCTTGTCCATGCCTTTGGGGGAGAGCTTCCAACTTATCACAACCCACGATAGAGATGAATGTCAGGTTGGAGGATCTTGTTGGCAACCCTCCTCTCGGAAAGGAAACAAGACTTGTACATAATCAACTAATAAATATCGAAGATTGGCAAGGTGGCATAGGCCCTCAGGTGAGGATTTTAAGATTTAAGATTTGCACAGCGCTCGATTATAATAGCCTCAAAACGAGTGTTACCATGAAAACTTTCAGTTATTGCCTTCATCTGTTCACAATCCCTTATGCAAAGGAATTTAAGTGATCTGGGTAGCTGGCCCCTGGATGATAAGGATGCCAGAGATGGGCACTCGTACATGTCTAAGTATTCAAGACTCTTGCATCAAACAAGGAGGAGAAGACAAAGAACCCTCTACTTCCTCCTCCTGCTCCACTAATGATTTCAAATTTTGGCACCTGCTTATCTGTATTCTTCTTATACTTGTTGGTAAATGAGATCCTGCAAAATGCATCATAGTGCAGAGGTCGATCTTTATTTCTTCAACATAAGGTGGAAAACTAGCTTCTGGAATATAAAATAGACTTGGGCATTTATATATGTGAAGTGATTGAAGTGATGTCAGGTGATGCACTTGGAAATTTTGAGAGTTACTTTGAATAACAAACTGCGAAGAGATATCAGGTATGGCATTAATATCTTCACTCTGCCATGAAGATGTCATGTTAGCAGCCAGCAACTCTTTAACCTTTCTTAATCATCCTGTTATGAATCCCTCAGTTTGAAGCCTCAACTCTGAAAGTTTTGAAACATAAGACAGACTCCAGTAACTCGAAGTGAATCTCACTTTTATTTATACACCCACCCCTTTGCAATTATGACGTTGAATACACAAGATGCTTATAGTCGGCAATTGAAACTACCAACTGGTCACAATCATGAACCATAAGATTTGTTAATGAATCAAGGTTTTCAGGTAACTTACCCTGTAGTCTGGGACATCTATTGATCGAAACGGTTTTTCAAGTAGGGGTCTAATTCCTTGATCTCCTTCACAAGGATACCATTCCTTCCAATGTTGCATATCCTCAAACCAAGGGTCTCCATTGCGGAAAAGACAAGCTTCCCTCTCCAATAACTCGAGACCCACACACCTTCCACTCCAACATTCTTCTTAAATAAAGCATTTTGGGAGAAGCAATTGTCCAAGGGTTGGCAAGAATCGACAGTTACTACAATTCTCTAACTTTACAAGAACTGCATTAGTGAATAAAGGATCTCCTATTCAAGGATCTCCTATTCATTTTGAAAATTGCAAACCACCATAACCCTTGATCATGAGCTCTTTGAGATTTCTATGAGGTTTTAACATTTTCAGAACGTCTGATTCCTTTTCAGCTGTGTCGCTCGATTCTAGCAGCAATGCATGAAGCCCTTCCATGACATTTAAATTTGCTTGTCTCGCATCCTCCGCATCCATTACATTCTCCAATCTTGAGAGGCAAAATGTCCCTTGAAGATGCAGTAAGGGACCTATCTCTGTTACCATTGACTCACTATCTTTGCCCACCACCACAAGATTAGGCAATGCTTGCATGTTAGTCAATTGACTTGGTTACGGAGGCATTCCTTCCAATGAAGGCACATTTGAATTTTGAGATGGCGCAAATTAATTAAATTCCTCATGTTTGTAGGCAGTGCCTTCAATTTAGAACAATTTCGCAGTTTTTGTATTATTCATTGATTTCAATCAAGATATGTCACTGTTTCACTCCTCGTCGACGATATACATGCATAAAAAAAACACCTATATTGAACCACATGATCACTTAATTCAGTGACTTGTTTGAAAAGTTAGGTTACGTTAATGAAGTTTCAGTCATTCATTAAATTTATTAGGCTTTTTAATGCGCTAATAGTGAGACGCTCGCAATTAATATAATCTTCTGGCCTATTCCTCATACTAAAAACCTTTGGCAGTATGCAATTGCCAATGTTCAATGCATGTTGCACAAATATTTCCCAACAATCATCTTCTGATAATATCTTATGAACTTGAGTGGCTCCCATCGTTCTTGCAACTTTAGCATCATGGGTTGTCACAACTAGCTCACTTGCAGGTGCTACAAAACGAAAAGGGAATTGCAATTTCGTCCATAGATTATAGTCACATGTGTTTCAAACATCCTCCTTAATAACGAAAAGCGTTCTAGTTAGCAATGCCTTACTGAGGTTTTCTTGAATTACCTGGCAATACCTTCTCAGAATTGTCTTTGGCTTGTCACCATCTCTTCCAACAATTGAATTATGTTGTAAGAGTGTTTTAAGAGAGCTTGCAAAGAAATAACAAGATTGAAGACTATCATATAAGAACGTCAATAAGCTACAGCTTTAATGCAATTTAGTGCCCCATTTGACATTGCTTATTTGAGTTGATAAGTAATTTTTTTAAAATTTTGGAAAGCCCATCTTGTTTGGTAACTTATGAAAAAATCACTTATTGTTAAAAATTGCTATAAAAGAACAATATAAAAGAAAGTACTAATGAGGTGCTTTCATTTTCTAATTATGCAGGAATAAGTTTCAAAGAGATGTTAGGTTTAATGATTATGCAAGAATCATTTTCTGATTATGCAGGAATCAGTACCAACAACACTTTTAACAAAAGGTTTACCAAACGCCAAACTACTATCTCACAGCAAATCTGACAACGCTTATTTTCACATCACAACAATGCTAGACTCGCCCTTAGACTTTTATAAAATAAGGTGAATTTAGACTTAAAATTACAAGCAAATTCAACTAGCAGCTAGTTTCAATCTCTTTTTACTTCTTCGCTGTAATGAGTGAACTGGTCCTTTACATTTGGCTAATCAAACATATATGTTGACTAATTCTACGCAGAAAAGGAAAAAGATTCTCTCTTCATGAACTCTGTATTGGATGTGAACTTATGGTCATCCAGCAAAAAGCCACCACATTCCGATTGCATACGTTATTGTTGGCTTCATGCTCCTGAAAGTTCAAAGGCAAAGTGTCATAGTTTGCCTATGCACCGAGTGTGTAACTTCACATTTTGTTCAAAGACTCATTAGGCAATAACAATACGAGAAGCAATAGATATCTTCTAGTCAAGAGTTTAATACGTCAAAAAGGTCATCATTAGGTACCCAAAACATAGACCAAAACAGCTATACTACACAGTTTCAAGTAGGTTTTAGAAAAGGCTTAATTGTAGCAATGATCCCTCAACTATACTCGAAATTACATTTTGGTCACTCAACTCCAAAAATAGTTATAGAGGTCACACAATTTAGTGGCGTGTTACATCATTGGTCCTTCTGTCAAACTCTATTAAATTTTCTGTCAAAAATGAGGGTAAATTCGGAAATTCATCCACAACCCTCCCCTTCCTCCATTGCCGCAACCCACACCTTCCTCCTCTAATTCCTCCCAACCCCAATCCCTCTCTCTGAATTATATGAACCGAGATATGTAAGAGCAGGACTAACCTTGTATAAAACTGTACTGAAAATTCTAATTAGGCAAACACCAAATGAAGTTCTAAACACATAGGGAATCGGATTCGAGTTTTGACTTCACTTGATGAAGGCAAGCTTTAAGATCCTGAAGTTCTTCCATGTCTGAGAAACTCACAGCCTGAGATTACCCAAATGTGTATATTTAGTCAGAATATGTATAGCATAAAAATCCGAATAAATGAAATTACTAGTGATAGAAAATATTTGTATTATACAGCTAAGTAAATAAATGAAAATAGGAAGGAAATTACAATACTCAAAGTTAACTTTTCTGAAATACCAAGTATCTTGCCTGTTTAATTGTGTTCTTTAGGTGCATCTCTGCTGTAAGCAGTTCACGACGGCTACCAGTAGACGCAGAAATTTCCATGTACACCTTACAGAGTTCCAAGGATGATTGAGCAAACTTCTTAAACCGATCTCTATCTTTCCACAAATCAGATCCCTGACAATATATCCTTGTGATTATATAAGCATTATAAAGGGACTATAACTGGTTTTAGATTGGCATTTAATGACAAATAGTAACTATAAATGAAATGGAAAAAAGGAAATATCTAAAGCAAAATAATAAATAGAAAACTCATCATGTTATATTCATCACAGTTTGCAATGAGCCACTGAACCAATGAGTGATGAATTTATCACATCTTTTTAAACTTCATTTTTCTACAAATATTTGTTACTTATGTTCAAAACCCACATGCTACTCAAACTGTTGACTTTTATGATGTTCAAAATGGCGAGATCTAATAAAGGATGATGCCAATGCACATGCCTCACTCATGACACGGATGGTACAATGGGACAGTTTTAATAGTTGGTTTATATTCAACATTAGTAGATTTAAAATTAATCAGTAAAGGGAGAATGAGATAACCACTACTTGCAAAGATACTGCTAGTCCCTAACAACTGCCCCGCACGTGTAGAAATACTCTCAGCATTACTAGCACATCTATAAACCAATTTTCAAAAGATTAAGAAAACAAAAATTATAAAGCACTAAAAAAGTAATCATAATGGTAAATAAAAACTTAAAACTAGGAAGTCACTGCTAGAGATACCTGGTATGATCTAACTTGCTTTAATAAAGCTTCAGAGCACATTGTAAGGTCTCCTTTCATTTTGTGCCACCTTGCATACAAACCCCAAATATCCGCTCCATTTCCACTTCGAACTATCTACAAAAAGAAAAAAGGAAAATATTGCATGCAACTTATTACTTTACCCCCAACCAAAAAAGACAGTACTTTTTAGGTAAATATACTGAAAAGACACCAAGAGGCTTCACCATTTGATTGGCACATTCCATCCAACATATAAATATTAGAACAATGCCCAGAAATTTTTTATTAGTAAAGTTACACATATCGAGAGAGAGTATGGAGTGATCTGACATTTTTGGTAACAATTAAGATCCTCATTATGAACTGTCCGTTTAGTTGATACATATGGATGACTAAACGATCTCCACTTTGATTGATTTTTTACAGAGATGATCTTTAAATGGTAATTTAGAAAATGAATGATTCCAATTATGACATGCGTATGGTGAGGATTTGTTAATCACAACGTGAGGGGGATGGGGTGGACAAGGAGGTACACACCCTTGCGTGCCCCTAAGTATTGTCCACCCTCTGTAGCAGGCTACCCTAACCATACTCATAATTGCAAAAAATAAATAGATAAACATTTTAAACCCTAAATGATGAGCCATAACTAAGTTAACCTATGTTAAAATATAAATAATAAAAATTTGTTGGCCCACATCCTTCCTTAAGCTTCTGAGAATAATAGAAAACTAACAAAATCAGAGTAGACCTTTCAGTTCAAATCTCTGTAAATCAACCACCCAATAGTTGGTCAACATTTTTTTTTATACCAAGAAATCCGCCAAGCAGCTTCGCGGACAAAGCTTTGAAACAGGGGCACCCCACCGAACCCTACAATCTTTGGGAGGCAGGAAACACTAACAAATAGCAAGATAGGTACCTTTGGGATTTTCGAACCTCAGACCACATGGAATCAAACATGGGCCTTACCATTAGTTGGTCTACATCATAAAATAGGGCCCGTTTGATAATCATCTCAATTTTAGTTTTTAATTTTCATTTTTTGTGCTAGAGTATAGAGGAAAATGAGAGTGAGGATGAGATTGAGAGAGAGGATGAGAGGGGAGGATGAAAACAAAAGCTTGAATGTGAAAACAATTTGAAATAGATTTCAGTTTTTAGTCTTTGTTTTCACTTTTGTTACTCCTCCCTTCCATCATATCCTCTCATCTTCCCTCTCAATCCCATCTTCACTCTCATTCTCACTTTCATTCTCCCTCTTTTTCCTCTATACTATAGCACAAAAAATGAAAACTAAAAACTAAAATTGAAATGGTTATCAAATGGGCCCTAAGATAAGCTTTTGAAAATAGTGCTAAACCAAAACAATAATCAATAAACACATACAGCAGTCTAATAATAAGCATGGGAAATGATCAATCAGTACCGGGCAACTGGTTACTGTTCATTTTAGTAGAAAATCTACTGTAAAAATATAGGTCAGGGAAGCATAAGCAAACAAAAGGAAATGATAATAACGAAATCATACCTGCTGTAGAACTTTTCCAAGGAACTCTATTAAGTGCTCAGTTTCCCGAAATTTTTCCCACCCTCAGTGGAACAGTTATCTTCATCCGTCATATCTGGAGTCGTATGTGAAGCCCTTATTTCGACTTCAGCCACAATTCTTTCCATAATTCAGCATCGATTCTTTTATTATTAGTAATATCCAACACCATCCGTGCAGCTTCTAGACCCTATAAGAAAAAATAAATAGAGTAAGAACAGCTAAAAACTAATACTTAATGATGGGCACAATCAGTCCACGTGAAGAAAATTGAAAGTGATAAAGGATATAACAATGGAATGCCCTAAGGTAGGTGATCTCAAGCAATGAATGTGTAGACATGTGGACCTGATCAATGAAGATCTTCCAAATGACCAAGTGTTTCAAATTTACTAGGCTTTTTTCTGTTAATTTTCTTTTCCAGTTCACCAAATGTTGATCTGAAGCAGTGAACAACGTGTAGACATTTGGACCTTATAAATGAAGATCTGCAATATAACTCTAGAAAAGACCAAGGGTTTCAAATTTACTAGTTTTTTTTTTAAAAAAAAGTAATTTTTCTTTCCAGTTCATCAATGTCCTTTGCCATGCTCCAAATCAAAGGCAAGGTTTCCATATCACTTTACAAACCAAATCTAAGCCTACCAAGACAAGTTTACATTGTGAGCTGTCACATGTGAAAATAAATATGCTATGGAGACGAAGGCACTTACCTGACCAACATTGCCAACATCTACGGCAACATGGCTGTAGTTCTCCCACAGTTGCCAGCTGTTTCGTTCTGTAATCAGTCATGTTCAGTTCATTACATAATCCAAACTGTCGTCCAACATAATATAAGTTGGAAAAGGGGGGGTGTGGGTGGGGTTGGCCTGCAGGGGTGGCCACGCGGGGTGCGGAGGTCAAGTAGAGACCGAGGGAGAGAGAGAGAGAAGAAGAGAGAGAGGTTTTGCAAGGGGGTAAGACAGAACCGAATTTCAGATGCGTCTCTAAAGCAATGAAGAGTCTTTACTCTTCTGGTGTTAGCCATAATCAGGGCAACTTGGTAAATCAGTACAACAAAATGTAGTTGAAGGAGTTCCGCTACATACTAACAGCGACCAGTGAGGGACATCAGACGAGCGTGATGGGGGGGGGGGAGTAGCAGGCCCAATGTATATTGACAGGGTGAGTCACGAACTAGACGAGCTCAACAATGCAAGACCTAGACTATAATGGCTAGCGTGCGGTCTTGGGAGGAGGGGACTGCCACAGATGTGCGGGCAGTGGAAGAAGTCATGTAAGCGAACTGTGGTGGTGGTATGTGGGTCGCTGAAATATACATGGTAGCACAAAGTGTGGTCGACCGGGAGGGGGGGACTGTGAGTAAGTAAGGAGGACCGATCGTGAAGAAAAACATGTGTAGCGGGGCTAAGGTATAACCAACAAAAAAAAATAACACCGTAGTGGTCGAAGATGGTGGGACTGTGTGCATGAGTGCACTCACAAAATAGGATTTACGGGGGAACTACCACTAAGAACACACCGCAGCTGTCTGGCAAGGGGGGGGTGAGGTAGCTAAACAGAAAGAAGGGAGGATAAAAAAAGTGGTTGTCCTGTGTGGTGTTAGGCCCATAGGCCCCACCAAAGAAGGAACGTTGGGTCAAGTTTGTAGTATCCCTCCCCTAACCTTAAAAGCTAAACTATGGACACTATTGGCAAGAAAAAGTAAGGCGCTTAGTAGGCGGACGAACGCTATGTTTTCACGGGTAACCCCCACAATTAGTAACTGGGTACCGGCGCAAGCGCGAGCGAGCGCCCCGCGAAGCGTCGCCAGGAGCTATGAGCGAGGCGCAGTGACGAAAAATAAAGGGATGAGAACGAGGAGGCCCAAAACGGGGGACGTAAGCAGGGGGGGATGGGCGGGGCGCGGGTGACCAAGAAAAAGGTAGCGTAAAGAGTGCTACGGAGAGAATGATCTGCATTGGAGCGCGGATGAGTCTACGCCAATAGAGCATCTGCGGGTACGTTATGTATGTGACGGCAATTGTGTAATGTGCGACGTGACAGACATGGGGTCCGAAGCTGAAACCGCTGCAGTCCTCCAGCCAACTCAGAAGACGACGGGCGGCCATGCAAAGATCAGAGAGCGTATGGAAGAATGCCAATGGATAAAATTTCGTAACTATACTGCCAAAAAATCGTTCAAAATGGGTTTTCGGCACCCCAGTGCAACCAAAGCCAAACCAAAAAAAAAAAAAAAAAAACAGAAACTAAATAGTTATCACAATATGTAAGATTAAGAACAACACAAGAAAATTACAAGATAATTTCAGATGCGAACGGGCAATACGAAGAAGTGTACGGAAGGGTGGGCAACAAACACAGCGTTATCTCCCAGTCCTTCCCCTTTGTTCAAGGATGCAAGTGGAATCGCCGAGTAAAAGCATCCAACGCCTTTTCAGTATCCCTAGCCTGTATATCATCTTCACAATTAGCTTTACACACTTTAAAGGAATAAAGGTGAAAAAGGCAGTAATACAGCAACGCACCTCTCCTCTTATCCCATGTACGTCAGCATGGAACCATTTATCAAATTGGAAGACAAATGCCCCTATCAGGGGATCACACCAGGTACTTTAAAGCAGCAAGCCCCCGCAGGGCCAAACCCAGCACATGCGGGATACAAAGAAGTTCAAGGCCATTGTGCAGGACCCTTGGGAATTATGGAATGCAGATGATGTGATTGTGCATCTAAATCCAATTAGGAAATTTTACAAAGACTTATTTCAAATATACCAAATGAATATTTTGATATGGAGGAGACGAGGAGGCTTTTACACGAAAAAAAGTACCATAGGGGTTTTGATTTTCATAGTCCCCTCTATTGTATGCACTGCGAGCAAGAGACCGCTATCAAAGTAGAAAAAATAACATTATAAAATCTGTAAAAGATGACTCAGAATGTCTTTTCATAAGGAATGAGTTTCAGGACATAACCTTGGCTCGAGCTGATCTATCATTTGAAACTTCCAGGGCTTTTTCAAAGCAGGCATCATCATTAGTAACATCACCCAATGAGCACCTAGAAATTATTTTAGGAGTTCACTCTTAAAATTATTATGTCATGTATTATAGGTTTGAAAATGCAGTAGGGCATGCATGGAGACTGCAATAGTGGGGATAAATAAAAAGAAGCTTCAGAGCCATCATATTGAAATAGAGATTCAAGACAAACAAATATGAACACAATAATTGTGTCCTAAATTAGTACTAAATTAAAAATAATAAATAAATAAATAATTATAGTCGTGCTCCTCTGGTTATATTTTTAATCTGAAACTGGGCATGTTCCGTTGGTTTTCAAGTTCTGTAAGACTATATAAATGGCTGGATGCATCTCAATATGCCAAAAAAAAAAAAAAAAAAAAAAAAAAAATTGACATGGAAATTGAGTCCAGAAAATATGTGACGTTGAAGGCCTGTCAATTTTCATAATCAGATAACAGGTTTGCTAACAAACAATGCACAAAGATTAAGAGGGCAAACATAAAATATCTCATATTTTGTACATGGGACTGATAAATAGGTTTCAGACTTGAACGGAAGACCTCTCTCTCATATTCAAACACGCCGACTAATAAGGAAAATACTCATAGATAAATCTACTAGTAGTTCACTTTGAATAAGGGTAATATCAAAACCTGCATTTATTTTGAGGATATCAGCACTCAATATAATTTTACAAGTGAAAGGATTAGAAGAGACCGCATGATAAATTTAACTAACGTGTGAAAATAAGGTTTCTTGGTAAGTTAAAACAATTAACAAAAGAAAACCTAACACATACCATAAACCTGGGGTCATTGGGTGTTTCAGAAAGTCGTGTCTTGATCAGTTCAACAGCTGCTGCTTTCTTCTGCAATAGGCTGTTTTCATATAGTACCTCACATGAGACTCCATTTGGCAACAAATGGTGATAAATAAAAATGAAATAAGAGGATTCGATTTTCCATAACCATTATGTGTCATCATACCGGTAGCAGAATATAAGATTATCCCCATAACTCTAAATCCTCAAAGTTTTAACCGCCTCTCCTATAAGACCACAGCCAACTAAAAGTTCACCATACTCCCTAAAATGAATCCGAAATAGACAAGAACAAGAAATGTCAATAAGAAACAACAGATAGAAGAATATAGAAAACCACAATAAAATTCCTCATCAATGTAAGATGAGATATACTTCCGCAGGGCAGGAAATGGTAGGAATTTGAACGCCGTAGCAGAAAAGAATCCTTTCCGCCCCTCCTGGAGAAGGGTCATAGATACCCTGAACCTGAAATATAAAAAAACATTGCTGCTGTAAAACAAACTCTCAATAAGTAAATGGGTTAACTGAAATACAAGAGCTCGAACATAAAATGACCACGAGAAGCAGATATCAAAACAGTGCTCATTTCTAAATAATATAAAATAAACAAAGCTATTATACATCTAACAATGGTAGTAAGTCTTCATCTGGCATCAGAGAAATTAAGTAACCACTTCAGACGACGAGACCAAGTTCATAATCCTTTTTAGCATCAGTAATAGTAAAATTGCATGCCAAAGCCAGCTTCTGCCTCTACATAATAGTGTGTTCATGTGGTTATACTATATGTGTATGAAGTGCATATATATTTATAATTGGATCAATTTTGCATGAGATTTACCTAACTTGTCCTTAGAAAGAGTGTTTTAACTAATGTAAAACTTGATTCACTGCCATGTCTAGTTGTGTTTAACATTTTTCAGCTACCAATTAAAAAGGAAATGCATGGATCCTGTGAGCAGGATCCATTTAGAAAACTGGAGGAAAAAGATTCTGATCGAGAAGAACAGAAATTATGCCAAAGAAAAAGTTTCAAAATCTTAAGAAAAGATGCTATGTAATACCAATTTTTCCATCATCAGCAATGCACGTTCCTTTGTGTGACTACGTGTTGACTCCCACCAAATCCGTAGGATGTCACAGAAACATCGTATCTGATGCAAGAAAAGAAATTTATCACATAAATAATTTCAAAATTAAGGAAATCTAGGTCAACAATATATCAATCTCACTGGAGTCCACAGTACAAAAATCTCTCCTCTCCTCCCTCCCTCCCTCTCTCTCTCATCTCTCTTCTCTCACCTCTCGTGTCAATGTGTGCAATAACCTAATTAGAGAGAGCAGAGTGCTTTGGGAGGTTCAGCCCTATCCTATTAGATACAAAAGATGTGTCGTTGATCATAAAAGTAGCTTATGGACACTCTCAAGGTGCAATAATTAAGATATGATCCATTCCATGGGCTGAAATACATAGTTTTGGGATACTGAAATTGTTTGTTTGATGGAGTGACCTTAGTAAGTTCAAAAGGAGTAGGTTCCCAGCCAGAACACAGAATTACTAGTAAGAAAAATATTTGCCCCCTTGGTAACTTATGCCAGATACATGAAGACTTGAAAGTACAAAAGTAAAAATATAAATTAAGGTCATGTGGTATGGACTCTGGACCTGATGCAGACAAATGGCATTAGAGAAGCCTTATCTCAGTGCGAGTTGGGTCATGAAAGACATTCACAGGGTACAGTATAGCCATTACTTGTTGAGTATAGGAGCCTACAAAGGACAATGCAAAATCTTATGAAATTATTAGAGCTTGTGGAAAGCGGGGATCTATAATTTATCAGACTGTCAAAAGTTTTCAAACAATATTTTCGTGAAATACAATCCTTGTATGAAATTTATGAAGTACAAGGAAGAAACAGGATTTGAAGGTTTCACCAATTATTATGGGAAAACATGACAATGGATATAGAAAGTGGCAAGTCAAATTATAAAACTTCTCTCAGCTCTTTTTGCATAGTTGAAAGAAGTATAAAGATTGAAATGCAAATGCAAGGTTCAAGAATTAACATAATGATAAACAAGAAATCAAGGACAAGTTCTAAGCAGTGGACTCCATTGCAGTTCACTTATTGGAGTTTTATGAAGAAATGTTTCAGCAGGAGTCATCAGAAATGTATATCTAAAAGAGGGTTTATGACCTTTTCAGATTGTCGTAGTTCAAGGCCTTGTACTTGTATATCTACATAGTCTAGAAAGCTACTATAGTGCCTATATATGGCAAAGGACTCTGACAGGAACGTATGTCACTTTGTCAGGAACTCTCCCTTTGAAAACTCACCACAAAATGTAGGAACACCGATGAGGGAAGCTTAAATTATATGTTTTTTTACTCTCCCCCCATATGTTCATATTTTATTCTATATTATATGTTTTTTATATAAAAAATTCACTTTGTATGGCAGAATGGCTTCCTTTCTTTTAAATAAATAAAAAAAATCCTTCCTACTCGATAGTCGAAGTCTTAACATGAATGGTGTCTTTGACATTATTATTTGTTTGCTGTTGTTAACAGTTAACAGAGATTTATCTGTTAGTGCAGCATGTTTAAGCTGGTTCAGTTGGCGGTTGGAAGACTTCCAAAAGACTATTGGCTTACCAACCAGAATAGTTTCATTTCTAACTATATAAGAGATAAGTCATTGAACTTTTACGATTTGTTGAACACTGAAATTCTTAAACTGTTATCAGAAAGAATGATTCAATAAAAATGGAAAGTATATTGAAATTCAAAAACCATACAATGTTGTGATTTTATACTTACAATAAAGTATGACGACTGCTGAGAATTAATTGCCTCTATGTAAGGAGCCATTTCCCATCCTGAAACAGAGATTGGGTTGCTGAGACATCAAAGACTATAGACTCAACCATATGTAGCAAGAAAGTTATTGTGCTCCAATAATAAAATTGAAGAAAAAATAGTAGACATTAAGTTCTGTTAATGCCCTGCTTGAATATTGTGAATATGGGTAACATTACTAAATATGTATAGATCAAGAAAACTTACTTGCATTTCATCATGTCGTGTACCCTTCTCAATTAGAAGGCATTTAGCCAGGATCACTGCCTGATGGACTGCACTCAAAGGAACAGCAGCAGTACCACCAACTTGAATGCCTTCTGAAATAATTCCAGAATTGCTATCATTCCCTAACAATTTTGGGGGTCATCAATATGTCAGAGGCCTCATAGGTTTCAGATGGATGCAGATTTCCAATGCTAGAATTGTTTGTCTGGGAGCCAGGGCTTTCTGCGAGGCAGCTACCACTGCTGTTTCGAAGAAGTTGGGTTTGCTAAAAGTACCATTTGTGCCTTTGGTTCTACCTTTAGGAAAAAAATGATACGTAAAGCTAAAAGTAGTTTTGATATTTAAAGAACAGAAATAAATAAAAATTCTTTTTACATGCATTCAAGTTTTCAACATTTACCTGATGTACAGTACGGAAGCCAAGAACACCTGTAACAGAAAGCTGAAGACCAGCTGCGCTGCTTCAGCTGATTCAAAATGTAGCCTGATACCATAAAGGAGCCTCAGCAAATAAAATGAAATAACGGGAGTAAAAGAAAAACCTAATCAGCCATCCAATAAAGACTCCAATTAATTAAAAAAAAAAAAAAAAAAAAAAAAACAAAAACACCCACCACCAAAAAAAATGGAATTAATTAAAAAAAATAATAAAAAAAAAGCAAGTGAAAAGTTCAGCCAAACGCGCCACACACACACACACACACACACACCATTTATTTTTTAAAAACATGGAGACACAAAACAAACTTTATGTGAAAAAAAAAAAAAAAAAATCTCTGAAGTTGTGAATTTGTTTGATAATAATGGAGATAAAAACTATCCTTAACAAACTTTTAGTTTTCACCAACCTCTCCATACCACAAAAATAAAATAAAAAAGGAACTGCATAAACTTTAAACTTATATATGTTAGGTTTTACATAAACTATCATTTCATTATTTCAGAAACGAGGATCATAGGCTGACACTCACCTAGTTGGCTTTACTACAATATTGATAGCTATTATAATCACTGCTCACTGTAAAAGACCAGCAACTTTGGACATCAACTGAGAATCAGTTTTTGAACTCTAGAGAGCTTTCTACGGGGAAAAAGGCCAAAAATATTGAGGTATTGCAGCATGTAGGCAAACTTTTGGGTGGCTTGGTTAGAAAGGACAGGTAGAATGTTTGAAGGAAAATTGAGGGAGGAGCAGAATCCTGCACTTTCAGGTTCTCTCTTGAATTTTATGTGCATCATGTTTGGGTGTAATTGTGTGTGATTAGAAAGGTTAGAATTGCTCTTTGGCTTTGTTGGTGGACTACATGTCCACGTTCAACAATAATGGTTATTTCACTAACTTTATTTCTTTTGAAGCCTTTGTATAAAATTTAATTAAATAAAGAAAGAAAAAAGAGTTCTCTGACCAATGCAGATAAAAGTACAATTTCCTTGATTATTTATTCAAAGTACTAAATTTAACCATATGTATATACATCAGAGCAGGTAACAAATTTAGATCAAAGTAAACCAATGAAACATAGCATGACAGGAAGATGAAACACTTCTACTAATTAGTGACCTTCCATGGAAGTGAAATATTGAAAATTTCACTTGCTTATTTTAGCAAACCAAGAAAAAAAATGCTCAAGTGCTTGTAGTCCAGTGGAGGAAAATAAAGAAACATCAGTTAAACTTTATTTGGAAACAAGTTAGACCTTTCACAGCATACATTATATAAATGACATATTAATACGATCATAATAAGATGTTTCTTTATAGGAGATTTATTCACTAATAATATTTGTTTTTTTTTTTTAAAATGCATTTCTAATAAGATGTTTACTAGGAGCATACTAACCAGAATGCCAACAACAAAAATATCCTTGACAACTCACCTGCATGAATCAACTCTTGCTAGGTGTATTCCATTATTCCAGCTTCCAGATAAATCATTGAGACAAGTGACGAACCCTCACCATTACGTAAATTGTTACCCCAATAAGTGTTACTTTCTCCAAAGTGCCAAAAGGATTCAAATTTCACTCGTAAAGACTGCAAAAGATTGAAAGAGAGAAGAAAACCGGTCATCAAGAATCTTTGATGGAAGGGTGATCCTAATGAGCCACCATGAAATGCTCCTAATTCCATATGTAGAAGGCACACTTCCGTCAATAACCAATCCTTCCCTTCCATGGCCAGCCTCTTCGCAATAAACGATATACTTACCAAAACAACCAGGCCAATTCACCAATCAATTGCCGATTTGTGTTAGAACAACTAAAAAAAAAAAAACAATCTTTCAGAATTCGTGTCAGATAGGAATTAAGACTAACATTACAAAAAACAATAAATTTAATTCAGATGAGAGTACAAAAACAAAAATACACACACAAGTTTACAGCCAGAAGCTTGCAACATATGTTACTTATAAGTAAGTTAGGAAAGAATGCAACCTAAACCCAGCTCTATAATTTGTGGTGAACTTTCAAGAAGTCATTGCACACGAAGGAAAATAGGCAAATGAGGACAGAAATGAAAAATTCTGGGCCTTTATGAAGAAAACAGTCCAGCATCACCTAATTGGCAAAATTTAACCAATCCCAAAAATAGAAAAGGCAGCAGAGTAACCTGAATATTGGATACTTTCAACAAGGTCCAGTCAGACCCAGCAGCCATAAGCTGATTACCCTCCCATCATCACATGAGGCCCCTTCCAGTGCAGAGGACTTTGCCAACCCCTCCAAACGGTCTACTAATATCCAAAATTTAAAAGGAACCCCCAAAAAAAAAAATTTTTTTTTTATTTAATTCAATTTGTTTAAGAAAGCACAGAACCACGATTCCTTGCCTCTCTTCCTCTTATCATTTCTCTTCTTCTCTTTCGCATTCCTTGGATTATAACCCGACGCAACTCGGTCCAGCGCTCCGGATTACACACCTCTTTCAGCGCACTCCGCCCCGAGTCCTCCCGAGTGAGGGTCAGACTCGGCAGGTGTTTTTTGCAAAAACACAAAAAAAAAAAAAAAAAAAAAAAAAAAAAAAAAAAAAAAAAAAAAAAAAAAAAAAAAAAAAAAAAAAAAAAAAAAAAAAAAAAAAAAAAAAAAAAAAAAAAAAAAAAAAAAAAAAAAAAAAAAAAAAAAAAAAAAAAAAAAAAAAAAAAAAAAAAAAAAAAAAAAAAAAAAAAAAAAAAAAAAAAAAAAAAAAAAAAAAAAAAAAAAAAAAAAAAAAAAAAAAAAAAAAAAAAAAAAAAAAAAAAAAAAAAAAAAAAAAAAAAAAAAAAAAAAAAAAAAAAAAAAAAAAAAAAAAAAAAAAAAAAAAAAAAAAAAAAAAAAAAAAAAAAAAAAAAAAAAAAAAAAAAAAAAAAAAAAAAAAAAAAAAAAAAAAAAAAAAAAAAAAAAAAAAAGAGATGTTCTAGCAGAGGAGGGAGGAGAGGGAGCTAGCTTTTGTACTTGGACATCACAGTGAGATCCTGATATATTTGTATTGACGCTAATTTCCTTAATTGTTGCATTAGTTTTGCTAAATTTCTATGTCCTTCTTTGCATCAGATACGAGTTTCTGTGACCATCCTACGGATTTAGGTGGGAGTCACCACGTAGTTCACACAAAGGAACGTGCATCTGCTATGATCGTGGAAATGTATTACTTCATCTTTTCTTAAGATTTTTGAACTTTTTCTTTGGCAATAATTTCCTGTGTCTTCTCGATCAGATAATCTTTTTTCCTCCATTTTCTAAAGGATTCCTGCCCCAGGGGATCCATGCATTTTCCTTTTTAATTGGTAGCTGAAAAATTGTTAAACACACACTTAGACTGTGACAGTGAATCAAGTTTTACATTTATTAAAACACTCTCTTTCTAAGGACAAGTTAGGTAAATCTCAGCAAATTGATCCAATTATAAATATATATGCACTTCAATATACATATATATACCCCCACAGAACACACTATTATGTATAGCAGAAGCTGGCTTTTGGCATTGCAATTTTACTATTTACTGATGCTAAAAAGGATTATGAATGGTCTCGTCGCTGAAGTGGTTACTTAATTTCTCTGATGCCAGATGAAGACTTACTACCATTGTTAGATGTATAATAGCTTTGTTTTATTTTATATTATTTAGAAATGAGCACTGTTTTGATATCTGCTTCTCGTGGTCATTTTATGTTCGAGCTCTTGTATTTCAGTTAACCCATTTACTTATTGAGAGTTTGTTTTACAGCAGCAATGTTTTTTTATATTTCAGGTTCAGGGTATCTATGACCCTTCTCCAGGAGTGGCGGAAAGGATTCTTTTCTGCTACGGCGTTCAAATTTATCCTACCATTTTCTTTTTTTTGTTTTTTCCTGCCTGGCGTAAAGTATTAATCTTCATCTTACTTGATGAGTACTGAAGTTATTGTGGTTTTCTATATTCTTCAGTCTGAATTGTTTCGTATGCATTTCTTGTTTCTTTTTTTCTATTTCCGGAGTTTCATTTTTTTGGGAGTTATGGGTGAACTTTTAGTTGGCTGTGGTCTTATAGGAGAGGAGGTTAAAACTTTTGATGATATTTAGAGTTATGGGATCATCTTATATTCTTCTGCTGACCGTTATGATGACACATAAGTTATGGGCCAAATCGATATCCCTTATTGTGCATTTTTCTTTATCCCATGTGTTGCCCAGAGGCTCATGTGAGGTAATATATGAAAACGCCCTATGGTCAGAAGACAGCTTCTCTCTTTCACAACAACACCGGAAATAAACATTTTTCTTTTTCTACGCTATCCCTTCTTTTTTTGGTGTGATTGCCTATGGGCCCGTAGATTTGTTTCTGTTGTTGGGGTTGTTGAGGAATACGAGAGATATGTTCTTTTCCCTGTCTGCATAGGCTTGTTGTTTCATATAGTACCTCACATGAGACTCCATTTGGCAACAAATGGTGATAAATAAAAATGAAATAAGAGGATTCGATTTTTCCATAACCTTATGTGTCATCATACCGGTAGCAGAATATAAGATTATCCCATAACTCTAAATCCTCAAAAGTTTTAACCGCCTCTCCTATAAGACCACAGCCAACTAAAAGTTCCCATACTCCCTAAAATGAATCCGAAATAGACAAGAACAAGAAATGTCAATAAGAAACAACAGATAGAAGAATATAGAAAACCACAATAAAATTCCTCATCAATGTAAGATGAAGATATACTTCCGCAGGGCAGGAATGGTAGGAATTTGAACGCCGTAGCAGAAAAGAATCCTTTCCGCCACTCCTGGAGAAGGGTCATAGATACCCTGAACCTGAAATATAAAAAAACATTGCTGCTGTAAAACAAACTCTCAATAAGTAAATGGGTTAACTGAAATACAAGAGCTCGAACATAAAATGACCACGAGAAGCAGATATCAAAACAGTGCTCATTTCTAAATAATATAAAATAAACAAAGCTATTATACATCTAACAATGGTAGTAAGTCTTCATCTGGCATCAGAGAAATTAAGTAACCCACTTCAGACGACGAGACCAAGTTCATAATCCTTTTTAGCATCAGTAAATAGTAAAATTGCATGCCAAAGCCAGCTTCTGCCTCTACATAATAGTGTGTTCTGTGGTTATACTATATGTGTATGAAGTGCATATATATTTATAATTGGATCAATTTTGCATGAGATTTACCTAACTTGTCCTTAGAAAGAGTGTTTTAACTAATGTAAAACTTGATTCACTGCCATGTCTAGTTGTGTTTTAACATTTTTCAGCTACCAATTAAAAAGGAAATGCATGGATCCTGTGAGCAGGATCCATTTAGAAAACTGGAGGAAAAAGATTCTGATCGAGAAGAACAGAAATTATGCCAAAGAAAAAGTTCAAAATCTTAAGAAAAGATGCTATGTAATACCAATTTTTCCATCATCAGCAATGCACGTTCCTTTGTGTGACTACGTGTTGACTCCCACCAAATCCGTAGGATGTCACAGAAACATCGTATCTGATGCAAAGAAAAGAAATTTATCACATAAATAATTTCAAAATTAAGGAAATCTAGGTCAACAATATATCAATCTCACTGGAGTCCACAGTACAAAAATCTCTCCTCTCCTCCCTCCCTCCCTCTCTCTCTCATCTCTCTTCTCTCACCTCTCGTGTCAATGTGTGCAATAACCTAATTAGAGAGAAGCAGAGTGCTTTGGGAGGTTCAGCCCTATCCTATTAGATACAAAAGATGTGTCGTTGATCATAAAAGTAGCTTATGGACACTCTCAAGGTGCAATAATTAAGATATGATCCATTCCATGGGCTGAAATACATAGTTTTGGGATACTGAAATTGTTTGTTTGATGGAGTGACCTTAGTAAGTTCAAAAGGAGTAGGTTCCCAGCCAGAACACAGAATTACTAGTAAGAAAAATATTTGCCCCCTTGGTAACTTATGCCAGATACATGAAGACTTGAAAGTACAAAAGTAAAAATATAAATTAAGGTCATGTGGTATGGACTCTGGACCTGATGCAGACAAATGGCATTAGAGAAGCCTTATCTCAGTGCGAGTTGGGTCATGAAAGACATTCACAGGGTACAGTATAGCCATTACTTGTTGAGTATAGGAGCCTACAAAGGACAATGCAAAATCTTATGAAATTATTAGAGCTTGTGGAAAGCGGGGATCTATAATTTATCAGACTGTCAAAAGTTTTCAAACAATATTTTCGTGAAATACAATCCTTGTATGAAATTTATGAAGTACAAGGAAGAAACAGGATTTGAAGGTTTCACCAATTATTATGGGAAAACATGACAATGGATATAGAAAGTGGCAAGTCAAATTATAAAACTTCTCTCAGCTCTTTTTGCATAGTTGAAAGAAGTATAAAAGATTGAAATGCAAATGCAAGGTTCAAGAATTAACATAATGATAAACAAGAAATCAAGGACAAGTTCTAAGCAGTGGACTCCATTGCAGTTCACTTATTGGAGTTTTATGAAGAAATGTTTCAGCAGGAGTCATCAGAAATGTATATCTAAAAGAGGGTTTATGACCTTTTCAGATTGTCGTAGTTCAAGGCCTTGTACTTGTATATCTACATAGTCTAGAAAGCTACTATAGTGCCTATATATGGCAAAGGACTCTGACAGGAACGTATGTCACTTTGTCAGGAACTCTCCCTTTGAAAACTCACCACAAAATGTAGGAACACCGATGAGGGAAGCTTAAATTATATGTTTTTTTACTCTCCCCCCATATGTTCATATTTTATTCTATATTATATGTTTTTTTATATAAAAAATTCACTTTGTATGGCAGAATGGCTTCCTTTCTTTTAAATAAATAAAAAAAATCCTTTCATACTCGATAGTCGAAGTCTTAACATGAATGGTGTCTTTGACATTATTATTTGTTTGCTGTTGTTAACAGTTAACAGAGATTTATCTGTTAGTGCAGCATGTTTAAGCTGGTTCAGTTGGCGGTTGGAAGACTTCCAAAAGACTATTGGCTTACCAACCAGAATAGTTTCATTTCTAACTATATAAGAGATAAGTCATTGAACTTTTACGATTTGTTGAACACTGAAATTCTTAAACTGTTATCAGAAAGAATGATTCAATAAAAATGGAAAGTATATTGAAATTCAAAAACCATACAATGTTGTGATTTTATACTTACAATAAAGTATGACGACTGCTGAGAATTAATTGCCTCTATGTAAGGAGCCATTTCCCATCCTGAAACAGAGATTGGGTTGCTGAGACATCAAAGACTATAGACTCAACCATATGTAGCAAGAAAGTTATTGTGCTCCAATAATAAAATTGAAGAAAAAATAGTAGACATTAAGTTCTGTTAATGCCCTGCTTGAATATTGTGAATATGGGTAACATTACTAAATATGTATAGATCAAGAAAACTTACTTTGCATTTCATCATGTCGTGTACCCTTCTCAATTAGAAGGCATTTAGCCAGGATCACTGCCTGATGGACTGCACTCAAAGGAACAGCAGCAGTACCACCAACTTGAATGCCTTCTGAAATAATTCCAGAATTGCTATCATTCCCTAACAATTTTGGGGTCATCAATATGTCAGAGGCCTCATAGGTTTCAGATGGATGCAGATTTCCAATGCTAGAATTGTTTGTCTGGGAGCCAGGGCTTTCTGCGAGGCAGCTACCACTGCTGTTCGAAGAAGTTGGGTTTGCTAAAAGTACCATTTGTGCCTTTGGTTCTACCTTTAGGAAAAAAATGATACGTAAAGCTAAGAAGTAGTTTTGATATTTAAAGAACAGAAATAATAAAATTCTTTTTACATGCATTCAAGTTTCAACATTTACCTGATGTACAGTACGGAAGCCAAGAACACCTGTAACAGAAAGCTGAAGACCAGCTGCTGCTTCAGCTGATTCAAAATGTAGCCTGATACCATAAAGGAGCCTCAGCAAATAAAATGAAATAACGGGAGTAAAAGAAAAACCTAATCAGCATCCAAATAAAGACTCCAATTATGGAATATTTAAAAAAAAAACCAATAAACAATGGAATTAAAAAAAATAATAATAAAAAAGCAAGTGAAAACGTTCAGCCAAACGCGCACACACACACACACACACACACCATTTATTTTTTAAAAACATGGAGACACAAAACAACTTTATGGTGCAAAAAAAAATTCTCTGAATGTTGAATTTGTTTGATAATAATACTGGAATTAAAACTATCCTTAACAACTTTTAGTTTTCACCAACCTCTCTCCATACCACAAAAATAAAATAAAAAAGGAACTGCATAAACTTTAAACTTATATATGTTAGGTTTTACATAAACTATCATTTCATTATTTCATGAAACGAGGATCATAGCTTGACACTCACCTAGTTAGGCTTTACTACAATATTGATAGCTATTATAATCACTGCTCACTGTAAAGACCAGCAACTTTGGACATCAACTGAGAATCAGTTTTTGAACTCTAGAGAGCTTTCTACGGGAAAAAGGCAAAAATATTGAGGTATTGCAGCATGTAGGCAAACTTTTGGGTGGCTTGGTTAGAAAGGACAGGTAGAATGTTTGAAGGAAAATTGAGGGAGGAGCAGAATCCTGCACTTTCAGGTTCTCTCTTGAATTTTATGTGCATCATGTTGTTGTGTAATTGTGTGTGATTAGAAGGTTAGAATTGCTCTTTGGCTTTGTTGGTGGACTACATGTCCACTGTTCAACAATAATGGTTATTTCACTAACTTTATTCTTTTGAAGCCTTTGTATAAAATTAAATTAAATAAAGAAAGAAAAAAGAGTTCTCTGACCAATGCAGATAAAAGTACAATTTCCTTGATTATTTATTCAAAGTACTAAATTTAACCATATGTATATACATCAGAGCAGGTAACAAATTTAGATCAAAGTAAACCAATGAAACATAGCATGACAGGAAGATGAAAACTTCTACTAATTAGTGACCTTCCATGGAAGTGAAATATTGAAAATTTCACTTGCTTATTTTAGCAAACCAAGAAAAAAAAATGCTCAAGTGCTTGTAGTCCAGTGGAGGAATTAAAAAGAAACATCAGTTAAACTTTATTTGGAAACAAGTTAGACCTTTCACAGCATACATTATATATAATGACATATTAATACGATCATTAATAAGATGGTTTCTTTATAGGAGATTATTATTCACTAATAAGATGGTTTTTTTTAAATGCTATTTCTAATAAGATGTTTACTAGGAGCATACTAACCAGAATGCCAACAACAAAAATATCCTTGACAACTCACCTGCATGAATCAACTCTTGCATAGGTGTATTCCATTATTCCAGCTTCCAGATAAATCATTGAGACAAGTGACGAACCCTCACCATTACGTAAATTGTTACCCCAATAAGTTGTTACTTTCTCCAAAGTGCCAAAATGATTCAAAGTTTCACTCGTAAAGACTTGCAAAAGATTGAACAGAGAAGAAGACCGGTCATCAAGAATTCTTTGATGGAGAAGGGTGATCCTAATGAGCCACCATGAAATGCTCCTAATTCCATATGTAGAAGGCACACTTCCGTCAAATAACAAATCTTTCATCTTCATGGCCAGCATCTTCGCATAAACTATATACTACAAAACAACACCAATTCACATATCAAAGTGCGATTTTGTAAAACAACTAAAAATAACAATCTTTCAGAAATTCTTGTCAGTAAGAATCTAAGACTAACAATACAAAAACAATAAAATTTAATTTCAGATGAGATACAAAACACATACACACACAAGTACAGCCAGAATTTGAACATATAGTTACTTATAATTATAAGTTAGGAAAGACGCAACTAAACCAAGCTCATAATTTGCGTGAACTTTCAAAGAAGTCATTGCACACAGAAAATAGGCAAAATTGATACAGAAATGAAAAATTCTGGGCCTATATTAAGAAAACAGTCCAAGCATACATTAATTGGCAAAATGTAACAATCCCAAAAATAGAAAAGGCAGTACCTGAATATTGGATAACTTTCCAAGCAAGTCAGACCCAGCAGCCATAAGCTGATTACCCGCCCAATTCTCCCACTCATCACATTGAGGCACTTCCAGTGGCAGAGGACACTTTGGCAACCCCTCCAACGGTCTAAATTTCCAAAATTTAAAATTAACCCCAAAAAAAAAATCAATTAAATTTTTTTTTATTTAACTCAAGTTTTTTTCTTTTTAGCTTTTGAACTTACCCAGTCGAGTTACATTGAGAAAAACCGAACAAGGCAGCCACGGCAATGCACAGAACCACGATGACTCTGTAGGCCTTGTCCTTGCCACTATCATTCTCTTCTTCTTCGCATTCCTTGGATATAAACGACTCAACTCGGTCCAGCAACTCGGAGTACACTCTGTCAGCGCACTCCGCCGAGTCTCCGAGTGAGTCAGACTCGGCGAGTTTGAAAACTGCGCGGTTTACGTCGGGGGAGGTGAGGGCTCGGAGGTAGTGGCCCGACTCGATGGAAGTTAAGAGGTCGTTGATTAGAGGGTGGAGGTGGTGGGTGGGGTGGGCATGATCGGACTGTTGGGGATGGGGTGAGGGATCGGACGCCGGAGACTGGAGGGTGCAGCGGAGGAGACGCAGCTCGTACCCGCGGAGGATTGAAAGTTCCGGTAACGTTTCGGACATTTTGTGAACTAGTTAGTGACGGAGTGCGAATGTAGGGTTTAAGTGAGGTAGAAGGGATTTTGGGTTTTAGAGTGTAGTTATGATTGCATGGGGTAGGGTGCATCATAAGAAGCAATGGATGACAAATTTCTGACGTAAGTGATGTTACTATTCACATAAATTGTGGCAGCCCACGTCTTTTTTGTTTTCATCCCAAAGGGCAAGGGCAAGGGCTTCATTTTAATTTATTTTTTATTTTTTATATTTAAACTATTAATTTTGATAAGATTTTCGGTTGTCAAGTGTCACTATTTATTATAAAATTCTCATCCCAAATTTCAGATAAAATTTTCGGATAAAATTTCAGATAAAATTTTCGGATAAAATTTTAGGATTCAATTTTCGGATAAGATTTTCGATTGCCACGTATCCATATTTATTATAAAATTCACATCTCACTCATCATACAATTGAAATACTTCCGGTCATCATAGTTTGACACAATAGAGTATAAGGACAACTCAATCATTGGCGAAGGTGGTTCCACCGGATCAAGACGTGTGGGTGTATTTTCTTTTGGAGGAAATAATAGTGCCATTATTTCCTCCACGGAACACATCACGAGAACCGATTGCGGATATTGTTCACTTGAGGAGCCATGTGCAATGGTTTTCTTCACACAACTGAACGAACCACGTGTAGTGAATTTTAAACAATTCTTCACAACGTCCCAACATTAGAGATTTTTGAATCATTTATTACCTTGGCCAATGGCACAAAACCACATTTGTGCTTGAAGAATCTATTACAAAAATAAAATTGGAAATCCAAGAAAATATAATTTAAAAAATGACATTAAATTGAATAAAACGACAATTAGAAATTTGTAACCTCATCGCCATGATTTTCACCACTTCGAACCATTTCCCTTGCTTTTGCCAACGCATCTCTCCATTTCCCTAACTCTTTATTCAAAAATATTCACCTAGTAGCCAAGGCCATTTTCGTCCAAGTCGAACTTGATCTTCCACAAAATTCTTCATGAATTTTTCTCCACATATGAGAGAAGTTCATCTCATTGCCCGTGATCAGGCAATGACCAACTTTGACCCAACACACAGACAACAAAATATCTTCAACGGTTGTCCACGTGCCTCCGGCTTCAATGGAAGAGGCCATTTATTTTTTGACACAAATGGAATTTAGTGAAGGAGAAAAATATTTGGTGTGGAAAGTGAAAAATATTTGAAGGAGAAGAATTTGTATGAAGATTTGTTGTGAAAAGTGAATAATATTGGTAGGTATTTATAGAAAAAAAAATTTATAATTTATTGGTATTTTTTAAAAATACCTAAGCCGAAAAAATTTGGTGTGGAAAATGAAAAATATTTGAAGGAGAAGAATTTGTATGAAGGTTTGTTGTGGAAAGTGAATTATATTGGTAGGTATTTATAGAAAAAAAATTCAGAATATTTTTGGTATTATTTTGCAAACTTTTTAGGCAAAAGGCTAAAAAAGCTCTCCGATTGGATTTCTCAGAGTGTCTAGGAAGCGGCGCGTGGATTCTCTCCGTTGGTTTCTGTCAGCACTGATGTTAGCTTGACGTCACAGCTAATGTCAGCAGCCTTCGGGCCACAGCTCAGACCATTCTTCCACGTGGGCTTGCCCGGGTTGGTGGGTCCCACCCCTTGCCCGGGCTAGACCTTACGCGCTGGAGAGGTTTTTTGGTCTTGAGGCCCCCTTTTGCCTGCCCTCCCCCCTTGCAGTGGAAGTGCTCTTAGATTTTACTCTGAAGAAAATTTTAAAATAAAATATAAAATCATTTTTTTTTAAGAATAAGATTTCATTCATGCCATCTCCAAGTGAGGAGGGGATACATTTAGCCCTCAAAAAAATAATTTTATAAGAATAGTGTCATGCTACATTTAAATATTTTAATAATTTTTAGTATATTATGTAAATTTATTAGTTAATTTAATTAACTACTATTTATATTATATTTAAAATACATTTTAGAAGAGAAAAATATTTTGGGATAAGATTTTTACATCCATGTGTTGGCAACGGGATGACTACATTGGTGGAGATTCCAACAATAAGGAGGTTGACCCAAATAGGTCAAGGAGAGCTCTTGCTAGTCTTCTGTGTTTGCAACTAAATACTAATAATAATTGACAATACATTGTCATGTACAAGTCTTCGTCTTGTTTTAAAAACAACTTTGGTGTTTGTAATAAATAATAATTGACAATACATGGTCATGTTAAAGTGACGTTAGCTGGGCCTATTCAAATATTTAGCCCAGGGTGGCGAAAGGGCCACATGTGGCCCTCAATTTAGGAATTGGCTGTAACAACCCGGTCCTTATTAATTTATTATGGTAAAAGACACTTATACCCCTAGAATATTTTATTAGGTTTAAAAGTTGACTTTTTGACCGGGAAGGAATTTGGGGATTTCAGTTGTACCGTTGCGTAGAGTGCGATGAAACGAGTTTGTAGACACATAGTGGGCTCAAATCCGAGTTATAACGAAGAAATTACAGTCAAAATACGTTTAGGGGCAAAATGGTAATTTGCCATGTCCGATTTTTAAAACCCCTCTCTCTCTCCTTGGTTCGATAGAACCCCTCCCCTCCCCCATTTTTCAAGGTAGCCGTGGCTTCTTCAAGCCACCATCACCGCCACGTGCCACGGCCGACCACGAGACCAGTCGGATTAGGACCGCCACTGACCCAGCCACATGTTCGACTGCAGCCCAGACCCAGCAGCATCTTCGGCCCCCGGAAACAGCCCAAAAGCAGCCAGTTTTTGACAGAACTTCTGAGCTCTCGTTCTCCGTCGTCCGGCCACCAAATCGGACGAGTGAGGTACGATTTTCTAGCTATTTTCCATGCTCTAGCTGCTGGTTGGGTAGGATTTCAGGAATTCCAAGCGTAAATACTTCGATTGTCAAGTTAGGTTTCAGCCGGTTTGAGGGTGCGATTCCAACCACTTTCGGCCAGTTTTTGGGGTAGGTCCAAGAACAGAAGTGGCTCCAAATAGGGTGTTATACCTAGGGTATGAGTCTTTAGCCGTGGTTAAGAGTTTTTCCGACGGAGTGTTATCGCTTTAGGCACCACGTGCTGCCGGCGTGTGTGGCGGCACGTGGGCAGCAGGGTGGGGACCAGAGTCAGCCCTAGAATAATCTCCTAGTCCCCACGAGCGTGTAGGATTTCACGGATCTTAATTCGGATAACGTTTGAACCCCGAACGGATCTCGCCTAGTGGGTGATTCTCGGGTTCAGCAGGTTTAAACCGTTGGATCGTAACCATGTTCCAGTATGTTGATCTAGGTAATTCCAGGATCGTATAGTATTTGACGGATCGTAAAACGGGGTCCCGGATACTCCAGAAATGTTAGCCCTAGAGTGAGGTTTACAGTAAACAGTTCAGTTACAGGTCAGGAATAGAAGAAAGAACTACATATGGCTTGATCCCTCAGTAAGGGTACGTAGGCAGCCTACAGTTATCAGGCGCAGCCACGAGTTAGGGGCTCAGGGTTTATGTTATTATTTATCAGGGTATTTTGGTCTTTTACGACCTACGGTTACCAGGTGTCAGTTTTAAACAAGATTCGGCTCGGATTTCAAAGTGGAATTTGAGTCGGGTCGTCTCATTGGCCATATGTGTAGCCCTCCCTATTTTTGTAGCCCTTTGTGTAGCCCACTCTTGGAGATGGGTTTTGGGAATTTAGGGCTATAATTTAAAAATTGGCCCTCACTTAGAGATGGCCTCATAACCCAAAAAGGCATACAAAGACCACAGTAACCTCGTTAAAACCTTCCAAGGAAAACTACATAGGACAAACCACAAGGTAGGAAAGAGTACTACACATGTCATGGACTAACAAGAGAGTCTAACACATGCCACTTTGGACTGGTACAAAGAACTCGAAATAAACAGACACAGCACAACTTTAAGCCCTGCAAAGAGCAACCACCACATTGTAATATTGTCAAAGAAAACCTCCCATGCACGCATAGTTCGATGTATAGAACAACGTGTCGTGATTGTCAGAACATAGCGACCATAAGTACTAAATACCAACTCCTTGAATCTTAATCTCGACCCCTACTCGATAGGGCAAGGGGATCAAGATTGGCCGCTAAGCTTTATTGGATGCCAAGCCCACAAACATTCTAGTGAGCATATCAGGGAGACCCTTCTAGGATGGTCTTCGTCGCCTTATCAGCAAAACCTGGAATGCAAATTTGACAGTCACTAGAAAAACCAGTGAGCACGAGTCTCCAGAAAGATTGCTCAAGAATAGTAAGGACATAATCACCACTCGGTTCCCCAGCCCTCATCACAGAAAAAGAAAAAGAAAAAGAAAAAAAAACTCGTACATGTAGGTACAAATGGCACCTAACAACCAGAAACTACACGACGCAATTCCTTCAATAGAGACGGCGTCCGCACCTTGCCACAACCTTCCAAAAGTCACCCTTTGAGTCATAGCCATGGGTAGAAAGCCCTAGACTTGATACAGTTGGAGCAGTCATGGCTAGCCACTTAAACGAAGAGGTAGCATCAAGAATGATCATGGCAAAGGCAGCCTCTGGAAGCGCCAATGAAAACCCAATCCAAACCCAAAAGCAAGTGAAACTACTAGAGAATGCAGTGACGATGCAAGTGTAGTGAACCAAAATCGCGAAACTAGAAATAATTGATCGAACCACCACCGCTTTGAAACCAAAAGCACCAGACGATTTCATTGCCTCGAAACCAAAAAGGACCAGATGACACCACCATCTCGAAGCCAAAAAGAACCAGACGACACACAAAGGAAACAACCACTCGAGAATGGAGAGAAAGACAGGAACAAGATCGACGCAATCAAAAGTAACGCACTAGACAACGGTGACGCCTGGACGTGGAAAGGAAAAAACCCTAGAAAAATCGCACGGCTCTCCTCTCTAGCGAGAGAGCGACAACCTGGAAAAAAAAAAGCAATTTAAAATAGGCTTAAATGCTACAGTGCCCCCTAGAACATTGGTCAATTATCACTTTACCCCCTCAAAATTAAAGTGACCCACTTTGCCCCATTGACCAATGTTTCGTGTTTCACTTAACCACTTTCTGTCAACGCCATTCCAAATTCCGTTAAACCAATGATGTGACAGGGGTAGTTTGGTCCATTCAACTAAGCTGAGGGTGTGACGTGTACATGTGGACCCCACCTCTAACATATGATATAGCTTAAACGTTCCAATTGATCTGAGCTGCCTATCGAACCAAAAAACCCCAAATTGGTTTCCCTTAAAACCCTAGAAATCAGAGGTTGGGTTCCACGAAAATTGAAGATGAAGATTGAAATAGTTGACAGAGGGGAAGAGTTGGATGTGGCGGCACCGCATTGCTTTTGTGGGAAGATAGCTCGCTTACAAACTTCATGGACTGAGGCGAACCTACTTTGAAGATTCTATGTTTGTCCAAACTCATCAGGGGTAAGTTATGTTGTTGAAAGTTTGTGAATTCGGTTAAATTTTTTTATTAATTGGTATTAATGGTTGATGCAGAGGAGGAAAAAAGGATGTGGGTTTTTTGTTTGGGTGGATGTTGAATTTCTACCTAGAGAGAAGGCTCTGGTGAGTTGGCTACTTAGAAGATTGAAGGAACTTGAAAAGGACATTGGACATCGTTAAGCAAGAGAAAGAAAGTTAATGGGTTGGCTTATTCTTTCATGGGGTTTAGTAATGGTGGTGTTGTTTTGGCAATGTCTGTAACAACTTGGCACAAAATGTGGCCATTGCAATGGAGGAACTAGGCAGATTGTACAAGTCTGTATTTTGCACTTGTATGTAAAATATCATGTATTGGTAGCTATGTAATGATGGAGGAACATGGTTTGAATTTGCAACTGGATGTAACAATGTATTGGTACTTATGTAATGAATGTGGTTGTTGAACACAATGTGGGAGTTATTTATTGGATTTTGACCTCATATGTAATGGTATGAAAAGCATTACCAAATCAACAGTACCACAAACACTTGCAACAGTTCATAACAGACAATCATGGGTTTTATAACACTGATCAAATCATCACAGTTTATAACATTACTAATAAAGTTCTTAATAGTTAGACTTGCAAAATAATAGTTCAATCAAAAGCCTCATTTGAAAGGGTTGTCCTTAACAATTGTACATGCAAAACAAAAGTGGAATGAAAAGGTCAGAATCTCCAAGGCTGATAATCATCCAACAAATCCTTCCGATTGGTAAATTTCTTCCTCTTGGCAGGAGATTTGAACCTCTTTTTGCTTGTACAACTGGCAAAAGGGTGTGATGAGCTTGCACTTGGTTGAGATCCTTGCATAATTTGAGAAGTTTGGGCAGGTTGAGAACTTTGGCCAGTTTGAGAAACTGGACAAGCTTGCACAGATTCAGTTCCTTGCACAGATTGAGAGCCTTGCAGAGTTTGAGAACCATCCTTCTTTTTTAGAAATTTAATCCTCTTTGCAGGAGACTTAAACATCTTTTTTTTTGGGAGTTTTTGAAGCTTGGCCACTTTGAGATGCTTAGGCAGTTTCTGAAGGTGGGGCAGTTTAAGATGCTGGGGCTGGGGCAGTTTGGGAAGCTTGGGCTGTTTCAGAACCATGTGGAGTTTGAGAACATTGGCCAGTTTCCAACCTTCTTGTCACCTAAAAATTGAAAAGGATTCCAATTTACATCAACTACATCTCATACCTCTTCCTCTTAATATCAATAAAAATAAAGTCACTTATAGGTTGGTTGGCTATTGATTGTCTTGTGACCCTTTTAGTTGAGGTCATATCTTGGACAGATTTCTTCACCTTTCGTTTACATGGGACCTAACATAAGAAGAGAATTACTTGAAAATAAATAAATAATAAAGATCCAAAACAAAAATGCATTGCCAATGTCTTTTTGGAAGAGACAAACCTGACTGCTGCTGCCTTCTTTTGCCTTAAGGCAGCTCCTCCTATTATGGCCTTCTTGTCTACAAAGTGAACACTTGGTTTCCAAGTTATACCTCTGTAACTTGGTGGTTGTAGGATTAGATTCGCTTGGTTGTTCACCTGCCGACCTCATCCTCTTCTTCTTTGGTCTCCCAGGTTGTTTGTGATAAAGTGGTGGCATCAAAGGAGGCCTATGACACTTAGGCCACAAGTCTTCACTTGTCATTGGATGAACCATTGGACTATAAGCTCTCATAAAGGTCTCCTTCTTGTAACAAGCATCAACATAAGCAATATGATCCCCATTTAATTGGCCAATTGCAGCACAAGCATGCTTGCATGAGATCCCAGTAATATCCCATCTCTTACATGAACAATAATGCCTTGCCAAATCAACCACAACCTGACTTCCATCATGGTTTTGACCTTATATAAACTCTCCCCAACAAGCTTTGGAATGCACCAAGCTGATTCTTTCTTCGTTTTCTCCAAAATCCCAAAAATCCTTGGACCAATGGCATGTTTCCATTTCTCACAAGATGCTCTTCTAGTTGCCATCAACAACATAATATAGTATCTAATTCTCTCTAGCATGGTTAAAATAGGTTTGTCTTGTACTTCTACAAAGGCATCGTTAAAAGCCTCACACATATGATTCAAATGTCACACTTGGAATGAGTTTTAAAGTGAGCTTTACACCATTGTGATGGATCTAAGGCCGCCACCCAATCAAATGTAGCTTGGCTCAGCTATCTCATATTTTTCATCTCAGCATCCCACCATGGGATGGTTGTGCTCCTTCCAATTTTCTCCATTTGCAATTTCAACACCAACCCTCTGTGACCAGCAAGCAAAAAATTTGCTTATAAGTGTTTGAGGCAGTGTCTGTGCTCAGCGTTTGGAAAATGATCATGTACTGCATCAATCAAGCCTTTTTGCTTGTCTGTGATAAAGACATATCCGCTGTTGTTTTCGATTCCAATGTCATCCGCCAACAGTTGACAAAACCATGACCATGTTTCATAATTCTCCACCTTAGCCACTGCATACACAATAGAATACATACCATTGTTAGGATCCACACCAACAACAGATAACAATTGTCCAGGGTGATGACCCTTTATATGACAAGCATCAAATCCTATAACTGGCCTACATCCATGCAAAATCCCTTGTTTAACTGCAGCCAAGCAAATGTAAATCCTCTGAAACCTTGGCCTTTCACCCTCCAACTCACATTTGATAATGACTGTGCTACCCACATTTGTCCTTCTTAGTTCAGCAGCATAATCCCATAATAATTCATACTGTTTTTCATAAGTCCCCTCAGATATGGATGTTGCCTTCTAGACAGTTGAGTAGCATATCTTTGAGCTAACCATGTTGAGTTAGCGTGAAAGTTGTGATCAACTGTCCCACAATCATGCTCATCAACCAATTTCTTCACTTGAACCCGTTCACTGCTGAAGCAAAACAAACCTAGTTACAATTTCCTGCACACACTGCCCTCACCCTATCACGATCATTGCATTTGAATGTAATCATCCTCCTGTTCACAATTGAATAGTTCCTAATTGCTTTCCTAAATAGGTCAATGGTTGCAAACCTTAAACCCAGCTTAAACATAGGGTTGCGCATGTCTGTTTCAGGCCTAAATTCTTGAAATTTAGGCAATTTCTTCTTCCTTTTCTTCTGGTTCCCATCATCCTCATCATATGAGCTACTATCCAAGCTCTCAACATCACTTTTAGCTACATCAGTTGACTCCCGATCTTCATCTACATGGGCATTTGGGTCTTCAACTACTTCTAGCTGGTCTACATAATTTTCAAATGCTTTATCGTCCTTTGTCAACAACTCACATTCATTTTCACTCTGCTCATAAGTACTGTCAACAAAATCAAGGTTCTCTTCCTTGTCTTCTTCTTCACTGTCTTCACTGTCTTCCACATCAGTGTCACCTATATCAGCCCTACTACCCTCATTGTTCAGGGGCCTATCATCATCACTTGAAACCCAGTCTTAAACTCTACAAGCAGGCCCATGATCCTCAGTAAAAGACCGACCCTCTTTATCATTATTCAGTGGCCCACTGCCTTCAGTAGAAGCCCCATTTTCATCACCAACAGGCCCAATATTCTCACTATGCTCATTTAATGCCATAGCTACCTCTTCACAATCCTCATTCACTGCGACACCTTCCTCTTCAATGTGTTGTACAAAAATCAGCACCACTCTCTTATAAGAAAGTGATACCTTATCACACAAACTTAACAGCTCAGCATCCCTGTCTATATCCAGTAACTCATCATTTACTACTCCTTTAAGATATACTTTCCCCATGTGCCCAAGCAGTTTCACTTGCTCCCACATCTCTAACATATTTATGTACTTTGTAGTACACCAATCCAAATATCCTACAAACCCACCAGTATAACACCACTTATTCTGTTTGTTTTTCACAATTCTGCCACCATGATTCACTTCAAAAGTGACCAATTCTTTGTCCTCTACACAGAAACAAAAAGGGTTTGTTTTTAACAAAAGCAAAATAGTATTCTAATCCACTTATTAAAAGCAAGACAACAACCATGGTTCGATTAACATATTCAAACCCAACCAGAAGAAAACAAAAAGGGGACCACATCAGGAAAGGTATACTACTTTAGAACCCCCTCTGCCGACAACACATAACACAAAAAGACCTAAACCCTATCGATTTCTACACAATGCGCATCACTATCATGTCAAGATTCTTTTCCACGTCAAAAGAAAAGATTCCTTTTTAGAAAACAAGTCCCTTTTTCAGAAGAATCACTTACCGTACACAGGTTGCCCTGCTCCTACTTCTCACCAAATGGGCGTCGTCATCGAGTCGAGTCGCGTCGCGTCGCTTCTTCTTGCCTTCAAGTTGTCGAAACCAACTGAGAGTGCTCTCCCTCTCTCGATCCTTATTCTCAAACCCTAGCTCTCAAATCCCCAAATCTCAATTTTCCCTCCCAATCTAATTTTCTGTTTTCATTTTTTAGTTCTTTTTTGATTGTCGTGGCTGTTTTGTTAGAGATGGGTCCTCGATTCCACATCAGCAGGCAATCAAGCCATTTGAGCTATATCAGATGTTAGAGGTGGTGTCCACATGTACACGTCACACCCTCAGATTGGTGGGAAAAATCCCAACTCAGTTGAATGGACCAAACTACCCCTGCCACGTCATTGGTTTAATGGAATTTGGAATGGCATTGACGAAAAGTGGTTAAGTGAAACACGAAACATTGGTCAAAGGGGCAAAGTGGGTCACTTTAACTTTGAGGGGGTAAAGTGAGAATTGACCAATGTACCAAGGGGCACTATAGTATTTAAGCCTTTAAAATATGGTTTTCTCCATGTTTACAAGTGTTCTACAAATGTTAGAGTTTATGACATTTTTTAATTTTTAATTAGGAGTAAATTGGGTTTTAATTTTAAGGATGATGTGTTAAGTTTAAATCCCTCATATTAAATTTTAATGAGGTGGCGTGTATAGAACAAAAAAAATCAAGCAGATCATGGCAGAGAAAATTAGAGCAAAGGATCCGTATCCAACTTAAATAAGGACATTATACATAATAGGTAACAATCAAAAATCCAATTAAGGGGATTATTCAGTACATACTTTTGTGGAGAAATAAAGACTTTCATAGAATAAATTACTCTAATGATGGTATCCAAAAAGTTGATAACTTTTAAAGAATTTGTTAAGTAAATAACTTTTGTAGACTTTCAAGCCTAATTGGAGATGTCAAAAATGTAGTCAACTCACTAGTGACTTACAGATCTCCAATAGCCTCTTCAACCACTTTGGGATGCTTAAATAGGTGAGTCACATCATATAAAATCTCTTTAACAACCTTGTCAAACTCAGTTATCAAAGTTGCAATCACTTTCTCTCTTTAGGACTGGTAAGTTGAGTTTGATTCTTTAAAACATTTAATTTTACTTTGGAAACATAGGACCTACCTTGAAAATGTTAAAACATGCATTTTTTTTCCTTTTTTGATAATAAATACATGTTTTCATATTTTTCATTCTTTTTCCTGATATTCCATTAATTGAATTGAAGAGTCTGTTGGAGCAAAAATTATTCAAGTAGCAAATCAACCTTTTCAAATTGGCACATAAGCCAACACATTTTAATTTGAAAAGTTTAATTTGCTACTACTATTGAATATGCTCTTATAGTGACATCACAGTGGGAAGCTACACTGGCAAAAGCCTTCACCAACGTCTATATGTCACATACTCACTTCCTCCAACCTCTCATCACTCGAGTCTCTCTTCGCTCTATGAGACCCTTTCTTCTAGGCAGCAAGCCAGCGTTGCAATCCCCATCTTCGGAGAAATCAATGACTTTAGCAAACCTGTTATAATTTCCCGAATATCTCCATCTCTTTTTTTAAGGACCTTTCCTATTGAGAGAGGCGATAGTATACTAAACTCATACACACTACACGAATGCTAGGACTTGATCTCAAGACTTTGCCTAAGGAAATAAATACTCCAAACCACTACACTAGTGGATCCTTGCCAAATATCTCCATCTTAAGTCCACAAATACATTCATGTCAAGCGAAGGGCATTTGGTAACGAATTGAAAGCACACTACGAAAATGAAAGTTAAGTCTTATTGTAAAACATTGGTGATATGGGTATTCGAATACATGATCTCAACTGCTGGGGTAACTGCCATTTTTTTTCGTTGTAATTAAAGAAAATAGAAATACAACAAAATCATTTAGAGATGAAGAAAAGAGTGAAAGCAAATAAAATTAAGACAACTTTTTACATTTCAGTTTTTAGTTTCAGAACCATGTGTAATTTCTACACAACGGCTCTCATCTGTTTCTTTTAATTTAAAAGAAGCACAAAAACAAATGAAAATTACTAACATACCCTAGTTTCGAAGAAATCGGGAAAATAGTGGCACTGAAGAAAAATCAGAAAAAGATTAAGAGGCTGGATAGTCTGATGATTGTATCAATGAGCCCAAAAGAGGTCAGCTGGTTGAATCATACAACGGACTAGTTACCAAAATTGCAGGTAAAAATTGTAGTTTATCAATCCCCCATAAACTTCTGTTTCTTGGCTGTGTTCATGTATGGTCTGATAACCCATTCAGTCTGGGCTTCATTCTGATCCACTGTTCCTAACTTAATCTGCAACCCCAAAGCAAAGAAGGTATGAACAAGTCTGGACTATTAAACAGTCAACTAGTCATAAACACAGAAATACCTCAAATAATTAAACACAACTTTTTTTAGGACCTTTCATATTGGGAGGGGCGATAACATACTAAACTCACACACACTACATATATGCTAGGACTCGAACCTAGGACCTTCCCCGAGGGAGCAATTGCTCCAAACCACTACACTAGTGGATCCTTTGCAAACACAAATTTTTAACCGTTATCCAGGGAACAACAACCACATCCACCATGTGAATGCAAAATCAAGCGCAAGTGATATCATTGCAACACACAAATTTCTCAGAATGAAGATAAAATGAAGGGTGAAGTACGAACCTTAAAAAGCCTCAATTCAAACCGAGGACCAACCTCCTTCAGCTCAACGGATTTAGGGCCTCTGTGCTTCTCATAAGTATGATGCCTGCATGTTCTTCAAACTGTCAATGGGAAATGAAAGCAATGCATGTGCACTTATTTGTCTAAACAGAAATATCATGGGAATGTAAATGTTGGTCAATAAATAATACTAATAATAAATAGGTCGAACAGGCCTTTCAAATTTAATGTCTCTTTTAGCTTTCCTACGAGTCTTAGGAGTCAAAGCCTAAGAATATGGCTATCCCTTGTAAGCAAATTTATTTGGGTCTGATAGTTACAGATATGTGACAAACAACCAACCTGAATGAAATGTAGTCAGACTGATTGGCGAAAGTGATTATGCGTTTCGTGTCCTGCTTTGGCACTGGAAAGAGATGCTTTAAAATATTTGCTGTCCTCTCACCCAACTATTAACAATCAAGAAAAGAATATTTTATATATATATATATATATATAAAATAAAACACTGAATAAGTAATTGATAGGGGCAACTAAAAAATATGGAGTGATATACTTTTACATAAGATTAAGATGTGTAGCAGGAGTAAGGAATTAGAAAAAATAAGAATGATTATTACAGGGAAAGCAACCAAGTGGGATACCATGTGCTTCCAACAGTGAAACTCCTCCATGATTTTCATAGGCGGTAGGTAAGTCATAAATAACTGGAACTGGTTTCTTCGGAAAATAATTACAATTAATGATCCTGATCCCTAAAATGTTCTGTCAACCACGTCCCAGGGGTTATATTTTTTATTAGATCATTGGGTCTAATATATCTTGGCATAATATACAGAGTAAATTGGGCAAACAATATGTTGAAATCTTTAATTGAGGTATGATACCTTAGTCGTGAAATTGTTGAGAATCAAATGTGGATAAACCTGAGGCATCGTTCCCATGGTTTTCTTATCTTTGATGTCATGTCTTGTAACCTACAAGTGAAATACTATTAGCTGAATGCCCACATTAATAAGTCAAAGCATAGATCCAGTACAGGCATGAAAAGTTCTCAAAAGCAATGTCATGAAAAAAAAAATTAATTAATTCATAAAAAATGATTTAATTTCAATGTTCTTCATGATTGGCATTCTACAATTATCACGGTCAATCCTTCTATATTTCTTTGCACTAGGAAGCTACTGCTTTTTTTATTATTATATCACGTTTTGTCATCAATCAGACATTTTATAAGCATAATCTACCCTTGAAAATCACAAATTTGAAGACCCAAACCCATCTCTTTCTAAAGAGCTGTTTCCAGTAACCAAAAAATTTCCAATTCCTGATAGCAATAAAACTAAACCCTTTCTAGCCTAATTCAAACCTTTAGACCTTGTGTGCCTCTCACTGTTTATAATTGTATCCTTTCCTCACTTTTTCCTAAGTTTTGCTGCTGAAGATCCCTAGAAATTTACTGTTGTCTGGATTTCTTTTCTGCTGTACTACATCAGTCTTAATACCAAGATGCTTGTCCTACATTAACATAAAGATTATCACACTACTTACCACATTGAGTAGTTGAAAATAAGCTGTTGGACCAAAGGGAAGGTGGCTTATAATCAACCCATCTGGTACACCACGATGCTCATGAACCAACACAACATCTGTAAAATCGTGTGCACGGCAAGTTTCAATGATTTCAGAAATAACCTGCAGGATTTGAAAGAAAAAAATAAATAAATGTATGCTCTACTATGTAAAAGGAGCAAAGCTTCAGAGCCAGGCAGGTATGTCCTTAAATTTGAAAGGTTGTCAAGAGGTACCAACTCTTTCGATTAATACATTGCAAGAATAAGAAAAACATGACAATATCAAAAAGAACTAAAGCAGTTACTTATATTCTGGAGTAAAGGGTTCAATCTATATATAAATTGTAACACAACAATTGATAAACAACGTAAAACACAAAAAATACACACAAGAATTAACACACTGAATACACAGAAAACATCTTCCGATAACTCAATGTCAAGCAATGCATGGTTGATTCATAAGAAGGGATCAAACAGCATGACGCAGAAAAATACATATATTTCAAATAAGTTCAGAGTAGAGCTCCATCTATTTTCTCGTGTCAGCAATTAGATTGAAATGACATAGCTTTTGATGGAGGTCAAGAATTCATTAATGGTTAGAAGGCTCTTTGAGTGGGAAAAAATTATCTCCATCTTTTTATCCTCTTTCAGATTTTCTATTTTCCTTATCTTTATTTTTTTATTTTTTTCTTTATTTTTATCTCAAAGCTAAGATATTTTCTACTGACATTCCGGAATTATGAACAAAATGGGAAATATTAGCTTATACAAGTGTTCTTACTACAGCAATTAAAAGAGCGTAACTAAGTGGTCTTAGCCAGCTACCAATCTTATTTTCCCATGCTTGTACACAATGTTTTAGCTAGTCTGCAGTCCACACTAACTGTAACTAATTCAGGATCTTGAAAATGAAAAGCTAAATACTTTTTCCAAGTATCTTTATCATACAAAGGTGTACTGCATATTTCTGGATTTAAATTGATCGCTTATATCTCAGATCTCCAGGTAAGAACACTAAAAACAAAACTTGGAAACTACTGTGCAGTCCAAATGCATCATGAAGCAACTTTGGATTTAAGTATAACCAAAAAGAGAGGAAAACATAAGTAGAAAAAGATAGGAAAAATGGTGCACCAACCTGGCCACCACGATTCATTTGTTGTGCATTAGGAAAAACAAGTTTCAGTTCCTGCAACAACGGTGTCATTGAACCATAATCAATAATCAACGACAGCCTTGCATGATACCCACCAAAGTGAACACGATAAGTGCAGCTAGGGGAAAAAATTTGTATGATACGAAAATAAAGAAGCTATGCCAACCTTTGCAAATTGTATCAGCGGAGCACTCGGATCCCTGGAAGTAGTCAGTAAAATTTTGGGGTCCCTCTGTGATGCGTTTGCATACTCATCATCAATATGTGACCTTGGCACTAGGATTCAGAAACAAAAATCATGAAGAATCAACAGCATAATCAATTGAAAAACTAAAACACCTTCAAACTTCAAAGTACCGTTCAGAATATGATAAATTACCAAACACACAAGAAATTTAACACTTTGATATATAAACAAGAACTTTCACAAATAAATTATCATTCACTAAAGAACTTCCATAAACCCATACCGGCAGTGTTTTCGTCCTCCAGATCAATCTCTTCACGAAGGGCAGCTTCCTCATTTCGAAGCTCAGTGGGTATTGGTTTTCCCTCTGCAAGAAAACAAAATGTCCCAAAATTGTTAGCAATTCACTGACCCAACACAGAAACTTCAACTTAGAAATGAAGAAAACATGCACAAACATATGTATCTATAGCGTATGAGAGAGAGGGCGAACCTTCTAGAGCTTCTCTGATCTTGCGCTTCTTCTCATAGAGCAACCGTTGTTTGCCTTCCAAGCCCTTTCTGTACAAGTACTCCCTCGTTAACCTAATTTTCCGACGCAGCATACCTGCCCTCTGTAACATAACCTAGAGGGAGAAAGTAGGGTTTAGATGATGTCCAGTGAGATAGTCTCTTGCCTCTTGGTGTGAGCCTGTGACGGGGGGGGAGGCCTGGAATTGAGAGAGAGAGAGAGAGTAGGGGTTTAGGGCTTTGCAGGGTAAGCATGTAATTACACAAAAGAGATCACCTTTTATGGGGGCTAAAATGCAATTTAATTTTTTATTATGTAAAATACATAAAAGGCCAAGGTCCAGAGTCTAGACCATTAGCAACTCCACCCATTTGCCTTTTGCCATTACAAGGGAGTGTTAGGGCAGCTACTGTTCATGTGAATGGTAGCTGCCTTTGCAAAAAGCAATGTGTGTTTTCACCCGTTGCAATGACAAATAGCAAATACTATTCTCTTTTTTTTTCACAAATTTTTTTACATAAACAATTAATTTGGATAATATTTTCATATAAGATTTTTGGGTTCGTACATGTCAATATTTATTATAAAATTCATATCTCATAATCGGATAAAATTTTCGGATAAGATTTTCGGTTTCAAAATTCAAAATTCAGATAAATTTCAAATTTTAGATAGGATTTTCACACTCTAAAATCGCGCAATGTGTCATCTTTATCTGCCTAAATTTTTCTATAAAACCAGAGGCTCAGCTCATACCTCTCACACCAGATCTTCTCTATATTTTCATTTTATCATATTTTAGAATTCATACTCCATTCTCAATGTCAGACATGAACGAGGTCTTGGAGAGGCAAGAGCGAGAAACTAGAGAAAGAAGGCGTAGACGAGCTGAAGGCAAAATGGTGCAAAGAGAACTAGATCAACAAATTGTCATAGCAGTGGCTTTGCTTGATGAAGAAAACCAAGGCCGCCGCTGTGGTTCACAAGTTGGCAGTGGCCTGAATGTGGACAGACATAGGCATTCTCGGGGTAAGAATCTTCTGGAAGATTATTTTATCCTAACTTCTCTGTACTCTGATGTTGATTTTCGAAGGCAATATAGAATGCAACCCCATTTGTTCAATAAAGTCATGCATGATATTTGCAATTATGATGAATACTTTGTTCAAAAGTGTGATGTTGCTGGGGTTTTGGGACTTCTTCCCGATCAAAAGCTTACAGCTGGTATACGAATGCTGGCGTATGGTTCATCTACTGATCAGATGGATGAGATTGTCCGGATGGGGAAGTCCACTACTTTGGAGAGCTTGGTAAGATTTTGTGATGCAGTCGAAACTCTGTACATCAGGGACTACCTACACAGATCTACGCCCATGGACCTCCAAAGGCTTCTACAAAAAGCCAAAGCTCGAGGATTTCCAGGAATGATTGGTAGCATTGACTGCATGCATTGGCAATGGAAGAATTGCTCAACTGCCTGGCAAGGAGATTATGGAAATAGGAAAGGGCAAAAAAGTATCATCCTTGAAGCCGTTGCTAGATTCGATACATGTGTTTGGCATGCCTTCTTCGGAGTTGCCAGATCTCAAAACGACTTGAACGTGCTGGGTCAATCCTTAGTGTTCAATGATATTTTGAGAGGTGAAGTTCCGAATATCACCTATGAAATCAACAATATCGTCTACCAGAATGGGTATTATCTAGTAGACGACATCTACTCGAGGTGGACCACATGTATGAAATCTATTCTGCATCCCCGATCCGAGAAGCAAAAATTATTTGCTGCCTATCAAGAGGGTTACAGAAAAGATGTAGAGAGGTGTTTTGGTATCCTCCAAGCCCAGTGGCTTATTATTAGGGGTGCGACTCTCATGTTTGATGAGGAGGTGCTGATGAGCATAATGATGACTTGCATCATCCTTCATAACATGATTGTGGAGGACGAGTATGATTACGATGTTGCAGAAGTGTACGAACAGGATCCCATGAACATGACCTTGACAAGAATTTATGAAAGGCTCATGGGGCCAAGTGGAGAACCATTGGAGCATGAACCGTTAGTTAGGGATGGCCGTTTCAAGACCCGTATGATTGATCGATTTACAAAAATGCAATCGTCTTATATTCATGAACGACGTCAAGTTGACTTGATGGAGCATTTATGGACGGTGAATGAAGTGAAGTGAAGATGATCCAAAACTTCTAGTCGATAGCACTATGAATTCCTAGTTTATAGGAATAAGGGAACGAGAGGAATTTTAAGACAATTAGAGAAACAAAAGGAAGAAACTAAGGAACTGTTTTGAGTTCTGCTTTCAAAATTGCTTGATTCATTTCAATGAATAACTTACGTATTTATACAAGGTTCGGTTGCTAAATTAACTAAACTAAAATAGTAAATTATTTTAAGTCAAAAAGAATGAATGGCCTAAAATCTTACTCATTTTGAAACCATTAACTTTTTATGGTTTATAACAATTCGTTATAAACCATTAGTTTTTATGGTTTTAAATAATTTAATAATATAATTATATGTTTATTTTTGTTGGTAGATCCTCCTGGATCATGGCTCCCCCATTTAAGATGCTTGAGCTCCTGGTCAAGCTAAATTGAGATGAGGAAACTCTATTATTGCCTTGTCTTGAAAAAACCATTCGACTTGCTAGGAAGTTGACCTTTTCTACCAATACGGAAATACTCAAACTTTCCATGTCGAGTCTCACGAACCTTCTGTTCCAATATACAATCCTCCTGCAAAGGATCTTCTCATTTAATCCGCAAGTCATCAACTGATGGAAGACGAGTGTTTTCTTCGGGATCATCATCAAGTAGAGATGGCTCAAAAAGTTTAAGATTCTCGGCATTGATGACCGAGTACATATGCATGTATGGTGGTAATTCAAGTTGAAAGGCATTATCACCAATTTGTTTGATGATCTTGAACGGTCCATAACGAATAGGCTTCAGTTTCTTGCCTTCATCGGTTAGCCGCTCCTTTCCAAGGTGTAACCATACTAGGTCACCTTCTTTGAAGTTACATGGCACACGATGCTTATCATGGTGAGCTTTATACCGCTGCTGAGAACGTTTCAATTGTGCCTCTACCTCAGTATGAATTTTTCTGACTTGTTCGAGAAATTTTTGTACTCGAATATCTTTGGGGTAAATAACCTAAACAAACCTCAAATGGAGATTTGAGTGTGGAGCAATGAATTGCTCAGTTAAAAGCAAACTGTAAGTAAGGGAGACTTTTATCCCAAG